CATTATTGACGACGAATTTAACGATGAGCAATCTCTCAAGAGTGAAATGCCTCCTGGGGATATCTACAGGCTGGCTGAATTATCAGGTAGGCGTTAGGCTTCATTTTGATGTCTTCTTCATCCTTCTCCTCTCCTCGCCTTCCGCCTACGCTTGTACGCTACTTGTATGTTTATTTGATGTTGTCATTGAATTGGAAAAGTCTCTTCTTTGTTTTATTGCTAGGGGTAGCAGCACCGTGGGGTTCACTATGCGCCTCTAAAATTAAGATGTGTATAAGGAAGGTTGACTTTCGGCCTGACGTTTTGACCACCAAGATATACTATTCCTGTCGGGCCTGACCACGGACGGATATCCTCGGGCTTTGATCCAACCAGGTGACTCTATCTTGTAACTCCATTCCTGAACCTCTACTATGGGATCATGACAAAGCCAATTATTCCGATGAAATTGGAATCATGATAATTAATCGGTCAGTCTATGACTGCGTCATAACCCCACTAATCAAAGGAAGGAATGGCCACATGCCGCCGTCACCGCCTTCCAGATGAGCTTCCCCGCCCACCAAACTCAGCAGAAAGACGATAAAGATAGTTGGAGAAACACCAACAATTTCCCCCTCATCTTTGCTGCATAATCAGTTCTTCCGCACGTCGTGTGCTGTGCTGGCTTGCGCAGCATACGTTCTCCTGCACTCTATAGTTGCTATTGACAAGTCGAGTCTCTAGCCTTATATTCTCCAACCCGGTGTTTCCTCGAAGCATTCGCTATGTCTTCCACTAATGACGCCGTCTTTTATCGGCGGAACAAGCAGATCCAAGACGCCATTGATGGACAAAATCTAAAGCAGGCCCTGCAATTGATCGAGAAGCGTATTAAGAAGGGTGAAGACACACCTTTTCTTAAAGTGAGTCCTTCCTTTAGTGATTTGTGTCAAGATATTTACCTCAGTCGAAGCAAATCCCTGGTAGCATTCAAGAGCTTCCCTCCGATATGATTGTTTCTATGCTAACTGGAGTTTAAACGCTTGATTAAAAGGCATGGAAGGCGTATGTTCTCTACCGTCATGCCGACGAAGCCCACCGTAAACGTGGAATCGCCGAAACTCTCGAACTGTGTAAAGCCGAACCTCCCACCACGGATCTGGAGACCCTCGATATCCTCCACGAGACACTGGAAAAACTTAGCGACCATGGGGACACCCTGAGAAGCCTGTGGGAAAGGGCCTCTAAGGCTAGTCCAAAGGACTTGGATATCCAGTTGCGGTGGTTTGAGTATGGTTTTGAGGGCGACGACTGGAAGTCGGCGCAAAAGGTTCGCAACCATCAGGCGCCGTTGACAAGCTTAAGAGAGACGCTAACCGGTCTTACTTGGTCAATTCATAGGCTGCCATGTCTCTCCAGAGCAACTTTCCCAAGACTAGGAAGTATTATTTCTGGGCCATCTTCCTTTGCTACCTGATCTCCGTCGATGCGGGTGCTTCGGAGGCTGAACGCAAGCTTTTCGGAACCCTAGCCTATCGTATGATTTCCAAAGCTGGCGAAAGTGTTCCTCAAGATCCGGTATGTTACAACTTTCTTCCTCTGCGATTAGCAGCCTCTCGTCGGTCATCTTCCTCTGCGTGGTTGGATATTTGTCTGGGCATTATGGTGATATTTGAAATCGTACACACAGAAGGAGTTGCTGAGCCCTCCCAGAGCTATTCAATCGGCCGAGGAGCTACTGTTGCTTGTTAAGATCTTTGAGTCTCAAGAGCGCCATGCAGAAATTGTCAAGATTCTCGACAGCGATAACCTAGGTTTGAACTCGCGCGTTGTGCAGAACGATTGGTCATTTGTTGGAGTGAAGCTGTCCAGTCTGGAAAAAGCCCAAATGTGGACAGAAGGTTTGGACTATGCAAAGAGCTTGCTCACTATTCCAAGCAACGAGGAAGAGTTGAAGGCTCTTCAAGAACGTGATGATTGGGCAGTCTGGCACTTGCTCCTCACCTCAACTCAGAAAATTGACTCGTCAGAGTAAGTTCGCAACGTGCATTCTCATGCAATGATGAAGCTCCGCCGGCTAAAATGTAAGTCTAGGACTACCACCGCAACTCAGGACTTCATTCGCGACTTTGTGGCAGCTGTGCCCAAGTCTCGCAATGCCCACCTAGCTCGGCTTGACATGGTACACTGGGGGTTTAAGTCGGGTAGCTCTAACGCCGAGGACTTAATCGCCGCCTGCAAGCAATACTATGATCTCAACAAGCACAAGCTCTACTGCTTCGGCGATCTGAGGACTTACGTGTCATCACTCGATCAAGCTTCCATGACAAGCCTGGTGCACTATACTTCGGAAGGGCAAAACGAGGGGACAGATGTAAGTTGTTTGGAATATCGTACGGAGCTGGTAGACTAATTTTGAAACAGGGAGCTTCAGGGAAGGGCGTCGCGACGATCAACGCGCTTAAACTCGAGTACTGTTTCTGTCTTTCGGCCAACGAAGAGAACGTCTCCAAGCCCCAAGTCGAAGATTTCATCGTCCGCTGCCTGCAGGTCTACCGTGAGGTCCAGCGCCCCGAGAAAACTTCGGCTCCCACCACGATTGAAAGCCAGCCCAGCGATGACTTATGTATTTTGGCGGCCATGAGCCTGATGCGTTTCAGCGAACCGCACACGTCTGTTGCTGATCAGCAGATTCCTGACGCCGTGCTCATTCGCGCAGCAGCTATCCTCGAACGCCTCCTTGTCGACTCACCCCACAACTATCAGGCATTGTTACTTGTCGTTAGGATCTATCTGCGCTTGGGTGCAGGATCCCTGGCACTGAGCAGCTTCAGTAAACTTTCAGTGAAGCAAGTGCAGTTCGAAACTGTTGCCCACAATCTTTTCACGCGCCTTGCCACAATCCACCCACACTCCGCCCCACCAGTTGAGGGAGCTGAGTATAAAGACTTCAACCCACAATCCGCTTTTGTGCAGGCCCTTAACTTCTTTCGGACGGCAGATCTCACCTCAACCAGGCATCGCACTAGAGGACTAGATTATGGCAGCTATGTGAATATCGAAGGTACCATCGAATTGCAGAAGCGTCTGAGGCAAAGCATCTGCCGCAGGATGTGGGCGCTAGACGTAAGGCGCATACAGAGACTGGCTGGTGGGGACCCTATGACTAGATACGAAGATATGGGTAAGTAGGTTCTGCACCATTACTCTCCTCTCATGCTCACACAACCGCACGGCACAGCTCGAGATGAATCGCCCTTGGTCGACCAACGTGTCTTCGACGCGTTCATGAACTGCGAAGCCCCTGGAAAGCCTACCATTGAAGAGCGCATACGCTTGGGTCCTTTGCCTAGTGTAAGTTCATCCGTCTCTCTCGTGATGCCATCACTGCAGCTAACAAGATTAGAACGGATGGATTAAATCTATGAATTTAACCGACCATCTGTTTGGCACTTTGAAGTCTCTGGCCACTCAGAAGCCATTGACTGTTGAGCCCGAGCTACCGAACCTTGATGACATTTTGGGCGAAAATGTGGAAACAGAGATGACAACAGCAGAGCTTGAAAGTGCTAAGACAAACCGGAGCCTTCTGGCACTTGCTCTGTTCTTGAGTGGGTCCAAATCTGTCACTGCCGAACAAGCAGACGCCAGTCTTTCCCAGGTGGAAGCATGGTTGGACTCAAGGCTTCGGGATATCAATGAAGGTGACGGGAAGGTATCCCCAGTTATTTCGAAAACCGCGCTTTTCTTGGATTCGGACGCACCAATTGCGCCAACCTGGAAATACTTCCATGATCAGTTCATGGTCCTGGACTCGCTTAAGGCTTTGTCCCTTCTAACCACCGTCGCCACGCGAAAGGGCTTCAAGAACGCCAAATTGAGTCGTGAAAGAATTGACAAACTGACTGACACTACACGCCAAGTCTTCCAGAGTATCAGAACCGGTGGTCGTACCCTCAAATCTCACGTCTCGGCTTCGGGTGGGTTGGGCGCGTTGATCGACCTGGTCCTAGTTGGTCCCGGCAGCGGGCCGGAAGGCAGTAAGCTATCCTCCGAGTTGGACAAGACACTTGATATGTCTCAACTGGAGGTCTTCTGCGGTGAGCTAAAAGAAAGCTGGGAGGAGGGATTGAATGGCCTAATCGCCGTAACCCTGTGAGAGCATCTTGACCTTCACTTTCTCCTGACACGAATTAAAAGGCGGCCACCAAACCTTCATTATATAATGCTTCGTCAATCCAGTCTTATAGCAAGCTTAGTGGTTAATCAAACATTATCCACCAACTGCCTATGTTTATTAGTCTAATGGGTCGGGTCAATGCGAAAGCTGACCATCTCCTTCCGTGCGCCCTGCATACAGCCCCAATGCAGCGGAGACAGCTCAAATTCCCTGAGTATGTAAGACTGGTTCGACCTAGACCACGAGGCTGAGTGGCGTGAATGTCGGTCCGGTCCTGCAAGGGCGCTTATGCGTGTAGCGAAGCAGTCATTCTTCTATCCCTTGTTTGTGTTCCGACTCCGATCGGATGCATACTGAATACTTCTTGATCAACATCCTCTTCTTCTTCTTTGTTCTTTGGGTTCCTTTAGTTCTTTATGTGCATGTCACCGACCAGTCGAAGCAAGCCGTAGGTGCATGTTGGACTACGAGGCACGCCATTGCCGTAAGATGTTACACGACCATCGCGCATCGAGAGGAAGAAGGAGTACAGGATATAACGACGGTTAGTTCTTGCCCGATCGCATGCCTGTGTGTGCCACGCACACATTCCTTGTCAGGTGTGGTTGTCGCCTTGCGTCGCCGGCTTACGGCAGGTCGTGGCCGATTCTAATCACAGTGTCACTCAATAGTCAGCCATTGTAGCGGAGCAAGTCTTTGTATATATGCATCAACCAGTAAGCCTTCGCTGTCCATTCCAGGCTCTGAAGCTCTAAACTTTGCTTCAGCATGATCTGCTTCTAGGCTTCAACATCCCCCAGTGGTCATATTTGCTTGTCTTTGTTTCTCCATCAGCACAATGGATGATACCAACAATGGCTCTACTACATTAACGTATGAATACAGACGCTCATTGCGATCCGAAGACATACTGACCCAGACGGTATGCCTCACTGTCAGCTCGTGTTGTGTTGGGATGCGCCTGTATTCGAAAATCTCCATCACACGAGCTCCAGGATGGGAGGATTGTATGTACTGCGTCCCTGTGAAGTGAGCCAGCTCGCTGGGATCTTGGAAATAATATTATGCTGAACAAAGCATTCCGATAGTGACTTGTTTCCTGGCTTGGGTATGCGATTCGAGTTGCCAACCTGCTTCCCATTTGACACCTATGCACACACACTAAGCCTTTCTATGACATGAACAGCTTGGCCTGATAGGATATGCTGCCATCACCTTCGAAACAGATCGACATGGGAGCGGCATTCACCAGTGGGCCGTCGCTGCTTCCGATCTGAGAGAATTCTCCAAGGTTTGAGAAAATCCCACTGCGGCCAGTTTCTTTTTTTTTTTTTTTTTTTTTCTTGGTCTTTGCTGATGGTGAACCATGTAGCTAGCGAACGCATCACAGGTCCTCTACGGCCCTTTAATCTATATCACTAAGCTATCCATCCTACTCTTATATCTCCGTCTCTTCGCGCCGTCAAAGCGCAACACCCCTTTCTGGCTCATCCAAACCCTCAACTGGATGAATTTCCTCTTCTATTTAGCCGACACCATCGTCAAGATCTGCGAATGCAAACCTCGCTCCAAGATCTGGGACCAGGACATCCCCGGGCAGTGTATCAACATCAACATCCGATCCTGGTTACGTCCATCGTGAACGTTGTTTCGGACTTTCTCATGCTCCTGCTTCCCATTGTCTGTGTCTGGCGCTTGCAGATGACATGGTGGAAGAAGATGGGCCTTTCGGCTGTATTTGCAGCCGGCATCTTGTACGCTGTTCTCCCTTCGGCTCTTGAGTCCATTTCGTTTTTTTTGTTTCAATCTGGTCTTGCTAAGAGCCAGACCAGTCTGGCCGGGGGCGGGAAGCTGAAAAATGCCCTTTCATAGTGCTTGCATCTGCAGCGTGATGCGTCTCGTAGTCAGCGTCCGAAACCGCACCACGCGGGACAGAACGCATGACTGGTTTCCGGAGTTCCTATGGACGTGAGTGCTCTTGCAGCATCATGATGAAGCGGAATCCTAGACTAAAGTACTGACTTTTTGGCCTTGATATAGCACCGCCGAGATCACCTCAGGGATCGTCGCTAGTTGCCTGCCCGCGCTGCCGAGTTTCTTCAAACATTCGTCCCAGAAAGCCAAGGCTTGGGTATCGAGCATCGGCACGGGGAGCGCTTCCACGCAGGTGAAGGGGCCCCTTGCCGCCATCGACCAAAGACCTGGACCGGGACCGGGGCCGGGACCTGCAATGCGTATTATTCCGCAGCGGGTTTGGAGATCTGGACACGACTTCACAAGTACTACGGAGTCGACGGCGGATAGCTACTGGGAGATGAGGGATGTTGGGGCTTATCAGGGCATATGCTATACCACGACGGAGGCCACTGCCAATCGGAGTGTACCAGAGGCGATCAATGTGGATGACCATGACCCGACAAGTGAGGTAGAGCAAAGGCCCAGAGCCGGGATCTTGAAGATCGTCGAGGTAGATATTGAGACTGGACCTGAGACGGAGCGATGAGAAAGTATAACGAGGACTGGCCATCGGGTGACTCGTGATAAGTCCACGGCGGAGGCATACGAAGCACGCCAAATCCATGTGATCAGGCCTTGCAGACAAAAAAAGCGGCGTATAACGGTAGAACAAAATACATATCAGATAATCTGTTTCAGCAAGCAGGCTACCTGAGCAGCTAAATCAGCGTACTTGAGAGTTTATGAGATCTTCTAATCAGCGCAGCAGACTACCCGTCGCCTGATGGCCACTCCCTCGTAGAGCTCACCACATACGCAGTATAAGCATGATAGGGGAAAGCAATATACTACATAGCATAAGCAAACAGGTACATAGTAATGCAACCTGGTTTGAGAAAAGTGGAAGCTGGAAGCCACTTTCTCCACAAAATACCTGAGGCAAGATATACCGATAAGCGATAAGAGAAGATTACGGCACGTGACTCAACCACAGCAACCCTAAGCCCTACCCTCGCTACGCACTCCCGCAACGGCCAACCAAAAACTGGCAGACTCCATCGCGATTCCCATCCGCACCGGCGCACGTCGACTCGACAATCTCTCAGCAGCAACACCGTCGTCGCCAACCGCAGTCCATAACCGTCGTGATGGCTCAGGAACGCTCCGGAATCGTGGTCGGCCTCAACAAGGGTCACGTACGTTGTCCCCTGTTCTTTGATCTCCTGCAACAACGATTTGATCCGGTCGAGTGTGGTGGAAAAAAATGTCGAGGGTGGGAAAATATGCACGGGAAGGAGGATTTTTTTATGCCAAGAGCAGGGTGAATTATTGTCGAAACCAGAGATATCACCATGCTTTCAGGAAAGCTCTCTGGGATTCATGGAATTGAAGAAGGGAATAAGGGACTTTGGGGGGGAAGGAACTCGAACTTGACCGACTCGGCTGGATCAAATCGCGCTCTTCTTCCGCTATCTTCCTTCACGACTTTGCAAGGAAAATTCGGCCATGGAAAAATACGGACACAGTTACTGACCTGATGCTTCGGCCATACAGAAGACCACCCCTCTTAACACCCCCAAGACCCGGGTCAGCCGTACCAAGGGCCAGTCTTCCCGCCGTACCGCTTTCGTTCGTGAGATCGCCCGCGAGGTTGTCGGTCTTGCCCCCTATGAGCGCCGCATCATCGAACTCCTGAGAAACACTCAGGACAAGCGCGCTCGTAAGCTCGCCAAGAAGAGGGTACGTCTTTGCATGATGAAATCTATGATGGGTGAAGGGAAGGGGGAAAAGGTTCGCAGGCAGCTCGTTTTGGTTCGGTCTTGCGTCAATCCACGTTCGTTGGTCATCCTCGACAATCAATTACTCGGTATCGTTGAATACAGTCCAACTCAATGCCAACTCGGATTGTATCGACTTCGCATCGACTTTTCAACGTATTATACCATTCACTTTCACCTCTACCAGCTCAACTGCAACCAACAACCACATCGATCCCCTATGAACAACCGAACCGATGGGCTGAACCTGAACCGAAACAAACGAGCTAGCTCTCCGAACTCCTTTTCCCCAACAATTCTCCATCTTATACCTTTTTTTTTCATCCCACATGAATACTAACATGTGATTGTCTCCAATCTAGCTCGGTACCTTCGGCCGTGGCAAGAGAAAGGTTGAGGACATGCAGCGGGTCATCGCCGAGGCCCGTCGTGTTGGTGCTCACTAAACGTCTTCTTTTTCTCTCTCTCCATTTTCCTACCAAAAACCACCAACTGTGTTTCTCTCTCCCGATTAGCCAAGAATGAGATAACGAGAACAAAAAATCATTCTTCTCTTTTATGTGTCATCAGAGTGGAAGGATACAAGAATAATGGAATATGAAGAAAAAAAGAGGACTAGTCAGTGACGAGGAGAAAACCACCACGCACGTCGCCCCATCCCAAGAATTAAATAAAATACCCTTTCTCGGCCTACTTTTCTTCGTGCTTTGTAGATTTGGTAGTATTTTCCGACTGCTATCGCTTATAATAGAGGTTGAATGTTTATGATCTGGGTGGGTGATTGTGTGTCAGTGGTGGATGGAGGTCTAGGCCTACGTAGGCTCTGGAGTTCGCATCTCTGATTATAGATTGGATGGTGGGTTGGTTCAGGTGGAGAATGAGCGTGGTAACCCGCCGCTCTCTCTGGTGTTGCTATTTCTGGTCGCATTGATTCCATGCGGAGATGAGTATCATGGGCCATGATAACGGATGAGCTACTGCCTCTAGAACTATAGTGTTGCCCACAGGTTCATGTAATTCGGACCACGCCAACTATGACCCAGATCTCGAAGTCGTACCCTCGCTACTACCACTCGTAATCGGTGACCATGTCAGTATCATACAATCATGTGAAGCATTTCATTCATTATCTATCTTCGACTTCTACAAGACCTTCCCACCAATCCCCCTATTTCTTGCCTGGCAACTTCAACCACTTGGGTATTCCGCCGGGCTTCCGCTTTTCGCCCATCTTGGTCTCAGTACTGCCCGTGGTCCCCAATGTCCGACCACGCGCGTCCTCGGCGGTCTCCATGACCTCTGGGGGCTGCTCCACCTTGATCTCCTGGGCCCGGGTCCGTAACTCCGGCTTCAGGAGCTCGCGGCTCGCGTGAGCCGCCTGGGAAGCACTCTCGTCCCAGCTGAAGTTGACCAGCACCCGGCCCGCCAGCCCCAGGTCTCGGATTAGATGCGTCTGGTCCGAATCGGGGATCACCTCCTGGATCTTCCGACCGCTGCCGCCGCCGCCGCCGCCGCCACCTCGCGAACCCGCGGGGAGATACGTGATGACGAACTTCTCTGCGCTGGCAAACGGCGCGGCCAGGCAGTTGCGCACAAAGTCGTACAGCGTTCGTCCCGTGTCCTCCCGGCCGAATCTGGCCACGACCTGGCTTTGGTCGGGGAGGCGGACCTTCACCTCGACATCGGCGATGGCGGCCCGTTTTTCCTCCTCGGCGGCTGCTTTGGCGGCGATCTCGGCGTCCGTGGGGAGTCGCTGGGGTCGTGAGGCGGCGTTAAGGCGGCGTTGATGGGCTTGTGCGTGGTCCAGGGATGGGATGTAATCGGCTTCGTTGTAGGTGGTATGCGCGGACTGAGGCGTGTCGCCGGATGGAGGGGAGAAGACGGTCACGGGGCGCGAGAAACCAGCGGGGACTTCTGACGGATCTGAGGCTGGTATGGTGGGTTGAGGGGCAGGGGTAGTAGGTTGCTCTAGTGCTGGTGCTGCCGCTGATGTAGAGGCGGGTGTGGACTCGGGCTCGGGATCCCGCTGTTCAGCGATACCATTCTCCAGCGACGTTTCCGTAGGTGCGGGCGCTTCCTCTTGCTTTGGGGTTGGGTCCTCGGAGGTCTGGAAGTATTCCTGGATTTTGGTCATCGCTTCCTCCAATGGCTCTTCCGTCCGCCGGAAGCTGAGCCTTAGCAACACGTTGCCGCTGTTGAAACCAAGTTGTGCTAGTGACTTTTGAAAATCTGCAAAAGATGACAGCTCCCGTTGAAGGACCTGAACCACCGGAGTCTCGTAATATAGTCTACCTGCGCCCTCGTTGCCACTTGGTACACCGCGACCCGTCAGGTTGCGGGTCGAAGTACCGCCCGCAACGCCCGCCTCGAATTTGCGCAAGATGAACCAGATTGTTGTCGTACTGGGAAACTTGTCCATAAGCCGCCCGTTGGGGGCTCCCCGTGCTTCTGATTCGGGGAGTTGTAACGCGACGGTGACGACCGAGGGGGAGCGAGACGATTGGACCAGTTCCAACTTAGCACCGGAAGCAAGTCCGGACAGTCGAAAGACGAGCGACATGTCGAGCTCTTTGCCTTTGTATCTTGACAAAGACGGTGTCAGTTGAGTGCACACTGCTTTATAGGTTCGATACTATGGCGGGGTTGTGTTATGGCGGGAGTCTTACTTCAGCCCATGTTGACTGGGATCTACACCAAGCTTGGTGCAGGCCTCTTGCAGTATGTCAGTCAGATGCTTGCCCGGGGTAGTCTTGACGGTAGCCCTTCGAGCTGTCGAGTCCAGGACTACGACATGCGAGCTCATGATGCGAGGCTGCGGGGTGTGGCAGTCGAGGTAATCAAGTAGAAAAAGAACAGCAGGCCTGCTGAGATAGCTGGAGAGAAGCTCAACGGTGCTTGTTTGATGCCTGTCAGTTAGATCCCAAACCGAAGACAGATATGAGTCAACAAAGATATACAAGAGAAAGGAAGGTTGAAGGCTGACAAACCGAGATTGAGATAGCTAAGTTAGGTGAGAGGGAGAGTGTAGGCAGCGGGCGCAAGCGTCATCGGAAGAAGCTCGGCGGCTCCACGCGTTGCTGGCAGAGCTTCAGTTCAACTCCGTCCATCTCCATCCATCCTCCGCCCATCCATTCGCCCTCCCAACCATCCTCCTCCCCTTCATCTCTGCTTCACTGTTACTCCTCATTCTCTCTACCCCTACCTTATCTACTACAGTTCATCCCTTTACAGATCTCCGTATCGCCTGAATCACTCACAATTTCACCCCAATCATGGTAAGTTGGCCCTGCGTGACCTCAAGGGTCTGAGCTGAGCAAGCATGCTGACCGAACCGTTTTTACCAGAGTTCTCCCTTCGATATCAGTGCGTACCCTCGATAATCTACATTTCGATGATCTGTACATTGACTGACCCTCCGCTGCGCAGATGGCGGTGCCTGCGTCGCCATGGTGGGTAAGGACTGCGTTGCCATCGCCTGCGATCTCCGCCTGGGCATGCAGGCCTTGACCGTCTCCAACAACTTCCCCAAGATCTTCAACTACGGCCCTTCGACCTTCCTCGGCTTGACGGGTCTGGCGACCGATGTGGCGACCGTGTCCGACCTTTTCCGCTTCAAAGTGAACATGTACCGTCTTCGCGAGGAGCGGAACATCGCGCCCCAGACCCTGGCCAACCTGGTCAGCTCGTCGTTGTACGAGAAGCGTTTCGGTCCTTTCTTCGTCAGCCCCGTCATTGCCGGCATCAACAGCACAACGGGCAAGCCCTTCATCTGCGGGTTTGACAGCATTGGGTGTATCGATTTCGCCAAGGACTTCATTGTGAGCGGAACCGCAAGTGATCAACTGTTCGGTACTTGCGAGGGTCTGTGGGAGCCGGACTTGGTATGTTTCTTCTTGTTCCTCGGTTGGGGGATTATATCCGATCAGTTGCTAATTGAGATTGATTGCCCTTGACAGGCTCCGGAGGACCTGTTCGAGACCATCTCCCAAGCCCTTCTCAGTGCGGTCGACCGTGACGCTCTTTCCGGTTGGGGTGCCCAGGTTTACATAATAGAGAAAGATAAGGTTACCAAGAGACTATTGAAGGGAAGGCAGGATTAGACGAGATAATTACTTGGATCATGAATTTGTGTTATTTTTCCCCCTTGCTGCAGTTATGCTCATTGTTCTGCTCTCTCTAATATGACGCTTCCATCCATCCTCCCTTCCATCTAGGTGCCATCAATACGGCCGAGGTAAGCCTGAGAGTGTGTGGCGATCCAGGCAATGACACGCATATCCTCGGTGCTTGCGGTCTAGCCTCGATCAACTTATCTTGCAGAAATTGTGCTACATGGTATTCCTCAGGTACCGGCTTCTAGTACCAGAAGATAGGCGTGTGATTCGAGCAACTCCCGATTCTGGTGCGTCGGTGCTCACGCCCGAGGTCAGTCACTGCTCCATGAATCCTTGGTTCGGCTGTTGATGAGGGAACTGTAAGCTCCTACCTTGTAGCCAACGACGAGTTGCACGGCTCCGACCTCCTACCTTGGACAGCTTAGGGTCACGTTGTCACCGGCTGGGACTGTAGGTGTGGAACATAAAGTATGCATAGACGAAGTAGATTAGGGTCTGTTAACAAGACGGAGAACTGTGAACCCGCGCCGGTCAGGTCCCTTGAGGCCAACAGCACCTCGACGAGAATTGGGGCTTTGTATACGGCGATTGATAGTAGTAGTCCCTTTACAACTACAGACCCTAGGCTAGTCCCGGAGAAACTGTAATCTTAAGAAGACAAGAATAGCCGGCCTTGGCTTTAACTATAGATAAGAGTAAGAGGAACTCGAGTCCAGGCTGTATACTGATATACTTTGATAATAAACGTTATAGTCTAGTTAAGGTTGGAGAGGATGTTTATACAATAAAAATTAGTCTATATAACTTATAATTAGTTAAAACAGTGATAGAAGTCTAAGAGCTTGCTATTTGTCTAAAAGTAGAAATTAATTTAGATATTCATAACCGGCCTGCTGAGATATACTGCGACCTGCCTCTACTCGGCCTTTAGCTGATATATGCGTGTATGAATAATCAATCAATCAACTAATCATTCAATCAACAGAGGAGAGCTGGCTTGCGGTATGCTGATCTCGGCTGACATGCGCCTGAGAACTGCACCGGTACGTGATAGATGAATTCGTAGAGGTATAGCCAGTGCTTCGAGCATGGTCTGGTGTATCGTTGCAACATCAAGAATGACCTGGGGAGCTTTCAGCCGGCTAATGACTGAAGGACGGGACGATGATGGACTCAGCATGCAAAATACAGGAATCAATCGACAAGGCCATGCTTGATGTTTATGCTTCGAGGAAGAGAAAGGTGGAACATGAGTGGTGTAAAAGCGAGATCTATCACATAGTTCAGAGGAAGCGGACTGCCTAAGACTCTTGTCAACCTAGCCCCCCTGAGTAGCCACTACACTACCTAATTCTTTCTTGCCTCCCTCCAACTAGCTACAACATACCAGCATTCGCAATCCGCACTCCTCAAGCTGGTCCGACCCATGCAAAGTACGAAACTACACCATGATTGTCAGCGGACTCGAAGTCGTCACCCGCCAGTTGGTGCGTAATTTACGGCATGTTCCCCAGCAACGACAACCGTGCGGAGTCGACCTTACATTACGCCAGGTCTCCAAATGGACCTCCGCGGCAACCATTGACTTCGACAATACCAAGCGTCAAGCAGCCCGAACGTCTAGCCTGCCCTTCGACACCACCAGCCACGCGATCACACTACAGCCAGGCGCCTTCTTAGTCGATTTCAACGAAACCGTCCACGTCCCGCGGAATTGCATGGGAAGCGTATTTCCCCGATCGTCGCTCTGGCGGTCTGGCGTGGGGATCGCGGCCGGCGTGGTCGACGCTGGATATGAGGGTGCGATGGGAGCTCTACTGGAGGTGAAGAACCCCCATGGAGTGGTTCTTTACCGAAATGCCAAGCTCGCCCAGATTGTCTTCGAGGAACTGGGGGAAACGGTCGAGGGGTATCAGGGGATCTACCAGTCTTCGGCGAGCAGCGTGGGGCGCGATGGGACAAAAGACTGAGTGAAGATGAAAGGTACAAACAAAGTGCCGGACGAGGTCGGATGATTCGTTGATTCGGAAATCATAGAGTCAGGTGCGCGGTGACTCAAGTTTTGAGATCTTTGTGTTCTTCGTGATCTATGCATATCCCACAAAGGGAACAGAGATAGAGTCAATGATTCCTCGTGGCAGATCAATTTTAGTTTTGGTTTTTTGCTTCGTCCAGTTGTTCCGAGTTGCAGATGATGGCCAGCTATAGCGCTGCGTTAGTACAGGAGGGAGGAATACGCCGCACGATGTGGCTGAAAAGAGAGAGAGGTAAGAGATTCGATCAGGTTGTTTGGTTGCCGGTCGAGGAAAGAGTCAATCAAGTCTGGGCCGGGACAAGCGGCAGATGGTCGGTCGGTCCATGGATTGATGCCCCGGAGACATCAAGTGACGGTCTTCCTGGGTCCATCGTATAGTTTCTCATCCATGGTCACCTTCCAGTAAACAAGAAAGAGGTAGATCGTACTCTCATGTATCTGTCGATTGTGTTCGGGAAGAACCTCGTGAAGATATCAAGATATCAATCAACTGACATAGGAAAACGATGAAAAGCAGAAGCAAAAGAAGGGGATGAAGTTTCAGCCTCCCCGCGTCTAGACCCGGCGATCGGCCCAAACTGGCCCCATCGATTTCTCAGTCACTTTCTTTTCCCCTCTTCCCAGTGCCATGCCAACTCCTCCAACCAACCTTGAACCTCCTCCTCTCCTCCTCAATCTCCCTGCGTTTGCTACTGTACTAACCGGCTTAGCACCATGAACTGCTTCTAAGCTACTACTCCTACAAGTAGTCTTTTGTGTCTCTTTCCAATCTGATAATATTTGCTTTCCCCACCCTGTTCTGGACCTCCTCTCTCTTGTCCCCTAAACTCCCTTCCCCCGAGTTTCCCTGTCCCCGTGCCATTATCTCTCGAATGCTGGCCTTCTCTCGCCCTTCCTGCGCTGCACCTCAACCGCGGATTGTTCGTGTCAATGACCGATCTTGGCTTTCATCAATTGAACATCCCGTCAGCAGATCCCTGGAATATCCAATCTCTCACAGCAGTTAGAATCACCAACGCTGGTTCGGCACTTTAGACCGAGACATCCGCCAATTCCCCTACAGAAACTTCAGAGTCAAAACACGGAAGAAAAAAACAAGGAAAACTTCAACGTTTCCAGAACAATAAAAAAACAAGAACCTCGATTGCTCTCAATAATAGCCCGGCATCTAACCGATAAATATTTCCTCTTAGCAGCCTTGTTGCAGAAATTTCTACTGCCAACAGCTGCCTGCTCTTCGCCCAATTTTCCCTTCCACCGCCGCGCGGTGTCGCTCAGCGTGGGCTTCGACTTGACCAGCTTAAGTGATGTATGTTTTGACCGGTTTTAGCATGGGATTGCCCGAGATGTGCTCCGCGGAGAACACCTGGTCGAAAGCACCTCTGTTCGCTCGTTACGCCCGCTTGCTAACATTTTCTGGACAACCCCAGACTGAACGCCATGCGCTGTGTCCCTTCCATAGAATCCGGTCGTAATTCGCTGATCTTTCATCAATCTCCTTCGGTTTCCTGGCGCCCTCCTATATTATAATTTGCCAGGACCCGAAGTCTCGTTCGCGGTGGTATCTGTTTTGGACACATCAACAATTCCATCCATACAGGGCGATCAACCCCCTCGGGACACCATGCCCGACTCAGCGGACCCCGAATGGTCAACCTCATTCGCATCTGGCCCTACCATGTCCTTGCTCCCGACTCAGTGCCTTCCCGGTGATGTGCCTGCAACTACCTTTCTTGACGACGATGCGCAGGCCGATTCGTCCGGTCGCCGGTATATCGGTAGACCCCAGAGTTTCGCAATCGATAGGCTGGTGAAGCTAAAGCAAGAACTTCGTCCCTTGGATTCAGAAACATTCTGGCATCAATTAATGGAGCAAATCAGTCTTATATGCAAGGCTCAATATGTATTCGTCGCTCGCAGGGCTCGGGATGATGAATCCGTGAATGAGATAGAAGGCTACAAAACGATGTTGTTTGGTACAGCCTTCTATTATAACGATGGACACCGCACAGCAGGCATGCACAGACGCAGGCACTTCGCTGGCGGGAACCCTCTCTCGCACATGGACCGTGAGCAGCCATGTTTAATTCCCGAGAAATTAGGATCCTTCATTTCCTTTGACCGGGATCAGCTTCCATTTGCCGCCGAGGGATACCTGGCTGTACCGCTTTTCTCAGGAACAAAGTGTCTAGCCTTTTTTGGACTCATGTGGTCGGAACCGGGCTTGCAAAAGCGTAACCTTTCGTGGTCGCTTCTCGAGATGATCTTGTATTCTCTTGAAGACTTGGTTGTTCAGCGGATTTGCGACGACGTGGACCCTACAGTTACTGTGAACTCCGGTCAAGAGAGCACCGACTCTTCTGGAGGCAAGACATGCGTTGTCGGCGATGTGAATATCGGGGTTGTCCATGGATCTGCAGACTTCTCATCGCAGCCACTGAAGCCCTACGCGAGGAGCTTGTCCCACGAGCTTCGGACACCGATGCAGGGCGTGGTCGGGATGCTGGACGTCATGCATGCTACGGTACGCGAAGCCATCCAAGACAAGCCTTCGCCGAAGGCTGGATTTGTCTTTCGCACCCTTAAGGAGAGTATTGAAATGGTCCAAGGTCAGTCTCAGATTCCCATCGCCTATGTGAATTTCATGCTGATTTTCCAATATTTGGGTGGTACAGATAGTGCACGCAGAGCCGTCGAGGCGGCGGATAATGTTGTTCATGCCTACGACATGAACATGCAGGTCCCCAAGACCCCCCAGTGTGAAAGGGACGATTTCTTCAGTGGTCCGTCGCAGAGCCCGGTTAGTGCGAGCGAGGGTCGACCGACCATTTTCGGGGAAAGGAGCAACATCACAGTCAATCCGTACAAGCGACGACGCAGTAACCCTCCGGACTGGAATGCTGGTCAGCCTCCAAAGTCAAAAGCGCCGCGGGTCTCCGCTCCCAGAGGCCTTTCGCCTCGCAGCGAAGAGGTCAAAAATGCGGTTCATGAAAGTGAAAAACTGCTTAAGGCTACTCCTGCTCACGAGATTGAAGCAGTAATGGCGAACGTGGTTGATCCCCGTCCGTCTCTAGCTGTTCGGCGTTCGGCACCGCACTTGCTACTTGAAGGCATCAATGTCAATCAGCAAGTTCCAGCTCTGAGAATGACGAAACTCCGTGATCTACTCCGCCTAGTCATCAACGAGTCCTTGCATGTGGGCGGTCGACCCGACTTCGCTGTGAGTAACGCGACAGAGCGAGGAGAGCGGATTGAAGTCCGCTCGCGGTCATCCAATGGTGAGGTCTTTTCGAAGACAATCGACTGGTCTGTCGATCCGGCCCTTCCAGAGACTCTCTTCGTAGATGACCGAGATCTGGCCAAGTTGATATCTTGTGTGTTTCTCAATGCTGTTAAGTTCACCAACAGCGGTATGATCACAGTGACTGCCACGGTTGGCCGCAAGGCGAACGATGTCTTGATCAACATCAAGGACACCGGGCCAGGGATTCCGGATGATTTTTTACCTAAACTTTTCAGGCCATTTGCCCGTGAAGACACATCCACCACCCGCAGCAAAGATGGGCTTGGCTTGGGTCTCCTTGTAGCCAAGGGATTGTCTAGAAAAATGGGTGGTGATCTCATTTGTGTCCGCTCCTCGACGTCGGGGCCTGATCGTGGCTCGGAGTTTGAGATTAGAATCCCCGCCAATCAGCCTGAGCCTTCAGCGGACCGACCTTTGCTGCCTCCAAAACTGCTTACACCTCCTCAGCTCACTGAGACGATGCGGCTGAGCAATGCAAATAATATCACGCCAGACTTTTCCTCATTGTTGCCTACCCCGCAAACTCCTGGTTCACAGGTCCAGCAGCCATCTCCGTTTCTGACTGATGAGCCACCGTCGCTGGCTACGACGCCTGCGCCCCCGCCTCCCAGGAGCACACCACCACAGCGCCACATCAACGGTGATACTCACGACAGCCGTCTCGGGGAGAAGCATCCTTTAACGTTTCTGGTGGCAGAGGATAACAAGATCAATCGGCGAGTCTTAGTGCACATGTTGAAGCGACTTGGCTACAAAGACATATATGAGGCCTGTAACGGCAAGGAAGCCGTCCGCATCATGCAAGATGTTCTTGAGGCACGGCGTCCCGGCCAACAAAGCCCGATTCAGGATTCGAAGCTAGTGAATGAGTCTGACGGCTTCTCGGTTCCCAAACCACCCAGTCAAACCAAGACACGAAAACTAGTGGACGTGGTACTTATGGATCTCTGGATGCCAGAGATGGATGGCTACGAAGCCACGTCCAAGATTCTCCGGATGGTTGAAGAACACCGGAGCAAGCTTCCCTCCGATACTCCGACTAACCAGCACCTTACCGACACACAACCTCCCACAGTCCTGGCTGTCAGTGCCGATGTCACAGACGAGGCTCTAAACCGTGCCACGAAGGTTGGCATGAAGGGTTACATGACCAAGCCGTACAAGCTCTCGGACTTGGAACGGCTGATCCTGGGCTTTTGCAGCAACAATACCTCACGGCCGCACGATGATTCGATGAATGCATGAACTCGTCCATTTTCTGTTTTGTTCTTGGAACTCTTGTTCTTTTCTGTTTCTCGCTTGATACCTCATCGTTGACCTTCCTTTCGACTCTTTTGCTACCGCCCACTCGGGCCAGACTAGTATTGTCTTCTTTCGTGGACTCCTTTTTCTCCACGTGGTGTTTCTATAGATAATTTTTCCGTTGCTGATGTTTGAATGAGCGACCTAGTGCACCCTTAATGATCTATGACCAGGGGTATAAAAACGGAGAGCTAAATAAACGAGAGCTCGATGGACTTGGAATATAACAAATCCAATTCGATGATGATTCTTATTGACATGGGTTGAATTCAATGCTACTGCATTGATAGTTTTGATGGTAAATAGGCGGTGGTAAATAGTCCATTCTTACTGTTGTGTGCTGAGTGGGCGGGGTAAGTCGTGTTTTGCACGGTTTTGTTGGGGATCTCATGGATCTCCGTACACGGTATATATATCCTGCCGGCTCGCTTGGGATACTCCGAGCAGCCCATGCAGACGAAGGCTACTCCACATCAAGAACTCGACTAACCAACCGAACACCATGAGAACGCTATGATCACCTTACGTTCCTTGACTAGATACCTTTGAACATAGCAGCACAGCCCAAGTGTGAAGAAGATAATATAGATCATGTCATGTCCCCGTAAGACACAAACAAACAAACATTTGGAAATACGAATGACTTAGAAAAGTTTATTACCTCGCTGAAAAGAAAACACCGATCATATAAAGCTACCGGGCCTGATTTGGTAATTTCTCTCTCCCCCCCTCGATCTTCTTTCTTTGTCGCACAGAACCAAGGAGAAGAAACAAAATCATAGCTCGAAAGAAAAGAACCCCCCTTTCGTCCGATCGACATGGGCATTTATGTGAGCTTCTGCTTGATGAAGAAAGAGCGGAGATGCGAGAGTTGCCAGGCACAAGCGGCCGAGAGAACGAACAGCTGGATCAGGGTCCACCGGACGACGCGGGAATTGGTAGCCTCGGACTGGTCGCGGAATTCGGCCTCACGTTCCTGTTATTTTTTTGGTTTAGCAAGCTCGTTCATTGACTCGTGGGATATCGTAGAGGGGCGCGACGAGGGCCTTTCCCTCAAGGTGCAAAGAGAGAGAGGGAAGGGGAAGAGAGTCGCGTCATAGTTGAGAAGCACAAAACGAAGCTTGAGCGCGCGGGGATTGAAGACATACCCGCTGGAACACCTGCTCTCTCCGGATATCCTGCAAGCGACCGTTCAGGTCCTTGACCTTCTGCACAATGTCCTGCATCTTGTCCTTGTCCTCCGACTCGATCTTGCTGGTCTCGCCGATGGCCATGTCGAGGGTGACCTGGACGGCGCCGGCCTGGGCGCCGGACAGCCAGCCGCCCGTGGCGGCATTGGTCTCGGGGGTGAGGCAGATCTTGTGCAGGCCGGCGTCGGCGGCGGAGAAGGTCCAGCGGCCCGAGTGGCCGTCGCGCTTGGAGACGACGCGGTGGTCGTTGTCGAAGATCTCGTCCACGGTGATGAGCATCTTCAGGTTGGGGTCGACGATATACGTGTTCGATTGTTCGTTGATGACGGCCGTGGAGTAGGTGCCTGTTGTTGCTTTGAATTAGCTTGGGTGTGAATTGATGATCTTGTCGGGGAAATTACTGACCGACAACGAGGGTGTCCTTGGGAAGCTCCTCATAGAAGCACTTGGTTTGGCGCCCGTCCATGAAGAAGTAGAGGGCATTGGCGGGCACCGACAGGCACAGGATGGCACATACGGCCAGCGCAGAGGAGAGCCATGAGGCCGATGATCGAGACGGAGCCATGATGCGATCCAGATTCAGGAGAAAATTGACCTAAGAATCCGAGGAAATGAAGAGGGGGAGGAAACAAAAAGAAATGGGTAAGTGGAGGAGGGGAGGTCGACTGGCAGAGCAAGTAGAGAAGGACAGATTAGGATGGTGGCAGCAGCAGCAGCAGTTGAAACCAACAAGACAAGAACTGGCCCGAGTCGGTCTTGGCGCGAATTCATTCTCTCTTCAATTCCTCCCTCCGCCCACCCTCCCCCCCCCTCTTTCATTAACTCAGCCGTTCCCCTAATAGCTGTCATCACCCTCTATCGCATTTATTGCTCGACTTGAATCTTGAACAAACTCTCTACGCTTGAGTCGATCCCTCACCCTCTCCCGATCGCCCCGGGGTCCCGCCCGTCATGGCTGCCGCCGATGTTCGCGACATGCTGGATTTGCCCGCGGAGGGCCAGCCACGTCCGCTGAAGAAGCAGAAAGTGACCGAGAAGAGACCAGGTAGGCTGCCATGCTTGAACTTCACACCAAGGAATCTCTAACTTAATTATCTCGAGTCTAGAGGGTATCACTCGTGAGCTCTTCGCCTTACTAGGCGAGCGGGCACCTCCGATCGCAATCAACGAGAACCGCTACAAGGGCCGTCCCAAATGGATGAGCAAGATGCGTGTCCGCCCTTGGTAGGACCACTTCCTCATCATTTGCTAGCGAGTCGCTAACATGACTTGACACTCAGGCGGATGGTGCCATTCGAAAACGGCGCGCGATCGGACGGTCTCGTGCTGCGCCATTGGCAACGACAGAACGAGCCCGCGAAACCCGCTCTAGAGGGATCTGAGATGGAAGTGGACGAGAAGACGGACGGCAAGAACGCATCCGAGACGGTGGAGAAGGATTACATGTTCGCCAAATACAATATCAAAGCGCGCGTGCCGAACCGCTACACCGATGAGGAGTACAACCGCCATCTGAAGAATGACGACTGGACTCGCCAGGAGACCGACTATCTGATGGACTTGGTCGAGGAGTACGATCTTCGCTGGGTGGTGATCGCCGACCGCTACGATTACCAACCGCATCCCGTCGACGCGGAGACGAACACAACGGCCCTCGTCCCGGCCAAACGATATCGGACAATGGAACAGATGAAAGCTCGCTACTACTTCATCGCCGCATCCATGCTCGCCCTCGAGCAGCCCCCGTCCGAGATGTCCGAGGCCGAATTCGAACTGCACGAGAAGATGATGAAATTCGACCCGGAGCGCGAGCGCTCCCGCAAGGAGCTCGCGGCCCTGCAGCTCAACCGCACCGCCGACGAAGTCCGCGAGGAGAGTATCCTCCTGGAAGAGCTCAAACGCATCACCGCCAACGAGCAGGAGTTCATCACTGAGCGCCGGGAGCTCTACTCCCGCCTCGAGGTCCCCATCAGCGTCGGCAACACCACCATGTACCAGTCCAGTCAGGGTCTCTCGCAACTCCTCCAGACCCTCCTACAAGCCGACAAGAGCAAGAAGCGTCGCTCGATCCTGGGCCCCGAAAGCGCCGGCGCCGCTCCCAGTCCGGCCGGGCAGACTCCCGCCTCCAACGCCCCCGGCAGTGCCCGGGACAGCCGCGCCGATACCCCCAATGCCTCCACGCCCGCCACCGCTGCCACCGCCGCTGCCGCCCCGATCAACAAGAAGGCCGCCGCCGCCGCTGCCGCCGCTGCCGCGGCGGCCGCGACCAAGGAAGCCGAAAAGACCGTCAAGACGCTCACCCCGGCCGAGGAGGCCAAGTACGGCGTGCAGCACCACGAGCGGCTGGCCCCCGGCGTGCAGTTCCGGAGCGATCGCGCCCAGAAGCTCACGCAGGCCAAATCCAACGTGCAGACGCAAAAGCTGGCGGCCGCGCTGGCCGAGCTCGCCGTGCCGCTCCGCCTCGTCATGCCCACGGAGCGCGTGTGCAAGGAGTTCGAGAAGCTCATCCACTCGGTCAACCTGCTGCTCGACGCGCGCAAGGTCGCCGAGAAGGTGGAGAGCGAGATCCGCGTGCTCGAGGCCGCCAAGGAGGAGCGCGAGCGCAAGACCAAGGAATCCCAGCAGGAGAAGACCTCCACCACGTCCACTTCCACTAGCAAACCCGAGGTCAAGTCCGAGCAGCAGGACGAGGAGGACGGCCAGCCGCTGATCCCCGCTGATGCTGCCGCCGAGGCCGCCACGGCCCCCGATCCCAAGGGTCCGGCCACTGCGGCCCAGGCGGAGGGCGAGGCAGCAGCAGAAGTGAAAGGGACGAGTGGCGTGCCTGCTGGTTCGACGGAGGGACAGGATGGAGCGTCGCACAAACGCTCGGCCAGTGTTTTGAGCAATGCGAGCGACAAGAGCAACAAGCGGCAAAGAAAATAAGGCCTAGGGCCTTGAGTTTTGTGTTTCGGGCAAGGGCGTTTTGATTGGGAAGGACTTCGGGGGCGTCTTGATGCTTTAATATATACCTTTGTACGATTATATGAGACCCTGCGCGGGTGCTTTCCAGGATTGCAGACTAGATGTGCATAAACTTCCAATGACTTCCACTTGGTGATGGTCATCTCATCACATGCTCTCTGTCCACAAGGTCCTTGAATCGGCCCCCTCCCCCCGCACCTAGTATGTATAAAACGAATATCCCCAGCGTCTTGTCTAACGTATGCATTCTTGCTCGCCACAAGCTGAGGTATCAATACACAACAATCCAACCCTGTCATATCTCTCCCATGGTCAGTGTTGACTAGTCCGCCCTGAAGCAGGCCCACCGAGTCTTTGATACAAAGCGTTTACTACCAATAGAATTGCCTCTAAGTCCTCAAGCCCAGCACACAGGTTACATACTCATCGACTCACTCACCTACAGAAAAGATCTCCTCACAATCCTGATAATTGCTTTCCCAGCCATCAGTGACAACTGTCGAGCCAGTCTGTTCCGAGAACTGCTTGCGAACCGGGTCTACGCTGGGACTGCTTGGTCCATCTTCCTCGAGAGAAGACTTGTGATTTCCGCCGGGCCATTGCTTTAGAGGAACCATCGGCTCACCATCCTCGTCCGTCTGGGCCCGGCGCTTACGGTCCAAGACCCGGAATTTCATAGCTCGCCCGTCTTTCTTTTGTATCACTGGGAACCGCCCGGCCGACGCGTTCAACTTGGCAGTTGCTTTGGCCTCCAGGTCGCGCGCCATCGCAGACATACTGCGGCCCTTGCCCATAGACTTCCGGTGCGACGCAGAGTCGACCATCTTCCCAGAGACATCCCTCGTCCTTCTGTGCTCGTACTGGATGCTGACGGACTCGCTTGTGGGGGCTGTTGTTCGCTTGGAGATTGGTTAGGATCGACCCAGGCACAGAAATCCCAAGGGTCCTTTGCACCAGCTGATGGCTCTGGGTCGGAATGATCCTTCTTCCTTTTTGAAAATTTCCCCAGTAGAGAAGACTTTAGTGACTCATCGCCTGCAGTTTCATTAGTTGCGCCGGACCAACTGCGAAGATTGATGTGGCCAATAATGGAAGAGATATCGAGACCAGTTCCCGCTTTCTTCGACAGCGACGTTATATCCTGCTGTTGTGGCTGGTCCTCGATAAGGTTTGCCTTCTCAGTCTGCGTATCAGTCTCCAGTGGCGCGTCTTGGCTTGAACCGTTGATCGCAAATGGACCGGACTGTTCTTTTGAGGGCCTATCGTTTTCTTCAGCAGCGGACACTAATGTGTACCCATAGCCAAGACGCCGTCCACCAGACATCCAGCCCACGCTCACTTTCCGGGGCGATACAGGATCTGCGTCAGTGTTAGTTGGAAAGCTGATGTTTGAGGAAGCGACTGAAAGGTCCGAGTGAATCTGTTCTACAAATGTGCCGTACGAGGCTAGCGCATTAGTCGTATTGTCATGGACGAGTCTGGAACTCGCAGACCCAGCATTGGCCATATCTTCCAGCAGCAGGGGTGAGCAGTCTCGAGTAGGATGAAGGCTTCTTTGGGATTGTCTCCCTACCGGCGTTGTGTTGTGCGCTATTTCTGCCTTGCCCAAGTATATTCTGGATCCAGCCGAATACTGGCTGTCTGGTCGAGAATAGCAGGAAGATGTCTGTTGTGGAAAGGGCCTATATGTCGGTTCACTTACGTCCCTCGCCTTGCCTTTGCCCACCACTGGGCCATCATCAATGAGCTGTTCCGTTGGCTTCCGCAGCCTGACATCACTAACCCATGGGTTTCCCTCGAAGGATTGTTTAGTCGAGAGAACCCGAGGAGAGGTTGTACGAGATGCAAGCATCCTATGAATCTCCATGTCCTCGAGATGAACGGAAGCATTGCCGGAGGCAGACAATGGAGGTTGTTGTCTTCTCTTTCTAACCGGAAGCCCCGTTGAGGGCCCAGCTAGCGAGTCTACAGATGTCGTGTAATGCGTTGGCACCGGGGAGACGTGGCCTGGAGTTCTCGAGCGATACTCATAACATCCCGAGGTCGAAAAATGGTTGCCCTCGGGGATAGTTGGAGAGCTATGTAGGGGGTTCGACAGCTTTGGGGTCCCAACTGGAGAAGGTGAAGAGTATCCATCCTGCTTATCCCATGGCACACACTCTGCTGACCTCGGAGTCATGAAGCCAGCATGATAAGGTTGTGCGGCTTGGACCCGACGGCTTGCACTGCTTCCCACACGGGAGAAAGGGGGGTTTGGTGTCGGATGGACGGCCCAGATTGCCTGGTCCATGGAAGACCAAGGGTTTCGTGTTCCTTCCAGTATAGTCTGGTCTACTCCAGGTGCGTTCACTGAGTCTCCATTCGACACACCAGATGTACTGCCTGGGGTGAGGTGACCGTTCCTTTCATCCCCACGAGATTGAAGCTTGGACAGCGATGTTGTCTCGTGTACGAAATTCTCCGCGACCAAGCGATCTGGCGTGCGAGTAATTTGTTTTGGGGTGCTGATGAACTGAGCGTCACTGTCATAGCCCCTCTCGCTCATCAAACTGCTGCCAAAGCCAACTGGGGAAACGGTGTCCAGCCGATTACTGGCAAATCTCGACGGATCGCGGAAGCTAGAGGATGCTGATTTCCTCGCGGCCCTCGTGGGGGCTCCATGGAGGCCTTTGAGTTCTCTCGAGAATCGCTTGCGTAATTTTTCCGACAAGCCGCCGGCGGAGGTCCCAGAGGAGGAGAAGCGAACGGCATCTTTTCTAGAGGTGAATTGAGCTATCACGATCGAATCGTTAACAGATGAGTTTACAGGCAGGGATTGAGTCACGCTGTACCACTATCCTGACCACTTTCCACAGCTCCATTTGGAGGCGAAGTGACTGGATGCAGTGGGTACGCAGGCCCCGTTCCTGGCGGGTCTGGTTTCTTCCAGTACGCGCGGAGTCGGGGGCAAAAGAAAATCCCCATTGTCGATGGCCGCCGCGGAGTGTTCAACAGTGTTGATCAGATGGCGACTGTGGCAATTGAAGCCATGAAGTGACCCATGAGCGCACGAGCATGGAGAAGACCAAGCCTCCCAAGACTACCTTTGCAATCATCTCGAGTTGCTACTGTAGGGAAGGCGAGGGGGGGGGGAGGAGCGTGGCGTGAGAATTGCCAGACCCCCAAACTGAGGCAGGCGCGTTCGTATTCTTGCTTGAGTCCAATTCATCAGAGAATGGAAAGACAGCGTACCACTAAATATAGACTAGGAGTCTGTCCAGCATGTGTCCGAAACGAAGCAACAATCAGACTGCAGCGATCTGGGGAGGGGCATTGCTCAAGTAAAAGTTCCCAGCGGCGCCGGACAACAAATTGGTCTCCGAACTCAATCGCCGGAGCTCCGAATGATGGAAGCGGGGATCCTTATCCAACATGGCTGATGCTTCGGACAAATTGAAATCAGTCAGGTTGTTTGAGCTTTACTGAAGTGGCAATTGTTTACACAGAACATCGCGAATGGAGCAAATCATAGTCATCCAAGTTACCCAAGTGACCAAAGTCACCGGAATGAAATAACTTTACCTACAATCTACCTCCAAATAGGCATCTGGCCCTGGCTTTTAGTGGCCGATCGCGGACGCAGCCAGACCGTCTCCGATGGTTTCTCCGGACTGCGACCGGCCGGTCCCTCGCAACTGGCCAACTTACTGGCTAACTTACTGGCTGTGACTCAAATGATTTACCCTGGGTTAATTAACTTTTTGGGGGGTCCTTTTGGGTCTTTTACTTTTTTCCCTCGCGATTGACTTGATCACGCCATTTGGCACTATTCAATTGCTGGATTAGCCTCATACTTCGGCGAGATGGTTGACTGTCCTTACCAGTGGTTCTCCGTAGTTCAATACACATTTCTTACAGTTTCTGGCATAGAACAATTGAGACCAACGGGACAATCATTGGCCTCACTGATGAGCATTAGATGCATGAGAATGAGAACGTGCAGTCCGAGGGGCCACGGGATCCCATGGGATACCATGGGAGGGGCACTCCTCCGCAGTCGGTCCATGGACAATGATTTGATAATGCGATTAGATCAAGGCAAAGATACCCAAGTTAAACCTTGAACTTTGAATGATTGAATGAATTCTCGAGACAGCCCAACCGGGTGTTACCAGCGACCAGCGGGGAATCGCTATCGGAGGGTTGTTGACAGTCCGGAGGGGCTGTAATTTTACCGGTTATTACCGGCCACGAAACCCCGCCAAACTTTCCGCCATCCCATCCAGACCCAGTCAGAAAGAAACCTTCGGCCTCCGATGTTTTAGGATTTTTTTTTTCTTCTTCTTTGGTACATACAGTCCAGGCAGTGGTTGTAGCCTGAGGTTTTCCGCCTCCCCTGCCCCTCCCCCTCCCAGCTTATATTTCCCCTCCATCCCCCCCTCCCTCCTCCGTCTTCTTCTCTTCTCTTTCTCTTTCATCTCTCCCGTGTGTCTTTCTCCCTCTCTATCTCTTCCTCTCATCTCTCTCCCAGCAAGAGGATTGATTCTTCTTGTCTGTTCTTCCTTGTGTTGTGTGCCTTGCAACTTGTTCACTCCATCCACAAACTCTCTCCCTTTCTCCCCGTACACATTCACACACATTCGTCAAGATGGTTCAGTCTTCCGTCTTGGGTTTCCCCCGTATGGGAAAGCTCCGTGACCTCAAGAAGGCTACTGAGGCTTACTGGGGTGGAAAGATCTCTCGTGATGAGCTCCTGAGCGAGGGAAAGAGACTCCGTGCTGAGCACTGGAAGCTCCAGAAGCAGGCTGGTGTCGACATCATCCCCAGCAACGACTTCGCTTTCTACGATCAGGTCCTCGACCACATCCAGCTCTTCGGTGTATGTCTTTAAGCCCCTCTGCTTTATGCCCAGAAATCTCTGCTAACATGCTTCTTCATAGGTCATCCCCGAGCGCTACAGCAAGTACGGTCTCGACCCTCTCGATGAGTACTTCGCCATGGGCCGTGGTCTCCAGAGACCCGCCAAGGATGGCCAGGCCGCTGTCGATGTTCCCGCTTTGGTATGATACGCTGCATAGGAGGTTGGATACGATCAAGGCTAATACTGTCTCCAGGAAATGGTCAAGTGGTTCGACTCTAACTACCACTACGTCAAGCCTACCCTTCAGGACAACCAGACCTTCAAGCTCGCTGCTGAGCCCAAGCCCGTTGTTCAGTTCCTCGAGGCCAAGGAGGCTGGTGTTGTCACTCGCCCTGTCATCCTCGGTCCCGTCTCCTTCCTCACCCTCGCCAAGGCCGACCGTGGCCAGACCATTGACCCCATCTCCAAGCTCGAGGAGCTCCTTCCCCTCTACGTCGAGCTCCTTGCTAAGCTCAAGGAGGCCGGTGCTGAGGATGTCCAGATTGATGAGCCCGTCCTCGTCTTTGACCTCCCTGCCAAGTCCAAGGCTGCCTTCAAGCCCGCCTATGAGAAGCTCGGTGCCCTTGGTGACAAGGCTCCCCGCCTCGTCCTTGCCACCTACTTCGGTGACATTGTTCACAACATTGATGTTCTTCCTGCTCTCCAGAGCCTCCACGGTATTCACATTGACCTTGTCCGCAACCCTGAGCAGCTCGATACTGTCGTCGGTGCTCTCGGCCCCAAGCAGATTCTGTCTGCTGGTGTTGTTGACGGTCGTAACATCTGGAAGACCAACTTCAAGGCTGCCATCGAGAAGGTTGAGCTCGCCATCCAGAAGCTCGGCAAGGAGCGCGTCATTGTTGCCACCTCCAGCTCTCTCCTCCACGTTCCCCACACTCTCGAGAGCGAGAAGAACTTGGATGCTGAGGTCCGTGACTGGTTCAGCTTCGCTGTTGAGAAGCTGTCCGAGGTTGTCGTGATCGCCAAGGCTGTTACCGAGGGCCCTGCTGCTGTCCGTGAGCAGCTCGAGGCCAACGCCAAATCCGTCCAGGCCCGTGCTTCCTCCAAGCGCACCAACGACCCTGAGGTCAAGGCCCGCCAGGCCGCCGTCACCGAGGAGATGCACAACCGCAAGTCTCCCTTCACCACCCGTATCGCCGAGCAGACCAAGTCTATCAAGCTTCCTCTCTTCCCCACCACCACCATCGGATCTTTCCCCCAGACCAAGGAGATCCGTGTCCAGCGTAACAAGTTCACCAAGGGTGAGATCACCGCTGAGCAGTACGAGAAGTTCATTGAGCAAGAGATCGAGGAGGTCGTCAAGATCCAGGAGGAGCTCGACCTGGACGTTCTCGTCCACGGTGAGCCCGAGCGTAACGACATGGTCCAGTACTTCGGTGAGCGCCTCACCGGTTACGTCTTCACCACCCACGCCTGGGTTCAGAGCTACGGATCCCGCTGCGTGCGTCCTCCCATTATTGTCGGTGACATCTCTCGTCCCGCTCCCATGACCGTCAAGGAGTCCAAGTACGCCGTCTCGATCTCCAAGAAGCCCATGAAGGGTATGCTCACTGGTCCCATCACCTGTCTCCGCTGGTCTTTCCCCCGTGACGATGTCCACCAGTCTGTCCAGGCTCAGCAGCTGGCTCTTGCCCTCCGCGATGAGGTTGTTGACCTCGAGGCTGCCGGTGTCAAGGTCATCCAGGTCGATGAGCCCGCTCTCCGTGAGGGTCTTCCTCTCCGTGCTGGCACGGAGCGTGAGAAGTACCTCGAGTGGGCCGTCAAGGCTTTCCGCCTGTCCACTGCTGGTGTTACCGACGGTACTCAGATCCACTCTCACTTCTGTTACTCCGAGTTCCAGGACTTCTTCCACGCCATCGCTGCGCTGGATGCCGATGTTCTGAGCATTGAGAACAGCAAGTCTGATGCCAAGCTGCTCAAGGTCTTCATCGACGAGGCCTACCCCCGCCACATCGGTCCTGGTGTCTATGACATCCACTCTCCCCGTGTTCCCAGCGAGCAGGAGATCAAGGACCGCGTCGAGGAGATGCTCCAGTACCTCCGCCCTGAGCAGCTCTGGATCAACCCTGACTGTGGTCTGAAGACCCGTCAGTGGCCCGAGACCAAGGCTGCCCTGAGCAACATGGTCGCGGCTGCCAAGTACTTCCGCGAGAAGCACAGCAACTAAATTCTTTTTACATATTTAATCAGCCCATGATTGGGGCGACGATTTTCAACCCGTCGTCTCGGAGAGAACAATCTGTCGATTGTTGTCCGTCCATTTTCTTATGATGAGTTTACGATGTGATACCAAAAGTTCAACATATGGGTTCAGGGTTTCATTAGATGGGGTCCCCGGAGTTTTCAACATGTCTTTATGACGATTTCAACATCGGCGTCTGCATTAAACATCAGCGCCAAGATCTTTATTTCTGCCTTTTAACAGCGGGAATGCTCGGTGATGTCTGGTGCTTCGCCGGTGTCTTACACATAATATTTCAACAATGTGATACCACACGAAGAGGTTGCTACTGTACCACCTCTTTGGCAATTTAATTTTTACTCTTCGAATTATCGTCGTACTTGCCTCAGTGTAAACGTAGTACTTGAGTAAAAAGATGGTCAACTCCACTGATCTACATGGATTCTCAGTCTTTCCAGTGCTTCAACAAGTCCACAATATCATATTGTAGTATCTTAGCCATTGCTTCGGTTTCCTAAAAACTCCCAAACTAGCTCTACATGGCGAAGCATACACTAAAAAACCACAACCAACCCATAACAAACCAACCCCTCTAATCAAGTAGTATACAAACCATCCCCCAAACTCCTTATTCCCATCATCCTACCCTCCCTCTGTCAACCCCCAAAATACAATCCCCCCCCCCAAAAACCCCTCTCCCCTGAATGCCAAAGCAAAGCAACCCTAAAACCACCCACAAAACGGCACCACCGCCCCCCTCCCCGCAACCTTCTCCTCCCCAAACCGCTCCACATACCACCTCCGCCCCCACCGCGCATGCGGCAGCATATTCGTCACCGCGTTCACCAGAAACACCGCCGCCGGCACGGGGAACGGCAGCCCCACGGCCGCGGCGAGCTGCGCGGCGGGACGAAGCCAGGGAGCGAGATGGAGGGATCCGCTAGCTGCTGCTGCTGCGGTACTGGCCATGGTTGCGGTGGGATTGGTATACGCACGCAACCCCAAGCCCAACCCCAACATCCCGGCCGACGACCGCACCGCCGTCCCCGCGAGCGCGAAGCCGGTCCATTCCAGCCATTCGCAGACGTAGTGCGGGTAGAGGATCGCGGAGAAGAAGGGGGTGGATGGTGGGGGGATTATGTAGACTTTCGAAGTTGAGGGGGGTGATGGTTTGGGATTGGATGAGGGGTCGGGGTCTTTGGAGGTAGTAGCAGCAGCCGCCGCCCTCCTCGCGCCCTCCTCGCGCCGGAGCCGGAAGAGCGTGCGTTCGGCGTAGATGTTTCCGGCCATGCCGGCCAGAAAGAGCGCGAGGCCGAGGTAGGGTACTACCTTTCCTGCTGCTGCGGCTGCTGTGTTGGGTGTTGATGAAGACGAGGGATAGTCCGGGCGGATGGGGATGTCATATCCCACTAACCAACCCGCCAAGCACGTCGAGTTGAACCAGTTGAAGAGCATGGCGGAGGCCATGATGAATAGGTGGATGGGGGACATGCTGGGGGCGGCGAGGAAGGGGGAGATGATGGCGCGGTTGAGGTAGTGCGCGACAAAGAGGGCGGCGAGGAGTTTGTTGGGCAGGGGGATAGACCCAGTGGCATTCGGACCAGAATTGGTGGTGGTGCTGTGGGCGAACTTGAGGGGCAGCTTCCACAGCAGGTAGAGCAGGTTCACCGGGCTGACGATCTCCATGGCGAACCAGGCCCAGCGGCCGGGGAGGTTGAAGAGGGAGGTCTTCATGGAGGTCTTGCCGGCCGGGTGCCAGGCGGTTAGCCATTGGATGATGGTGAACTGTACTTCGGTGGTTAGCATGACCGGTCCCCCAAATAGATGAATCGCAGACTGACCAGCGGGAAGTATTGGAAGATGTTCAGTAAGGTGAGATAGACATCTGGGGTGGGGAGGAGAATGTCCATCAGAGGAGGGAGATGGCCCCAGCAGGAGGAGAGGGTGGCTCCCATGTTGGGATGGGCGTACTGGTGAAGTCGATATACTTATTGTACTTTGTACGAGTACAGTTGCTTCAGTACATCGCCCCAGCAGTTAGTTATGTCATTGGAGGTTACGTTAACTAAACTCAAGTGATCCTTCGATCATGTGAATGACTAAGGTCTGACTAAAGGAAATCGGCAATCAAGCAGACTACAGCTTATCCCCTCGAATACGAATACGAATACCGTTGACTGGAACCCCATACTGATAAATCACCGTCCATTGCGCCTACCATTCATGCTTAGATTCCAAAACCATAACACATCATTGGGTTCAAATCGTCCGGCAATGCAGACCATGGTGCACTGATCGGGTCGCGATGTACTGCAGAATCCGCCCCCGACTCGGCTATATTCTATGATGATAATCCAACGCAAGAGAAAACTCCAACCCTTCTCAGTAAAGGAAACAAAACAACGATGACCTCAATCCATCTCATGGTCAAAAGCGCTAATTAGAATAAGCCCCGGGGCGGCGGAAATGCCCTCTGTATAGAGGCCGTTGCTTTTGGGGACTCGCAATCAACCAGTAGTCGTGTCCATCGGATCGGAGACCTTAGCTTGCCTGCGCGCCGCCATCCGTTCGGCTTTGAAGGCTTCGATCTTGGCTTTGAGTTCCGTATCTAGGATGCAGAGTCAGCCATGAACCTTTGGGATATCGTCAACGACAGAAATACTCACCGGGCGTGACATCCTCCATCTTCAACGGAGCTCGGTTGAAGGGGTCGTGGGGATCACTGAGAAGGTGCGAGCGAATGGTAGAGCGGTCAATAGACACCCTGGACCCAGGCAAGATCACAGGGTCTTCCATCAGAGTGTACATAAGAGGATCTACAAAGCTGCATTAGTGTCGTTGGAGTGGAAGCCAGAAGTGTAATCATACCCAGGAAGTCATCAGGAACCTCCCCGAGGTCCTCTTCCGCCTGCTCGTCTTCTTCTTTGGCCGCCTTCACCTTGTGCTGGAACTGCTCCCACCGCTTGAGCTCCTCGGGCGACTTCAGGGACCATTTCCGCAGAATCTCGGCGGCCTTTTCGAAATTGGCAGGCTTGTAGGACCGCCCATCACGTGCCACAGCCACAATGAAACTCTCTTTGCCCGTCAGATTCAGATAGACATCAACGATCTCGCTCAGCAACGCCCGAGGGTTGAAGCCGTATTCCTGCAAGTTGTCCACCCGCAGAGTAGCACTCTTGGGCCCGACCATGGCGTCCAGGTTGTAGTCGAGCATATCTGCCAATCGCTGCACAATTTCGGGCATCGTGAAAGAATCGGCCAGTGCATCGGTGAACAACTTGAGCATGGAAACAGTCTCATTCGTCAACTGCATATAGGACTTGGCATTGCGCTGCGCGGCCGCCAGCTGCTCCTCCTTTTCTTGGCGTACGGTGGGCTCCATCGCTGCTGCATTGCGCAGTTCCGTTTGCGTCTTGTGGATCGTGATGAAGGCCCCAAAGGACTCATCGAGCACATAGGTCACGTCATTGAGCAGAAGATTGACGAAGCGCACGAAGAAATCCAGGTTCTGCTTGGACTGGTTGTAAAGCTTGTTGCGGTAATGGGTATTGGGCCAGATGCATTGGATGATCTGGAAAATCTCGTAGCGGATATTAAACTTATCGAAAAACTGGGTATGTGTACCGGTGTGCTCAGCCTCGATATAGAACTTCATCAGGGCGTGCAGTAGGTGCTGGTTGGCAAAAGGCATGGAGTTGAGCAAGTCCACGAGGACGCCCCGACCGCCTCCAGGGCGAGGCCAGGTTCCTCGGAACAGGATGGAGACAAGACCTGCTTTGAGATAGGGGTTCTTGATGTAGCTCGAGCTCTCTAGGAAGGTAATGCAAAGCATAACCAGCTCGTCTCCTTGGGTGGCAGTAATGATTTGAGGCATAGCCCACATGATGAACTTGAAGTTGCTGACAATATCATCGATGAAGTATTCGGGCAGGCACTGGAACACCTCCGGTTGCTGCTCAGGCAAGGGAAGCCTGAGCGGCTCCTTAGGAAAGTTGGTGCCGGACACAACCCGCAGTACCCAGACCACCACATATCGCATGAAGAGCATGGACCGCGCCTGCCACTGATCATCAAACAAGACGCCCTGCAAGCTGTATTTCAGGGCCAGACCCAGGTCCAGCTTGTCCTTGTATTTTTTGAGGGCCTGCTCGAATACTCTGAGCTGCACTGGATTGTTCAACCACCGATGCCGCTCCAGCTCGAACTTGTTGATGGTGGACTCCATGTGCCGCAGGTCTTTCTCGAGCTGCTCGAGCTTGGAAGTCAAAGACTCACTGCCGTAGTGATGGGCGGCCACTGTTAGAAAGAAAATCTCCGTAATGAAGTTGGACGTTCCTTCTGCGGACTTGGCATAGAATGCGTCCGAGGCATGCTGATCAGCATTGACCTTGGTTTCGTCCTTCATATCTACCCGAGGCTCGCGGTGTAGATAGTTTGCATCGACCCTGTCGATCTGTAAAGACAAATTAAGTCAGACCCGCAAAGCACATAACACTTGACCGGCCCTCATACCTTGGTGAAGCTTGCATCCATGAACGGCTCACAGAGCTGGTCCAGGCAAGTTGTGATGTTGAACATGAATCCATCCGACGATACAGTCGTAGGATCCACTTGCATAGCCCGTCGCTTGTGGTTGATGTTCAGGGAGGCTGCGAACCAGTCTAGCACCCGATCCCTGGCATCCTTGGAGGCCCGAATCATGTGGTTAATCACATCAAGTAGATCCGAGCTAATCATATGCTGCATCATGCGGATAGACCGCTGTGCGTTCAGGATGTATGATTGATCTCTAGTCTTGGGGCTCGAGAAGTATGTCATGGTCACACTGCTCTGAAGCGGGGACAAACTGAACCATGGGCCAAGAAGCGTCTTCTTTTCGAACTGAGCTGGATCCCGAGACTCGTTGAAAATGGACGACTCAGTAATCGCAGCCGCGATGGCCGCATTGTGGACAAGGTTCCGCAAAGCCTGCAAACAGGTTGATGAGACGCGCCCATGGTGAAGAGAAGAGATCAACATACTGTGAGATAGGGCTTGTAATCATCGTTGATGCTCAGTCCCGCAAGCTCCTGGCTCATTTCCTCCACAGCAGCAATGAAAGCCGGCTTGATGCTTTCATCCTCGTTGAACCTGCCCACAGCCTCGCCGATGAACTCAAAATCCACACCTTTGTCATCCTCCGGGTCCAGGAGGAGATAGGGTTTGAGGGCCGACTTTTCAGACGACTCGAGCCTTTAGGGATAGAATGTGTCAGCTGCAAATCGTGAAGGGATGGCGTAGCCAACGAGCGAATCAAACCTACCCGAACATTTCCGGCATGGTGATAGCAAAGATGCAATAGCTCATGCACATGCGACGGGCCTCACAGATGACGCTGTATTTCGGGTCATCGTCGCGAGGCCGACGGAACCCTTTGTGCAACCGGGATATCCGCCTCCAGCATGGAAGCAGGTAATCCAACGGCTTCTGCTGGGGAGCATTCGAAGCTGCCTCCAGGAGGGCCTGGTCCAGCACCGACAGCTCGATGCGGACCTCACGGCCTTGCTCCTCCAGTTCCACCCGCAGTCCGGGCAAGTAGGTTAACCGCTGCCCGTGAATATCCTTCTGACGAGCCTCATTCAAGGTCAGTTTGAAGGCCGCGCTGAGAGTCCGATCGGCAAAGGACTCAATACTCTCGTCCGCTCTCGGTGGAGGGGGAGTGCCGGAGACTGGGGTAACGGTTTGCGATCGGTCTGGCGCTGCGCTGGCGGCCGTGGGGGGTTGAATCTTGATCCGCTTCCATTCCGATTGCACGGTCTGTGGTTGCGGGGACGAGGCCCGTGAAGGAGCGGCGCTGCTCAGATTGGATCGTGGTTGTGACTGGGGTCTCTCGGGGAATCGGGATGCAGACGAGGGCTGCGAGGGCGATGCGGGCTGGCTCGACGCAGCGCCGTCGACGGGCGACGAGGGAGTGGGATTTCCTAGCTTTGCCAAGCGCTTGCTGCGGATCTGTAGATAACAGGGGTCAGAGGAAACTTAGATTCGAGATTGGGCCTTTAATGATTTGAAAAAAGATGAGTGAACGAACCTTGTCCGCTTCAGACTGGCTATCGGACATCTCTACTGATGCTGATCGGGGCAGCCCGCAGCAGAAAACCTTCCTCGGTCAGCGGGTCACGGTTTTCTGCAAAGTGCTTGGCTGAATTTGATCGAATGAAGGCGGAGGAAAAAGAGAGAAAACCAGCAACCGAGATGTGACAAGTCCTCAGGAGGGGCTGATGATGGGGTAAACCGAGGACAAGGACAAGGCGGAAGTTGGGGATGGAGGATGTCGATGTCACTTCTGCATGCGCGGTCGTCGTCGTTAAGTCGGACTTTCTGTCATGGTCGATTGTTAACCAGTGATTATTAACTAAGCTGGGTCGGGGTTTAGTTTGGTTTTGGTGGTTGGAGGGATTTGGATCTTCCCTCCCCGCTCAGGGCACAACACACTTGCCCCAATCGGGTCCGGCACATCACCGCCATCAATGATCTATCCTCCATCATGAATTCATTCATTGCACAATTCAATACTGGTCAGTGTTGGAGTGTACATCTTATAGTTGATAAGTTAGGTGATGAGAGAATCCACTCTTATAATATTCACTCACGACAATGATAGTCAAAGCACTAATTCCGACCCCGACGCAATAAAAGAAGTCATTGTTTGCCCATATAACGCCATCAACAAACCGTGAGGACATATAGACATCTAAGCTCGAGAAAAAAAATTAAAAAAAAGAACAGAAAGGCTTGATCGTGGTAGAGCCCAATAGCATGGGACAATTGCATGGGATATTAGTAAACAACGGATGCGAAGCCAACCGCGCCCAAGAACGAATAAGAACAAGTGTAGTAGCCATGAGAGCCACAGATCAGTATCTTCCCTTCAGGGAATCAAGTCGCTTGCAGCTCTTCAGCTCCATCGACCGGGCCTCTTTGATCTTCTCTACGTCCGGGAAAAACCACCCTTGAGCGTCCTGGATCATGCGATCCCGCGTGTGGATCTCGCTATCACATTCATACCGCAGTTTCGTCACGTAGTCCACTTCCACCCGTTGGTCCAGCTGGCGGAATTTGCGGGCGCTATAGTCATCCACATCTCGCGGGTTGACGAAGTAATCGATATTCAGCTTAGGCGTCGTGCGATGCAGCGTGTGGGGAGACACGGCGGCGTCGAACCTGTACGAGGGACCGGACGGAGTAGGTGTGCCCGAGAATCGAGAAGAGATCCAAGGAAGGACGAAGAGGAGAATGAGAGGGAGAAGCTGCTGGAAGGTCGACCAGAGTGATGGCGCCGGCTCGGACTGGCCATTGGCCTCGCGGGGTCTTCTCCGAGGCCGCTGGCCTCCGAACTGATGTACCCGAAACCCGGGACCACCACCCATGTTGAAGACAAATTGGGGACCGCCTGCATATCACGAGTTAGCCGTCGCTTGCACCCAGACACTGAACAGATGCGTCCCACCGAAACCCCCTCCCATGGGGCCAAAGCCACCGCTGAAGAACCGCTGGAAGAGTTCCTCGGGCGAGATCTCCTCCTCGAACATCGGACCACCGCCGCCGCCGCCTGACCGGGGGAATCCACCGCCGAATCCACTGAAGGGCGAAGCACCCGAAGGTCCCGCGCTGGGAGTAAACCTGCTATCCGGATCCCCTCCGAATTTATCGTACTTGGCTTTCTTTTCCGCATCGGACAGGACTTGGAAAGCCCGAGATACCACTACAGCCCAATTGGGGTGATTAGTTTTACATTGAACACACTCGGAAAGGGAAGAAGACAACCAAACCGACATTTGAACGCCTCATCCGCTCCTTCATAGCCATTCTTATCGGGATGCGTCAATAGACTCAATTTGCGATACGCCTTCTTAATCTCGCCATCGGTGGCGGTCTTTTCCACCGCCAGGATCTCGTAGAACGCCGTGGTCGAGCATTTCCGAATCCTCAGGACGGCCGCCTTCTGCTCCGGTGTGTATTTGCGGTCCTGATTGCCCTGGTTGTGTTCGCGGGATTTCGCAGCACCCCCATTGTCTACCCCAGACGCGGTGGCGGATGGCATCGCAGCAGCAGGTTTTGAAAAACGGCGATCGCCCCCAGGAAGACTCAAATCTCACTCAGTGGCAGCAATGCGCTGCTCTCGCTTTGTGTTCGGTTTGTTTCTTGGGCGCAGTGAGTGTACGTCGAGGCGTGGATCTTCGGAAGAGGGAGAGTGGTGGGCCTGGCAGCCGAAGCGGACGACCGAAAAAAGACAATAGAGGGGGGCGTTTTGTTGTAAATCTAATAAGGGCTGCAGATACAGCTTAGGCACAAGGACAAGAAAGCAAGCCAGCTGGTTCAGTTGCGACGTGCCAGTTGGGGTCTAAGATAAAAAAAAAAGAAGCAACTGTGACTGATAAACGTGGTGAGTTCTCGAGGTTCAAATGTTGACGCTAAGCCCCGGGTAAGCGTTGACAGTGGCTTGTTAGTCAGGAAAGACTGTCTTGTGCTCGTTGCCGCGGATCGTCATCCCTCCTCACATCTGCTGCCACCACCTCCGCATTCACTGTACTTGTTACCGGTACGTTCAGCGCACCCCCGTCGCTCTCCATGGTAGCGCCGTCTCTTCTTTGTGGCTAATTGTTGTTTATGATAGGCTTCACCACTCACCTGAATCACGATTAAGCACCACTGACACAATCATGGCTGGTTCGGACTCCGCAGTAGACCATACGGAGAAGTCTCTGGTCCAGACAGCTAGAGCATGGGGCGGTAAGTACTGGCCAAAACAGCCTGGGCTATTTTCGCAAGACCATGAATGCCACTCCTGTTGATGCTTGCAAGCTGACGCGCTCTTGCTTTCATATAGAGAACGCCTTCCCGCCTACTCTACTGGCCTCTCTTATCACCGCACAGCACATGCGCCCATTCCAACCACTGCCTATGCTATTCCCTCCTCTCCTTCTCTTCTCGAGCTATGCCAACCTTCAAGGATTCAAAACCGACACTGCGGGTATTAGCGCCGCCTGGTCTGGGCTCTACCTCCTGCTTGCGGGGCGGCGCAAGCAGCCGTTCATGAAGAAATGGGGCGCTCGGGGCATTGTGCGCGGCGTGACCATGGGTCTTTGCTTGGTCAACATGGTGAGTGGGGGACTTGCCTACACCCTGGGCAAGCGGGAAGAAGACGAAGAATAGACGGTATGGGTAGAATTGTATAGGTTGGGCCCATTTCGCAGGGCCTGAAGCTCCATCGAAGATTTATGTATGTACGATAATGTCCGCCAAACACACGGATGAGGGCGTCGCTTTGGGCATGGTGTTATGGTCGTCGTTGAGATAAAAAGCAAATTGGTTTCATAGCACGCAGAAGGTTGAAATGCCCTGTCTAGGTATATACGTAGTATGAAAGAAGATTTACAGTGGTTGCGACTGGCGGACCGCGATCGCGCGAGGCAGCGGGTATGCGCTTGACCGGTCAGGCCGCTGTTGATTAGTTCACGTAGAGTCGTTCAAACAGAATTATCTCCCGTATGCTCGACGGGACCAGCCAGTCCAGATCCTGGGGGTTTGCGGTCACTGCTTCTCGGGCCCTGGTTGAGCTCACCGATGGTGCCCCCGGTTTCCGTCCCTCCACCAGCTGAATTCGCTGGGCCCATTCCCGCTTACCGCCTATGTCATCTTTCCTTCCCTCCGCCAAGTCCCGCAGAAAGGCCTCCTGCTCGTCCCGACTGCCCCAGCTGCTATCAGGGCGCAAGGTCACCCGTAACCGATGCTGGGAAAGGAAGGGCTCCAGCGACTGCAGGGTGTGCTCCGGGGGATAGTACTTGGGATCGAAGATGCGAATCAAGGTATCGTAGCCCGTAAGATGGACTTGTTCCAGCGAGTGGGGGTATACCCCCGCCCGCTCTATTTCCGCCGCCTTATCCACAAAGTATGGCTTTTTTGTGACGGCAATATCTATTACTGGAAGGGTCTGGCGAGTGCCTGGAGGCCTTGCAGATGGTAATTGCGAAAGAAGGTCACGAGCGAACAAGTCCATCATGGTTAGGCGGTCCTCGAAAGAAGCGGGTTTGGATGGTTTGTCCGCATTCTGCGTCGCCAATAGCAAGAGGAGCCGCGGAGCGCAGCTGCTATCCTCTAAAAGAGCCGAACAGGCAATCCGACGGTGTGCGAGCGTGGGTGGATTGAAAGAGGAGTCAAGCACGTACAGGACGTCGGGACTTGAAGCAGGGACATGGTCGTCGGGTGAGACGGAGGCCAGAACTTCAAAGTTCCGATCTGATGTTTGGAACTGTTTCAAGCGGGAAGCATAATGTGCCTGCAGGGACTGGAAGGAGGGTCTTTCCATAGTCGATCTGTTAGACGATGTTTGACCCAATGGCTATTCTTGGAGATGCTTTCATGCACGGAGAAGAAGAAGAAGAAGAAGAAGAACAACAACAACAACAACCACAACAACAATGAGGGGCAGAAAAGCAGGTAAGTTCACGACAATTCGAAACATTCCAGCTGCAGCGTCAGAGCCGCAATCGAACCGAAAACCACGGCAAAATGGCCGACCGCCCAAAGTGGGACAAACGGGAAGAATTGCCCGAAATCCATGGAAGGAAAAGAAGCGGATCGACAGTCAACCACCGGACCCTTTCTTTTCTCTCTCGTTTGTCTTTCCGACGGGTGGCTGCAGAGCAACTTGAAGACTTGCGCTCTAACCTACTCGTACTACGGACGGAGAACAACACAACACCCTCCATTACTCATCGGAAGGGAGATTGTCCCACCCACCCAACACGGCTGAGTGGCGGCAAAGCCGATATTAAATACATGTCCTACTCTTATCTCACCAGGGCCGATGAATGACGGCGGAAGGCCAGTGAGCCGGGCTGGACGGTCACCGTGTTCCGTCTAGATTAATGTGCGGGCTGATCCCAATCACAGTCATCTCGATGCTCATGCATCTCGTGCCATCAGCCGTGTTGGCCGGTGAGCGAGCAGTTAAGCCAGAATGAGATTTTATCCGAAGGGCTAGAATTCGGGGCTTCGAATTTTCTTCCTAGCGGTCTTTTGCGAGTGTAGCCGCGATGGCGATCATCCCTTAGTCAGTGTTTAGTACAGTAACTACTTTCACTGTTCGGTTTCTCGGATCAACCACCAAAACTTCAGGCAACCGAGTATCTTAGCTCTTCTGGCTTGAAACATCCGCGGCAGTCGATGACCCTGGTTTTGTGGTGAACACCCGGGGAGGGGTCCAGAGATATCTGCTCGACCATTTTCATGTCACAGTGATCCAGCAACCATTAAATTGGTGTGAACGAGGGCGGTTATTGCTCATATTTAATCTAAGATGAGTGCAATCTGTGGGATAGTGTCTACTCCGGAGTAGACTCTAGACTCCCGGTCACTTTGACCGGGCTCCACTTCTCTTATGATCATCCTCGAATGATCTCGTCTGCTGGTGATAACTTCCGGATCAACACTGTCATTGATGCCAACGCCTTTGGCAGGCAGCCACCGGGTCATTGTCATACGTGCTGCTGCTGCTGTTGTTGTTGTCCTCTTGGAGCGATTGCCTCTCCTGTTTACGGTGGCCTTGTTCGCTTAGGCCTACTGTACCGGTCCCAATCGCTTAGAGAAAGTTTTCTCGTAGTCGGGCGACCCAGCGGGCCCGGTTGGCGCCGAGCTTGACCATTCGCGATGGCCGCCACCACGTAGCGAAAAGCCCACGCTTGGACCAAGTCCCGTACAATGACTCCGAGATACTGTCGATAACTGTCGATACGGTGTCTAATCCCCCTATTCCTTCCCCTCCCCCCCTAAGACTCTAGGAGTGTATCTCACCGTGCTCTTGATCCCCCGCTTTTCTCCCAATGCCTCGTCACTGCTACGCAGACTGCGTGGGACCCATACGTGAGATAGAGCTTGGCAGAATGGGAGGTAGCCGATCGATAGTTGGTCTTGACTTTTGACTATTGATTGTTCTGTTGGTATGGTACCGTGGTGCAGTGACAAGGTACAAGATGGAAATTGGTGCTCATTTCCGGAAGCTGGCAATTTAGAGTTGAGCACTGATTGAGCTGTTGACCGTGATTCATGGATGCTCATTGCTGCTCATCGCTCATCAGGCGGATGTGTGACGTGCTGGTGCGCCCTTGACACATACACCTGGGCATTTCTGGCCCCTTCGACTAGATGTACAAGATTTCTGCAGGCTGCCTTTTTTGGCTATTGCTTATTTCGATTGTGCCCGTAGAGTCCTGTACAGGAGGACTGTATTCGGAGTACAGCCCGGGGCAGTGGGAGATTCCCACACCCAAGTAGTAACTATAACTAAAAAGAAAAAAGAAAAACACAGCACCCCGTGCGGTCGATTGGTCGGGGGAAACGGCCCACACGAGATTAAAGCCAGGGGGAGAACAGCCAGTGAGCGTCGTGCATCCACGGGATGAAACGGGGGCCATCATCTCTGCATCCTCTTGCATCCTCTGGCAACCTCCGGCAACCTCTGTGAACCTCCAATCCACGGATGGTGCCTGCGCCAGAGACCCACTCGATGGAGTCCCAGGAAATTAATTCATATCATTTCCCATCAACCTTTCTGCCAACGGCCCGGTTTTTCTGCCTGTTCGGCCTGAGATGAGACAGGCTAAGCTCCCTAATCGTCTCTAACCGTCTCTATTCACTTTAGTGCTGTAGTGCACGAGGCAGAAAGATCGGCTGATGCAACCATACGTTACAGATGGCCTTGCATCAATTCACCGGCTTTGCATGTTGTTGGGCCCTCACCTGGTACGGTGCCTGGTAACTCATGTGTATCGTGCCTCTCGGATGGGTTTAATCAAATGAGAAAAAGATATTAGATGGAATTAGTGTCTCCTTTCCTTTCCTTTCTTCTCTCCCCCCTCCCCCCTCTTTCTTAGTCTAGTCTTCTCTTTCTCTAACTGTCTCCATTCTCTTCTTTTTAACGACTCTCTTTTCCCCAAAATTCTCGGATTGATTCCGTCAGACTGCTACTTTCTCTCTCTCAACTGTTCTCTGTGCTAGAGACGTTGCTTCGTTCTTTCGAACCCAGTCATTCTTTATCCAACTTTGTTGCGAATAGATTTCGCAGCTCACACTCGTTGACCAACACCCCGCAGTCTCTACCTCAACAACAAACAAACACCACCCCCACCTCACACAAAATCACCCTTGAAACCACAAATCACCACCATGCAGCTCACTACCAAGGTCTCTGTTGCCCTTCTGGGTGCTCTCGCCGCCGTTGGCGAGGCCAACATCCACCACAACCTGCACTTCCACGGCCGCGATGCCGCCTCCAGCTCGGTTGCGATCCCCGTCACTCTCCCCACCACGACTGTCCAGCCTCCCCAGCCCGTCGTTGCTACCAGCTCGGCCTCCACCGCCGTTGCTGCCACTACTAGCCTGGCTGTCGCTCCTCAGGGCACCACCACTGCTGCTCCCGTCCCCGCTGCGCCCTCTTCCGAGGCTGTTGCTCCCGCCGGTCCCTCGTCCGTGGCTGTGCCTCCTGTTGCCTCGGTGGGCTCCTCGTCCGTGGCGGTGGTTGTGCCTTCGGCTCCTTCCTCTGTCCCGGTGGTGCCTGTTGGCCCCTCCTCCGTGCCCGTGGTCCCCGTTGGTCCCTCCTCCGTGGTGCCCGGTGCTCACTCCTCGGCCCCCGTGCCTCCTTTCCCTTACTCTTCGGCCATCACCTCCGCCCCCGGCCCTCTCGGCACCGGCGTGACCCAGTCCGCGGGAGCTACCAGCTCTGCTGCTGGCTCCGGCGCTGGATCTGGCGCTGCCTCGGGTGCTGAGTCCGTCTCCACCGAGTACGAGACCCAGACCTCCACCAGGGATGTCACTCTCACCTACACTCTGGGTGCCGGTGCCTCCAAGACCGTGGTGACCACTACTGTTCACCGCACCGTGACTGACGTCCAGACCGTCTATGTGGTACGTTTGCTGTGATATCGGCCGCCTGTGAATCCTACTGACCTAGTGATATAGACCCCTGGAGCCCACAGCTCCAGCACTGCCAGCGCCGGTGCCCAGGACACTACCCTCACTTCGACCTCGACCGCCTTTGCCACCTACACCCTCCTGGCTATCCCCTCGTCCACTGGGGCCGCTGGCTCTGCCGCCACCTCTGGCAGCTCCTCCGGCTCCGCCAGCTCCGGCTCCAGCGACAGCTGCGCTCCTGTCACCGTCACTGTCCACGACACTGTCACTGTGGTAAGTTGGGCTGGTTGAAAGTTGATGATGTCGATGCTGATCATAATTGCAGACTGTCGCCCCTACCACTGCCGCTGCTATCACCGCCACCCCCGACACCAACGTCGAGGTTGCCGAGCCCACCACCAGCGCTGAGGACACCACCTCCAGCGCCTCGACCACCGAGGCCGCTGCCACCAGCACTGCCACCGTGGTCCCCACCCCCCGTCCTCCCTTCGGCCACAGCAACGGCACCTTCCCCTACCCTAGCGGTGCTGCCCGTCCCACTGGCTTCCAGACCAGCAGCCGCGCGGCTTTCCCCTCGCACTTCCGCCGCGTCTACTAAGGGCTTAGCCTGGCGCGTTCGTCTGTACTGAGAACTGAGCCCGTGGCGTAACGCTTGCGCTGGCCTTGTACCTATGAGAGGATTTCGATATTTATGTTTCTGGTACAAACTTGACAATTTTTTTTCTTCTTTCTCCATTCTCCACCTAGTCTATCTTCCATTCTCGTCTATCCGGCTAGGTACTCAGGTTGTTCCATTCTTGCGGCATCCGTCCCGGTCCTACCCGTTATCCAACGAAGCTGTTTTTTCATTTAGTTTCTCTATGAGAACCTCTCATGGGACATGGATCTTTGTACGGTGGCGGGCCGGGCGGAGGATTTTCTTAGCTGAAGCGGACGAGAATGTTAGGCATGTGTTCGCTCTCGGGACATTTGTATCTATGTGAAGAATAGATCCTAAGTGGGGCTTACGACCATCATTTGACGATCTTGCTTATGACAGCGGATACTATTAGACACGAATTGATTAAGTTACTATGTACAGTACAATGCGCGTGTAGATCTAGTGGAGTAACACGGGGCTATACTTGAACTACTGGCCTACTAGACATCTTACTTTTTTTTTCCATACAGTCCATAGATACCCGAACCGTGACCAGCTAGGCTAGATCTTATCCAACAGAGAAGGATTAGCCATGAGACGGTGACGCATCTGCTGCCACTCCAGCCAAGTGACCCCCTGCACCAAGCAGTCGGCCAGATCGTCCAGCTTGCCGATATCCGGCAAGTTGGCGTGGGCGTGGGCGTGGGCGCCAGTCCGGGGGTGTTTGGGGGATTGCCATTTGGAGCGATACGCCTGCACCCACCGCTGCAACTCCTGGTCGTCCGCCACGGCCAGAGTGCCGGGGTGGTGGGTGGTGGTGGTGGTGGTGGTGGTGGTGGTGGTGGTGGTAGCACTGGCATGCTGCAGCCAATGCCCTACCAGATCCATTTTCATCTTCTTGACCTCGCGCGTGCTCTTTTTCTTCCTTGTACGCCCTGTAGCTGTAGCTGTAGCTGTAGCTGTAGCTGGTCCGTCCTCAGCTTTGGCGTGTGCTTGAGAGTGCTCCTCCTGCTGCTCCTGCTCCTGCACCCGCCTCCTACCATTCCTACGCGCCCCGTTTTGGTTTTCATCGACTTTCACCTCTCCCTCCACCCCTGATGACCTAGACCCAGACCCAGACCCAGACCCAGACCTAACACCACCACCACCACCACCACCAGAAAATAACAATGCACCACCCAGTAAACCCTCACCCCCTGCCCCTTCATGTCCATGTTCATGCGACTGGGAAACCCTCCCCGCCCAAAACCGACTCACCCGCCCGGGCTCCACGCCCCAAGCCCGCGGCACCGGCCGCAACGCAGTCGCAGTGCCCCTCGGACTGAAACCCTCGCGCCTCAACGCCTCCAAAACAGCATACAACATCGCCTCCAACACGCCGACCCGAATCGTCCACTCCTGAACGGCCGCCGACCCGCCCGACCGGAACCGCTGCCGCTCGATCAGCACGTGCGTGGGGCGGTACCGCTCCAGCAGGGTTGTCAGCAGGGTATACGCTTTCGCGGCGTAGAGGGGGGGGGAGTACTCCCCCGCGGGGTCTTCTATATCCTCGAGGGTGGGGGTGGGGGGTGCCTGCGTCTGTGCTTGGGTCTGGTGCGGTTGAGTCGTTGGGGGAAGGGAAGCGGTCGAAGTCGGAGGCGAAGAGGGAGAGGCGGCGCCATGCGTTCAGCTTGATGCTTGGCCGATCTTCCCGAGGTTCTCGGGATGCGGGAATGGGAGGAGGAGGAGGAGGAGGAGGAGGAAAAGGTGGGGGTGGGGGTGGGCCGACGAGGAGATGCGCGAAGGCGAGGTTGCGGATGCCCATGTCGATGCTGAGGATGCTCATGGTGCCCGTGGTGCCCGGGCCTGGCTCGGGGCCTGGCTCGGCCCCAGCGGCATCATGGCCGCGGAAACGGTACTCGCATCGCGGAAGTTCCGTCTCCAGTTGGCGGATGAGCACGGGCTTCGTGCCGCTGGATTTGATGCCGGTGCGCTGGGCGATGCGCTGGAGGTGGGTGGCCTTTAGGGTGGGGAGGTAGGTTGAGAGGAGGGTTGTTGTGGTGGTGGTGCAGGTGGTGGGAGCGCATCGCAGGAGAGGGATGGTGGTGCGCATTTGGAGATGATTTGGGGAACAGTTGCGCCAGGTGAAGAAATTGACGGGATTTAGTCCATGGATTTTTTGGCAGGTAGAATTGTGACTAGGTAGGCTTGGCTGGTTGTAGTTGAGGCGATTCTGGTTTGCTAGCTCATGACTTTGGAAAAGGCAAGGGGTGTAGTTCTTGTAGAAGGTATAAATTTATGTATCAAGTGGGGATTGGATTTCCATACTGGGAAATTCGATGTTGCTGCGACGGGCGATGTGGGTCCAAGATCTGGGGTGGCTGACATAAGTTATCCTTCTTCTCTTAAGTGAACTATAGCCATTGCTGTATACATACAGTACTGACTCTGCAAGTCTGAAGATATGCTCAACACCACATGAACAGAAGAAATCCTATTATGCGTATTTTACCCTCGACAGCATGCCCACCATCCAAGCCGTCAAGTCAAGACATTATTAGTAGGTGCTTGAGTAACTGCCCCGTAGGTGTTGAAAATGCCCAAATGCAAGATGCCAGTCAAGTCAATCATATCTAAATTCCTTCTGGAACGACCCTGGAACCAAACACCCTGCCATCGCCTCACATCAGAGAACCAAGAGAACCAAAATTATATATGCGCTGTCTCACCCCTGTCAAACGCCAGAACCAAAACAAACCAATGCAATCCACGCTGAAGAACTGCATGAAACTGACCCAACTCCACCCGTGTGTCACAAACAAGAAAAAAATATTTTAGAAAAGAATTCATCTGGAGGCAGCCCGCGTGATCATAGTGTCGCGGAACGTGCCACGTCATAGCCCTCGTTCGCCGGGATAATCGCCACGTCAGTCGGTGACACGCTCTCGCGAACGTACAGAATCGGCGCCCACACCCGCCAGTGTAGCACCCCCATATGCGCCAGCCGCATCGAGATGCGCTCGACGTCATAGTGCTGGGGATGACCCAGCATGGCGGTCGCCGTGTGGGGGAAATTGCGCTGCGACTCGCAAATCGCCAGCGGCGACATGTTCAGGTACTTCTTCGCCGCCGCGAACGTCGCCGCCAGCAACTTCTCGCGCAGCGAGGCCTGGAAGTACTGGAACAGCCCCGATTCGTTCGACAGGTGCCACTCCAGCGCGCTCTCGATCTGCGTGATCACCTCGTCCGAGACCGTGCTGCCCTCGCTGCAGCAGGCGGCACACGCGAACCGAGCGATCTCCAGCCCGATGCACCGCACGTTCTGCACCCACTGCACCGACCCTCGCAGGCAGTCCTCGTTCTCTTCCATCAACGATCCAATGCGTGACCGGAACGTGGCGTATGTCTGGGCGGGGGCCGACAGGTACCGTTTCTGCGTATGAATGTAGGACTCGAAGATGAACCAGCAGATGTCCAGGTTGATCAGGTTCTGAAGACAGGTCCGGAGCTGCCACAAGCGGTCCGAGTCGAACACAAAGGTTTCCGGAAAGGCGTCCGGAGTGTGAAACTGGAGTAACAAGTCGGACACTCCCTGGAACAGCACCGAAATCGGCCAGAATCCGTCCGTCTGTGCGGCCTTATCCATCTGTCGCAATTCCCGCTCCCGGGTCTCCAGATACCAAAGTCGCGACGAGTCGACCCGGAAGTTATCCCTCTCAATCTTGCCCCGGAAATACTCCTGCAGAAACGGAACAGTGTCCTCAATCAGCAGCACCCGAAAGGCGCGGATCTGGTGGTTCGCAACGTCCTAAGGCAAGCAGAATCAGTTCCCATTTCTCTCTTTCGCGGCGGCAAAAACCACCCCGCGCGTGGACCAACGCCTTACCAATTTCATGGCCTCCAGGATCGCGAACAACGTCTGGAGGCCGCCGACAATCTCCATCGGATTCTGCGACTGCGACCCGGACCGGATCTGCTCCACCATTCGATCCGCCCATTCATCCCGCATCGGGGCGCAATGCGTCTTGAGCAGCGCTGCCAGCCAGGCGGCCACCCGGACCATATCCAGCACCCCCTTCTGGATCTGCTGCATGAGTAGCGGCACCTCGAGGTTCTGCACCACCCCCGGATGATCGCGTTCGGGCACCAGCGTCTTCAACACATCCTGCAAGGTGTCGAACATGGCGGGGAGTCGAGGCTCGAAGGCCTGTCGCTGGTCGGTCCGCGCATCCGCGGCCAGGCCGGCAGCTTCGGGCGACGAGCAGAACGCGTAGATCGAGATCTCCACGGCCATGGCCTCCCAGTAATCCGCCGCCTCTTTCCGCTTCCGCCTCCCTTTCTCCCCGTCGAGATCGGGCTTGAAGTGCAGGTCCCGGTCGAAGTTCGCATCCATGCGCAGGTTGATGTTGCTCATGATGCATGGGAGATCCAGCTCACTCAGCGTGCTTTTCGTTACCGGGGGATAGCGCTTGGCGGTCAACAGCAGCCTATGCTCCTCGGGACGGAGCCCAAACGCTGGCGGAATGTCAAGGGTTTTCGACGACGAAGATGATGGTTTGGCTGGCGCTAGGAGCGCTGTTGCAGACGGAGACTGCGAAGCATCTTCGCGGTAAGTAGAACTGCCCGGGTGCCGTTGTTGGCGCGCGTCTGCGGGATCAGGACGCTCGTTCGTATCGCGATGATCTAGCGAATCGTTCTTTGGGGATTCCTTCGTATGGCCGCTTCCTCCATAGGCTTCCAACGGACAGTCGGCGTTTTCCTCCTGCTTGCCCGGCGTATCCCGGCGGGCCTCCTTCGTTTTTTGAAGGTCCATCTCCATCCGATCCCGCTAGTGCCTGAGCAGATAATGGTAAGGTAGTAGGGTCGAGGAAGGAAAAGTTGATGGCTGGAGGTTGGTGGTTGAGGCGTGGCAGAAGAGTAGTAAACTGGTCCAAGTGTGAAATTTGACGATATGTGGCTGCACCTAGACCGTGGGACAAACGGGCATTTCCTTGGTGATAGACGCAAGGCACCGTAGCCCTATACTAGACCACGACAACGACGTTGCTGTGGGGGGGGAGGGAAAGTTCGATTGTGATCCCTTTCCAGCAACCCTTCTGTCAGTCCTTGCCTGGGGTCGACAGGGTTTCAAGGCGAGGGAGGGGAAAATAGTGCGCACCTGATCTTGGTCAACGACGTCGATCGCTGGTGTCGATCATTGAACGGGAAGTTTGTTGTGGTGATGGTGGTGGTGGTAGTTGAAGATTGGTTGGAATAAGTGTGGTAGGTATGGACTGACGATATAGAAGTTGACCAGTTGTAGTTGTTGTGCAGCAAATATGCCCTCACCCTTTTTCTGCCTTTTTTATATAGTGTATAAATCTCTTGCTGTGTTTATTGTGACGTGACAAGCCTTTTGATCTTCAAGTCTTAGTAAAAGACACCAATGTCACACCCAGCACAAGATGTGAAGCTGTATATGTTGAAGCAGGAAGATAGACAAAAGATCAATCAAATGGCTACGCGACAACCATGAAGGGACTGCCGAAGGGGAAGAGCAAACAGATGCGCTTCAGTGCGGACAGGAAGAAAGGCGACGGCAACGAGATCAGAGGAGCAAAGAGACCGGGATATCCAATGATTCTGATAACCCACCCGATGGCAGCAACAAAGCATGCGGGTTTCAGTAGATCCAGCAGTTGAAGACTCCGAAGAATAACCCTGCACTACACAGGGGGAGGGGAGGGGAAAAGGTCAGTGTCAACTAAGAGGGGGAGAAGGAGAAAGAAGGGAAAACACCAGCCAAGGGAACTACAGCGATCCCAGAGATGAAGGGAAAGAAGAAAAAAAAAAACCAGCGAGAAAAGAAATGGCCAGTGATCAATGAAAGACAAGATCAGTCCTGCACTACCGCATTGCAAGAGACTAAACCGTATAAACTGACTGGTCAGAGCGAAAGAGAGAGAGAGAGAAAAAGGGAAAAAATGAGAGGGAGGAGAGGCAACTGAGCCTTTTGCAGGGGCACTGGAAAAAGTGAGGCTGATCTAATCTAGACGCTTGCAGCAACTACGAACTTTCCGGTTTCTGTTTTGGCTCTGCGAACCACCTGGAGACCAGCTGGGAACGGGCACGGAAGCTGCGCTGAAAGGGGAGGGAACTATAACTTCAATTCTCCATCAGCAATCCTTCATCACATAGCGGATGACGTGGGTTGCTTGAAGAGAAGAAACGCCGAAGTAAAGAAAGATGAAGACAACAACGACTGTACAATAAGTTAAGTACTAGTAGGTTAATTTAACGAGCATTGCCCTTCTTCAAGCCTGGCCCGATGGTTAGTTCAAGGTGGTGTGGGGAAAAAAAGGATCAATCAATCAATCAATCAATCGGTCATTCATTCATTCATTCATTCATTCCTTAATCACTGCGCGAGGGTTGAGAAAGTGGAAGGCGAAAAGACCAAAGGCAAAGGGAAAGGGAAAGAAAGTCAATTATTCCCGCGGCGATAATCCCTGACTCCACCCCAGCAGCAGCAGCAGCAGCATTCCTCACAACCAGGGCAGGGCACGGTATCGTGTGCGATCTCAGGCCTCGGGCGTGTGCCGGTTTCAATGCTGCTACCCGGCACGGTGGAAAAGGCCTGGAGATCCCAAATGTGATAGGGAGTCCGCTCCCCATAACTGGTTCAAACTGGTTCAACGGGTTAACTAACCCATGCAGAACGCCACCACTCAATTGAATTCTGTCTGGGTGGGATAGAGCAATAAATTCGGGGAGGAACCAAAACAAATCCAAAGGTATTAGGAGGGATAGTCTCCGTTGATACTTCGATAGGAGGGCAATTCGGTGTATTCCCGCTGTATCATGGCAATGTGCAAAGCAGATGGATGCAGCCTGCCGTTGACTGTGTTCGGATGGATCTAAGACCGGATCCATCTAAACCCGAGTTCTTGTGAAGGTTTTTTTTTGGTTCCAGTATGGTTTCTTTTGTTACAGATTATTTGTTAGTAGTTATGTGATGAACAGGAGACTGGCTCTGCACCGAGACTGGCTCTGCACGGAGTAAGAAAAGATCCCAAGCAGGGGATGGCCGGACATTCCATACGGAAAACTATAACTAACAACCGGCAAGTATGAGTGAGTAGTACTCCGTGCCATAGTTGGATCTTTGAACTTCTTCCGCATGCAGGTTGGGTGATTTCTGTCATCCAGTCTCTAAACATAATTGAGTATCTGGAAGTAGTGGGTGATTGCTTTTTCCCCCCTATCCCAGGGCGCCGAACGGCAGGCACTATGCAGCATGGGATCTCGATAGATCATTGAGCATCAGCACTCATAAGCATCATGCCATCCATCAGCTTGCTTGCTTGGCCTCGTGTGCACTAATTAGCACCATAGGTACTCATCCAAGACTTTTCGGCAACGCTGCATCTCTCCTCTGTCATGCAAACCTAGATGAAACCGGCCGATTGGTCTAAATCCCATAGTCGGGCGTCAAACCCATCATTCTTCTTCTACTATCGCATGGCGGATTAGCGATGGGGGATCCGCTTTTTGCCCACCGACACTTTCGGGACTGCAGTCGAGTCTGGCTCGGTGACCGCCGGCGGGAACTCTTCTTGCGCTACAGAAGCCCCTTTTCACTTCACAGGCGCCCGCGACCGTGTTTAGTTTCCTCCCGTTCGCTCCTCGCTCCTCCCTTGGGTTGGGGTGGGACATGGGGACAGCCCCGATCTATCCACCCTAGCAGATTGATATGTAGATTGACGTCGATGTTCATTGATAACCCAACAGTCCCGGTCGGGGTGGATCACACGCGTGGTAGCATCGGTAAGTCAACCCGAGTCAGCAATGGCTTGTATAGTACCGTAGTTCTTCCCATGTCTACTCCGAGTATGTTTCCCGGCAGGAAGCTGATGCTCAAGGTTCTGGTCGGATGGCCCCGGCAAGTCAATCTACTACTCCGTACCGAGAAACTATCCAGTACTTGCTAAGAAGTGGTATAATACATTGGATCCGCAGCACTTGCAGTTGGAGTCGCTTCATGGAAGGCGCTGTACGTAAGTGATGGTTACCGACAAGAACGAATAACAGACGGCAGACGGCGAAAACGTCATGCGAATAATGTGGCTGGACCATTCGAGGCTTTCCTCTGCGAATAAAGGGGCGAGAAAGATTCTGTGGTTGATGCTGGCTTAGCGCCTCACTTTTGTTGCGCACTGGTCACAACAATTAGATACTCCACGCGTGGCCGCCTCATTATCCCGGGTCAGGACGGCGAGGTGGCAATTGGGGAGGGGGAGAGAAGCCAAGCCCGTTAGCAAGCAAGCCATAAGAGAAGCGGTGTTAGGATAGACCCCGTTTCTGCTTCCCCAAGGCTGCAGGGTAGAGTTGAGAGTCGAGACGTTGCGCAAGTCTGGAGCCATTATTGGCTCCGCGTTGCGCTGTTGCAGGCGGGGCGGGGGAGTACGGAGTCCGTACTAGAACTTCCTCCGGTCTGTCAGGCCAGGGCGGGCAGATAATGGAGTGATGATGAATCTTGTATTGACATATATGTCTACTGCGACTTGTTGAAACTCCGCCGCGCATTGCTTGCCTGTTTGATGCTTTCACCGACTGAGCCTAGGCAATGAAGCGGAAAAGATGAGGATGATATGGAGATGATGGATGATTTCCTCTTTGGGAAGCCAGGGCCTATCCCGTGACCGCATGCCTGGCCCTAAATCAGGTGATTCGCTATACTCCATCAACTCTTGAGCAACAGATTCTTAGTAGTAGACAACGAGGTAAGACAGAACCACGGAATCATCATGGACTACTTATTTCATTTCCAGAGTGTAGTTTGTACCAGTATCAGCTCGGACACGCAAAGTCGGCGCCACCCCGTGACTCTTTGTAGAGTTCAATAAGCTCAAGCTTATTGAGAGCAATATCGGGATACTCATTATAAGTACGGCGACTCACAACAGTGTTTGTAATATGATGGAGATGGAGTCAAGCAGCGCTACGACAGTGCTTGTAGTGCAGTGAGGAGTGAAGAGAAGATGAGAAAATGAGAAAATGAATCTGGTCGCTGTCTACGCCTTGATCCGTATGCTTTGGGCATTCCTGCCTCCGAGTCGGCTGGACATCTCCCAATTCGAGGTTCATTCCTTACCAGACGTCCCTGCCTCTTCTCTTCCTACCAGTTGGGCCGGTCGGATTCCTGTTCCTGAGACCGAGCCCGGCAACTCGTTGTTCTTCTGGCTCTTCCAGGCCGAAGACCCTGCGCATGATGATAACCTTATCAGTTGGTCTCTCTTTGCGGATCCAGCCGCAATAGCTAAATAGCTGATCAAACGTCTACTAGTATGGTTCAATGGCGGGCCTGGATGCTCGTCTCTGATCGGACTGCTGTCTGGCAATGGGCCATTTGCCTTCGTTGGCAAGTCCACCGAGCTCGAGCGCAATCCCCACTCGTGGACGCAGCTGGGACATGTTCTGTATATCGACCAACCCGTGGGGACGGGATTGTCCACGGCGAGTGAGCCCTATCCACTGTCCGACAACGAGGGAGTGACGTCCTACCTCTACGCATGGCTACAGTCTTTCTTCGCCCATTTCCCTCAGCTCAAGTCCAAGCAGATCCACCTGATGGGCGAGTCCTACGCCGGTATATACATCCCCTACCTTGCCTCAGCCATTGTGCACCATCAGGCCTCCTTCCCGCTTCATCTACGCTCCATCTCCCTCGGGGATGCGACATTTGGCAACTCCATCGCCATGTCCACCATCCCCACCGTAGCATACATGCGCTCCCAGCAATCGCGTCTACGAGTTCCACCCGAGATTCTCGACGCGTTCATTGAAGGCGATTCCATCTGCAGATTTGACCAAATCCTACACCAAGCCGCACAATATCCGCCCGAGGGACCCATCCCCATCCCCAACGATGCAGAGGACGATAAAGAGACACCAGACCAGCAAACATGCAGCAGCGACACAGCAGCAGCAGCAGCAGCAGCAGCAATGCAACCCCCTCTGATTACCCCCGAAGAAATCCTCTCCTCCATTCTTAACTCCACCACCTGCGATGGGTCTTGCGCGACATTCTCCACAGCATCAAGATACCTCTCCACCACCGCGCAGAACCACCATCAGTGTTTCGACGTGTACGACATCACCAACAATTGTACCAACCTCAACCCACTGCCCCTACTATCTTCATATTTCAGCCGATCCGACGTCCAAGTTGCACTGAATCTGCTCCCTCCGTCTCCTTCCTCCCCTGTATCTTCCCAACCTTCATCATCTCAATCCTCGCATCTTCCATCCCCGGCAAACAGTCGCAATTCCAATCCGACCACCTCAGAGACCAAAAAGCAATCTCCTCCCCCGTCTTCTTCCTCTTCCTCCTCCATGCCCACCACCACTCCTCACCCAGACCCGAAAACCTACCTCCCCTGCAACGACACCATCCGCACTCTGGTCCTCAAAGACGGCCAACTGCCCCAACCGCCGGCGGACACCATCCTCCCCGACCTCATCACCACCCACCACATCGCCCTCCACGTCTATGCCGGCGACAGCGACTTCCTCCTCAATCACTATGGCATTGAACTGGCCCTGCAGAATATGACCTGGCACGGCGGCCAGGGGTTCTCGCGCCCGTTCACGGGTAATTATTTCCATGTAGACGATGCGGGCTTCCTGCGTCATCCAAACCACTCCTCCTCCTCCTCCTCCTCCTCCTCCTCCTCCTCCTCCTCCTCCTCCTGCTCCTCTGATACCACCTGCCCTGCAGATACCAGTAGCTGTGATGACCCATTATCACCACCATCGGTGGCAGCGGGTCTCTGGACCTCCTCGCGAGGTGTCACCTACCATCTCTTCTGGGGCGCAGGCCATGCGGTATTTGCTAAGAAGCCCCGAGAAATGTTTGCTTTTGTGAGGGATGTTGTTCTGGACTCTTCGCAATTGGATTGACGATCGCAGTAAAGATATATAAATGTGTATATGTAAAGATAGGACAAGATACCCAAATCGCTAATTGCTGCAGTCGAAGGGGATTGGCAAAGCAGCAGGGCTAATGGGAACTATGGATTCCGCTTGTTTGCAAAATCTAGATTCACAAGGGAACGATCATCTCCGTACCATAGATGTATGAGTATCCTGTAGGTCAGTGCGTGGATGTCTTGCACATCCACGAATCTCTCTCCTGGGGGGAGGGGGAGGGGGAGAGGGGGAGGGGGAAGCCTGCATGATGCATGCAATGCAGTAGGGGCGAAGTGTTGGGAGGAATGCAGCAGAAACCCCCCACCCCCCCCAAAAAAAAACAAACAAGCACACACAAACTACAAAAACACAACCCCACGGTTTGGAAAAGGGGGGTTATTGAATTTTAGGTTTGCAAAGTGATTGCTGCACCAACAGCAAGAAAATTTCACGTTTTTGATGCAATTTGTCATGTTAAGCGAGGAAACAAGAGGTGCCCTTTCCCTTGCTTTCGAAAAGTTGTGGTGGTATCTATGGTTTTTTTTCTTTGATTGGTGCCCCTCTCTATCAGTAGGTAGGAATCGCAGGGGGGAAAAAACAAATACATGATGGATTTCATTTCGCCTTGATCTTCATAATGCATAGTCAAAAACAAAAAGGATAGAGCACGCTATGCAAAGTCCTTCCCCAGTAGAAATTGAACGCTGGAAAAGCCGTACGCCGCCTGTTTTAGAGTGCTGAGTCGATGTGCCCCTGTATTCCTGGTGTCTGTGTGAAAAAACATTCAAATATGCGACACAAATAGGGTTACAAAGGATGCCTGGAAGATCGTGGAAAGCATGTAAGGGTAAGAAGAGGTGATACGGCGGACATTGAATCATGTCGTAATTGTTCACTGAGCCATGAACAACGCAATTTTGTGGCCACGTGAAACCAGCTGTCAAAGCATCAGGTTATAGCAGTGGTACAAAGACCGGAGAAAGTTGATGATGAAGACTGTTGTTCAGCGACGTGCGAAGAATGGGGCCTGGTTAGGCATCGAGAGCAAAGAGTCGGCTCTTTGGAAGACATCCCCTTCGAAAAATTTGTCGCTGTATGCACTGGCAGGGGTAGAGGGAACGGTCGCCTGCGCAGCGGGACCAAGAGCGGCACTTAGAGGTGTTGCAGGAAGATGGACCGATGGCGATAAATTAGGGCCATGATGAAATGTGTTCGTCGTCGATACCGAGGTCTGGTGCTGTGAATGATGAGCCTGCAAAGGAGGTCCGTAGATGTTGGGAGTTGGATTGCTGGGGTTATCTGCAAGAAAAGACCAGGGCGACGCATCGATCATACGTCCGGCTTCTCTGCTCGACCTCTGGATGGGACGAAGCATGTTGACAATGTCATTGGGGAGAATTTTCATATTTCGAACCTCCTTCATGTCAATGACAAGGTCTACGAAAGACTGCAAAAATGCCTTGCAGTGTTGCCAGAACTCGCGCGTGTTGCGGGTTCCACCACCAGGTTCCTTCACCTTCATGTTGGACAGCCTTGAGCCCAAGCCCTCTGAGACATCCAGACACACCTGACAGCGGTGGATGAGATTTTTCCAAAGCATGACGATACCCTCTGACTTGCGCGTTTGCTCAGCTAGTTCGAGACATCGCACCAGTTGAGCAAATGCCACAGGCAATCCCTGGAGAGCAGCGCTACATGCCGAGTTGAGCTGACCGAAGATTCTCTCGAAGATACGCTCTTCTTCAATCTCATCTAGTCCAGTCATCGGACTAATTCGGGGTATAACAGAGCTAGGGATCGCAGGGAATGACTCGCCCGAGCGAGGGGTTGCCAGTGATGACGGTATGGAAGTAATGATGTGGTTGGATCTGCTACTGGACCGACTCCGTGTGGCGAGACTGAATGGCGTCGGGGCAAACCCTGGTGAACTGACAGCAGACTGGTATTGCGATGCTGCGTGGAAAGGACCATTCATAACAATCTGAGGATGCTGGATTGTTGTGTCACTTCGGTAGCGTCGTGTCGAAAACGACTGCTCTCTTCCCCTGGTTGGTGTCACGGTTGGCCCCAGAAACCGGTCCGGACCTGCGGACTCCTTAATTTCTGGAACAGGCATTTTTGCAGCTGGTTTGGGGCCCTTTTCGATGGGCACTCCAAGATGTGCGCACGCATTGCGCAATTCAACCATGCTACCGAATATCATGAGAATCAGAGAACGCACATAGCACGACTCGCCGTTCGTGACTATTTTGTCAATACTGTTTCGTAACTGTGTGCCGACGTGTGTGTAGGCGATAATGCACGTCTCACATTCTCGCTTGACAGCCTCGTTGGCCAACCGTGCCACGTCGGCTTCCTCAAATTGCGAGTGTTCTGCGTTCTCGATAGCCTCGTTGAGGCGATCGACATGAGTAGAAGCATTGTAAAAGACAATCTCGAGGCTATTTCGACGGGCGTCTTCACGCTTGATGACGCTTATCAAGGACGTGACATTGGATTGAATCTGGAAGAGAGCGAATAGAATGCACTTTGCGCTTGCGATAATGGGCTCGGCTGTCACTTTCTCTGCTTTTTGTTCCGGTAGACTCGACATTCGATTCACAAACCCGTCCTTCAAGCGCCTGCGTTCCCTTGGGCTGCTGGGACTGGAAGAATTGCTGCTAGATAGGGCGCCAGATGGCCTGGTACGAAGAATCGAGCCGTAGCTCAAGCCTCGCAGGTGGCTATTCCGATAGGGACGTGTCTCGTCGAGAGTCCCAAGGTCTGTGTTCTTCCGAATGACTCCCATCCGCTTGTTGCGCGCTGCGAGAGAGGCTTGGATAATACCTTCGCTGTTGCTTCGATTGCGCTCATTGTACGCACCATAGGGTTTCGCCCCTGGACGCTGTAGTACAACACCGTGGAAAGCAGGGTTGTGCCCCGAAGCGATGCGATAGTGGGACTTCATTGGAATTGGCGGTGGTCGACCTAACGAGGGTGACTTGGGGTCAGAGGCACTGTCACCGGTGCTGGGGATCACAGGGAATCGACTGCTCATTCCACGCTTAAGAGGTTTGGGAGTATCAAGCATGCCCTCGCTAAAAGCCCTGCGATATCAGTTTCAGTGCTGCGGAGTGGAGACGAGAGGACATACCTCGGGTCATATTTCTCAATTTCCAAGGGCGCAACAGGCTGTTTTGTCTTCAAAAATCTTTTAAGCTCAGCGGTTACTGCAACCTCCTTCTCGTTGTCGGTCAAGCTCGAGGGGGCAAATTCTGTTTCAGAGCTTTCGAGGAGTCGTCGCAGGGGGTACCGCAAGGGGTTGCCAGCAACTTTGAGAATTTGAAGCTTGTTCATGTCGGAGATCCCGAGTGGTAAGTCGTCGAGGCGGTTTTGCATTACCGAAAGAACCCTAAGAGAGGAGAGCTTTTTGATCTCTTCCGGAAGGTGGCTGATTTTGTTGCGACTGATGTCTAGGATTTCGAGAAGCGGTAGCTTATAAACCTAGAACCATTGTTAGAGTCCATAGCAGATGAGGCTCATTTGAGATGCCCGGAACGTACTCCTTTGGGAAATTCACGGAAACTGTTTGCCCGGATGTTGAGATATCGTAGATGACGACACTCTGCAAATCGATAGGGTATGTGAACCAACTGGTTATTAGATAGCGAGAGTCTACTAGTTGTCAGCATGTCCGGGCATGCAGGTGGCGTCTGTCGCAGCAGGAAGGTGAAAGATAACATACCGCTCAACTTCGTCCTTGATGGTATCCACGACTGACTCAGGAATACGAGAAATGTTGGAGTGACCCAAGTCGATTGTCAACTTCGGCTTCACTACATCGGTGACTGCTTCACTTCCAGCAAGCGAGCGTTTTGTTTCTTGGATTCCATTCTCAACCGCCCGGCGGGCCAGCTCGATTGTCTCCTCGGTTGTTAACAAGCGGGGTCCTGGTGGATGCTTGCCTGTAGTGCCATTGCCGTCGCCTGCGGTTCCGCTGACAAGTGTTACCTCATCCTCACTTTTGGCCGGTGCATGGATTCTGGAGGCAGGCACCAATGCGGCAGGCACCAACGAGGCTGGTACGAGCGAGACCGGTAGGCTCTGTTCCAAAGATTGTCTGCGATCGTCGTCATTGTCCGCGTCGCCACGGTAGGCGAAGGGCATCCTAATGGTATCCTCCGGGCGCACCATTGTCGACAACATAGTGGATGATGTACGGAGTAAGAGGGTCTATGCGATCGGCCTGGCGCTGGCAATTTTCGTGATTGAAGGTTCGGAATTCGAACATGCACTCAGATAGCCAAGATGTCTCCGGAATGTGTTCTGTGGCCTGCACGAAGCATGATCGATGTATAATCAAACTAGGTAAGGTGTCGTAAGAAGAAAGGATAAGTATGAGGGTGTAAAGGAGGCGACAGTGCGTGCAGTTGGCGTGAGGCGCGCAGCCAGGCCCGGGCGGCACTCGTTAGGCTTCAAACGGACGAGAACTTGCTCGAATCCGAACAACACGAGAATCACGAGAGAAGAGGATTTCAAGAAGAGTCCTTATAGCAAGTCAAGAAGTGAGAAGAGTAGATTGTAGGCCAGTACAAAATTTAGATAGGACGATAGATGTGGCCCGAAAGGTCAACGAAGTCGAGAAGGACGGGCGGCGTGACGGTGTGAGTGAGTGAGAGGGAGCGAGGGAGGGAGCGAGGGAGCGAGAGAGACTTGAAACGCGGAGAAAAAGGTTGCAGCTGTCAGAAGAAAGCCACAGCTAAATCAACTGACTGCAATAGCAGTTAGTCAACTTTTTTTTCCTTTTCTCTGATCAGCTCAGTGATGCGATCAATTCAGCGAGTTAATTGATTGACATGGGAATGAAGGGAGGTGAGGTACGGAGGTCTCCGTTGTAGTTGGTAGTTGTAGTTGTAGTTGTAGTTTGCAGAATATAAAGACAAGACCCTCCGGGCGATAAGTCAGTCGGTGGTTGATTGGCCCCTGGAGCGTGCCCGGTAGCCACACCTGAAACACCCGTGACTGCTATTGTTTGATCTTTTTGATGTACTGTAGCCGCCATGACAAAGAAAGAACAAAATCTGAAGCACGAAGGGGAAACATCAAAAGAATGCCAAGTAAACAACTGATCGAACAGTAAATAGATAAAATGAGAAGGGAAATAAAAAAAAAGGAAATGAGATTGAATGCAATAACAGAAGAAGTATAAAACTTTAGATAACAGTACAAGCAAATTGAATCCCCGGAGATCTCAACAGTCCCGTAGTGTACATGAATATATCCCAATAATTTCTCTCCCCACCTTACCAGATTCCAATACATCTCTACTGACTGCTCTACTCAAGCGCGCTTTCTTCAGCAGGTTCTTCTCCTACACTCACGGAGTCCTCATTGTCCGGTACTACAGGACCGGCCATTGATGCGTGTTTCGCATCCAGGATCTGAGCTTCATCCTTGGCCCAGACCTTCCAGCGCTCATACTCTTGGTTCTCGAGTTTCATACCAACCTCCAGCTGCGTAGGTCCAAAGACAGCACCAGTAGCTTCGGCTTCTTCTGCCGCAACTCGTCGTTCGATATCCTCACGCAGACGGAGTTGATAGAATTCGCGACGAGCAATGTCGTAAGCGGCGCTTTTGGTCATGCCTAAAACATTGTTCAGAAGCCAGAGTTGGCGCTGAACGACACTATACACGCAGGCAGATGATGTTTAGCATGGCACGGGGGCAAGACGCGTAGGAAACAGCCGTTGTTAAGTGTGGTAGCATACCTCTCACCATCCAACCTCTTCCCTGGCTGTTGGAGCCGGCTCCAGTCGTGGTTGACCCAGTCCTTGCCGGTGGTTTCGAGGAGCACTCGGGGCCTAGCCAATTCCCAAGGATGGTCCTTGAAGAATTCTTTGCGCAGCTGATCCTCCTCGTATTTGATCTCGGTAGGTAGAAACATGCGGCTCGCCTTCTTCGGCTTCGTCTTCTTTTGTTGAACTTCTAGAACGTGACGCTTCGCCATATCACCGTAGCTATTTCTGACCCACTTGTAGCGCTGGCGGATCAATTGATGTTGGTGGGCTTGATTTCGGACGAGGACTTGAGCGGGAGGAATATCGCCGATGACATCGGCCCAGATAGGTAATTTTGCGATCTGGTTCACCTCCTTTTGTAGAAAGGCTTTTTCGCGCACGCGGAGCGCTGTGAGGTTGTATTTGCCCATTGTGAAATCGGGAGAGGGCGGCGGCGGCGGCGGCGGCGGAAGAGGAGGATCTGTCCGGTGAACGTGTGAGAAGGAAGCGGGAGGCCGGGGATGAAAAGACGGTCAGACCTGCTGGCAAGGATCAATTAAAGCGGATTGAACAATCCTCCGTGATGCCTCAAGAGATAAGTTTGAGGTGGTGGCAGGGCCCACTGCTGATGAAGCCAGGAAATTGAAGTTTGGCGGGAGTCGAGGTGGAAAAAGAGCCATTGGCACTGATTGGCAATGCGCGCCTCCGATTGGCTCCAGCCCCGGCTCCGCCTTGGAAACAAATGGCAGAGACTGTGAGTTCGAGTGCAGAACCCATAATAATAATTTGAACGCGGAGCTTCTCCTCCTCCTCCTCTTCTCCTTCTGACTTGGTTCGAAACTGTTACACTATCAACGAACTCATCCTTTGCCTTCTTCCCCTTCCTTCTCTTCTCCTCTCCTCTCATCTCTTTCCACTCCTTCCCTCCCCTCCCCTCTCCTCCCCTCCACTCCCCTCCCCTCCTCTCATCTCATCTCTACACCCCGTCGCATCCCCCATACCCATACGCCCGCCGCCTGAACTTCCCCAGGAATCGTTGCTCGAGACCTCCTCGGGACATGCATGGCTGATCCAATGCCACGATGTCTGTCATCTCATGCCTCCTTCCACTAGGTTTCCGAGCTCGCCCGATCTGCGGCCTTTCTCGCAGCGATTGGATACGTGCTTGTCCCCCAATTACCCTTTCATGTCAACCTCCGATTCGTTCTCCTACAATGCCTCCATCAGACGACTTGCTTCCAGACGGCCCCGTCCCACTGCGGCGTCTATAGCCGATGTATTCGTTGGTTCCTTGGTGGTGGCCGGTTACTGCCGCGAACACTCGCCTCGTGGCAGAGCATTTTCGACATTGCCCCAAAAATCTTCCCGAGCTAATACGGTCAGCTGGCAGGACCGGCGCTTGAGACAGACCGGGGAAATTCCCTCACCGCGTCCTCTTGATCGTCTGAGCTCGTCACCGGAATGTTTGCATCACCCAAGGACGCAACGGATGTTCAACTCGGGAGTCGCATTGAGGGCGAAGGAAGACAACGATGAAGGCTATGTTTGGGTGAATAGGCCATCGCAGGGTCCTCGCGCGCGACTTCATAGTGCAAATGTTTCTGGCAACCGCAATTTCGCTGCATGCGGGGAGGTCAACAGAAGTTCTAGGGAAGAACACGACATTAGGTCTGTCGCAGAGAAGATATCACTAGAGAGCGAGACCAACTCTCCCACGCGCAACGACGCAACTACGACTACAACTCAGATATCGGATGGAAAATGCGAGTCGAAGAAGTACGGCTACAAAGGGAGGACCACACCCGCAAAGGCACTACATAAATCCGTCTCACATTTTTACAAAACACTGTTCGAGGATTCACTGGACTGGGAGCAGGCAGCAGATCTAGTCACCAGGGACCGACCTATGGTGGGCCCATCATCGGCACTAGCGTCGCCGCCTAAGGAAGTTATGTCGCGCGATGATGTGGAGCTCGATTCGGTTACGAGATTTCGGGACGCCGTGTGGGACGAGAGCAAATCAAATCAGTACATCTTTCGACTCTACAGAGATATTCCTTACCCGGGAGTCGCGCGTCTCTCGAAAGCTTGTCGGGGCGCTCTGCTACGCCGATTTGCAACCCCGGAGAACCGCCGGTGGGTGGAAGCGCGACGGTTTCTTGCGCTGCTTGACGATATGGTTGTTGCCAAGCTCCCGGTGTCCCGTTCTCTATGGACTTCTGCTATTCATCTCGCAGGACGGGCATCGGGCAGAGTATATAAAAGAGATTTAGTAAGGTCGATCGGTCTCTGGCAGAAGATGGAGCATTGGGGCGGAGTCAAGTCAGACGGGGTTGTTTTTACCGTCCTCTTTGACATTGCCATCAAAGCCGGTCAATTCACCGTTGCTGATCGGCTCGTGGAGGAAATGGAAGAGCGAGGTCTCCAATTCGGACGCACCGGCAAAGTGTCGAGAATCTATCGTCATGGCCAACAGCATGATGCTACTGGCGTCCGGCAAGCATTCGATGACTTCGCCTCGAGCGGCGAGATCGTTGACACTGCCGTTATGAACTGCCTGATGGCCTCCTTCATTTCTGCCGGAGATGTGAAAGCAGCGGAAGCCATTTATGGACAAATGATGATGAACCAGGCTGCGGGCTCCCGCACTCACGCCATTCATGGTAACTTGTCCACCGACATGAAAACTTACCGAGCAAGATCGAAAAGGCTCAATCGCCTCCTAGAGATCTCCGCCCGCCTCAAAGATCACTTGCCCGATCATTATCGCACGCTTCAAAGAGCGATCGCCATCACCCCCGACACTCGCACATTCCGCATCCTTCTGTCCTTATACGCCCAAAAGACTGGCGACATTGGAGCCCTGATGTCTATCATCACTGACATGGAGAAGGTTTTCGCTGTACCCCCGCGCGGGTTGATATACATGTTCCTTTTCGATGGGTTTGCTCATCATGGGCGGCGCAGAGAAGGGTGGACAGCGGAGAGACTGCGAGTGGCATGGGAGACGTACCTGCGAGCCCTAAATGAGTCCAAGTCGCGGTTTGAACAAGAATTTCATCCCCGCCCTCGAAGGAAAAGTCCCACATGGGAGAATCCGTTGCTCGAGTCGTACATCTCACTCGCACAACCCTCGATCCCGCACGCGACAGCCGGGTTGTACACCCATTTACCACAGAAAGAAACTCCTATCAAAGTGCAAGAGCTGGGCGTTGGGGAGGTCATACCTACGGAACCCGATACAGTTGTCGAGCCCGGTGATGTCTCCAACGGGCCAGCACGCGACGACGAGGCACTTGGTTCAGATGCGTCGGAGGAGGAACTGGAGCGTCAAATCGAGAACGGGGTATTTTTAGGTCGTCGCATGATTTTGACCATCCTCCGCGCGTTTGGGCGTTGCTGCGGACCCCAGGAAGTTATGGAAGTATGGCTCCAGATGGAACGCCTCTGGCAACCCTGGAAGCGCAGGGCGCAGGACGTCATGGCTGTTAAGGAGGAACTGGAGAAGCAGATGAAAAACGTCCGGTGGCGTTGAAGCGATCTGTGATTGTTATTATCGTTTATTTGCCTTTTCGGTGGGCCTTTTCCAAGGTGCTTGTATATTATTATATAGACCTGATAGATAGATATACCCTCAGGTAGAGAGATTGGTTGCGAACACAGCGATGGATACAACATTGGCGTGTTCTTGTTCTGCACAGCGGTTATACGAGCTTAGGTCAGTGGAGGTGTCTGTAACATCATTCTAATGAAGAAAATTTATGAATTCCACCCGAAGTGCTGCACTGGCTCCTTCTAAGTTCTTTTTGTATCTCCATCCTTCCTCATTTTCCTGCCTTTTTTTTAGGGCAATTCCACAATATTGGATCACGTGGTATCGTGTTCGCTTTCTTTCCTCGACGACCGCGTCGCGCTTCCGTGAGAACTTCCCAACTCACCTCAATCCCAAAACTCCCAATTTTCCATGTTTGGGATGCTGCGAATATGGTCAGCGGAGGTCTGCAGCGCCGTAAAGTAGACCTAGACTTCTACCTGCGCCGAGTGTTCCAGAAAAACTCTTTCAGGTACGCGGTGCTAGATCTCTCCTCTCTTTCCCTGATAGCTCCGCTAATCTGGGACGAACAGACCACTGCAACGCGATGTGATCACGGCCGCTGTGGAGGGCCACGATGTATTCTTACAAGCCAACACATCGTTTGGAAAGAGCCTGTGCTTCCAACTCCCAGCAGTAACCAGTCATGGAGGTTGGTTGGCCCATTCCAACTCTTCCTGACTGCCACTTTGCTTAACCTGCTTCCGTGACCGTGCACCAAACCTGGTTGGCTGATTTTGGCCCTTTTGCACAGTGACTGTTGTAATCTGTCCACTGCTGGCGCTAATGGTAAGCCTCTCGAGGATCTCCGTGTTAGCCCCATTTACTCAGGTGGTGGCATGCAGACAGATCAGGTCAAGGCACTACAAGCCATTGGGGTCGCAGTAGCAACGATCAACTCCACCACGCCGATCGCCGAAAGACGAGTCATCCTAGACGACCTGCTCTCCGGCCATCCGAGGACTCGGCTCCTGTATGTGACCCCGGAGCTCTGCCAGACCGAGACCTTCCGGCGGAATCTCCAGACGATCCACTCCCAGGGGGAGCTGATTCGCATTGCCATCGACGAAGCCCACTGCATCAGCGAATGGGGCCATGACTTCCGGCCGGCCTACAAGGAACTCGGCTGGTTTCGACGGGCCCTGTCCAACCCGCCCGTCCCGATCAGTGCTCTAACGGCGACAGCCACCCCGCGGGTCCGCGCCGACATCATCAAGCTCCTGGGCTTGGATCCGCTCCGGCTCCGGATCTTCAGCACCCCCTCCGCCCGCCCCAACATCCACTACGAGGTCCGGTACCTGCACGACTTTGCGAGCGATCCGACCGAGCCGGAAGACTTCCAGATCCGGGACTTCGTGGCATGGCTGCAGGCCGTGCAGGCCCGCAGAGAGGCGCGACTGGGCGCCGGGGAGGCTGCGAAGCTCCCCCCGGTGTCCGGGATCATCTACGTGCCCCTCCGGGCTGTCTCGGACAAGCTCGCGAGCGCGCTCTCCCGAGCCTGGGACGGCCGCATCCATGCCGTAGCCTACCACGCCGGTCTCTCGTCGGAGGAGCGAACCCGCATCCAGACCGAATGGACATCGACCCAGCCCGTTTCCCAATCCCGCAGCCGCAGCGACGGGAAGCCGCCCCCGATCCCGCCAGCCTTCTACCTCATCGTCGCAACCACCGCCTTCGGCATGGGCATCGACAGCCCGCACGTGCGGTTCGTCATCCACTGGAGCCCCCCGCGCAGCTTCGAAGGCTTCGTCCAGGAATCCGGGCGCGCCGGTCGCGACGGCCGGGCCGCCGCCTCGATCGTCTACTACAACACCCAGGAACGGGACCGCATCCTCGACCGCCTGCAGCGCGATGTCGAGAATGCCCGCAACCGCACCGGCGGGCCGATCAACAGTGGCAGCGGCAACAACAACCGGATAGCCTCGACGGTCCAAAATCAATTCGCCCGGCTGGCCAGCTTCCAGAAGGTCATCGGCTACTGCGAGACCACCACCCGGTGCCGCCATGAGATGATCAAGGATTTCTTCGGGGACCTCGAGCTCGAGAAGATGGGCTCGCAGGCCCCCTCCAGTTCGACCCAGATGATGAACCCGAACCCGACCACGACCACATCCTCTCCTTGCGACTTTGCGTGCGACTTCTGCAAGGAGGGCTCGCAAGGGGTCGCGAAGCGCAAGGCGAGGATGGCGCCGGAGAGCCACGCCGACGACTTTGTAGATATGAATCATGTCCCCTGGTACATGCAGAAGATGTTCCCGGAGATGTTCCCGGGGTATCGCGACTTCGGCGATTTCTGAGTCAAACGCTCCGCTTACCAACGTCGCCTGGGGAAACATAAGCGAAATCATTACGCCCCCCATCTGGTTATTGCCATATCTTAAGTAATAACGGATGCAGGCCTCTAAGCTGCGTTCACTCTCTCCTCGAATCACCTAAGGCACCCACACTGTGTGTTCCCTGCTTATCGAGAATCAACATGTCTAGATGTCTATGACAGACAGGGAGCTATAATGGCTAGAAATCAATATAGGATAAGCTTTTTCTAAGTCAACAAGAATGAATGGTCATGTATCGTAGGACACCTCTGGGACTATAGTTTTCGGTTTGGGGCTCTCTACAGAAGTTGAGTAGCAGCAGCAGCAGCAGCACCACCATCACCACCACCACCACCAAGGGACCCAATAGGGCAAGCCAGGAAGGTTAAGTGAAACAAATCAGATACTACAAATACTAGCCAAGCAAATCAGTCAGTCGGACGGTTTTAGTGGCCAGCTAGAATTCGGCGTGATGCAGGCGCTGATTGGGTAGGTAAGTAGGTAAGCAGCTAAAATGACTGTAGTTTCCTTCAATGCACGTTCTGCACGTGGTGATTATCAGTCTGGCTCTGTAAAATACGGGGTTGTTAGGTTGCTTGTCAAGTGCGTAGCTTTAGCTATAGAATTACAATCCTGGGGGAGGCGGGACCTATCAGGATGGGTCGAAGGGTTAGTATTTCGAATCGTCAAATCCGTCAGAGGGTAACCACTTACTGCACTGTAGCTGCCGCCTGGGGGCGGAGGGGGTGGAGGGGAGCCAGAGCCCGGAGGCGGGGGAGGAGGAGCCTCGGCGGCAGGAGGAGGCGGGGGAGGAGCAGGGCTCTGGGACTGTTGCTGCTGTTGCTGCTGAGCAGCGGCCTGCTGGTAGTACTGGTAGTAGGCGACATAGTTCTGGTACCCACCGTAGGCTGCATACGGATCCGATCCATAATACTGAGCATACTGGGCGCTGTAGTCCGCCGCGCTGGGAGTGCCCGATCCCGAGGCCCCTAGAGCACCCTGTGTGGATGGGCTCGCCGATGCAGACGGAGAATTGTGGCTATTGTTGTCTCTGCTGTGATGGTGGTTTCCGTAGCCCCCGCCATAGCCTCCGCCGCCGCCGCCGCCGCCGCCATAGCCTCCTCCGTGATAGCGGTCGCCGCCACGCTGACCATAACCGCCGTAACTGTGCTGGGGCGGGTTCTCCTTGAAGCGCTGATATTGCTCACGGACGTTGGCAAGGAGGTCCTCACATAGCTCTTTGGCACTCTGGACGTCATTGGGGTCGGGGCCACTGTGATACCAGTGAGTGGTAAGCAAGGACTAGGGAAGGTTGTTACTACTCACGCGACGTGCAAGAACATCGGTTCGTCGCTCTCTCGGCCTGTGCTGGGTTCCATGAAGCCAGATCCACGGCCCTTGATCTGGACCTTGCAGCGGGTCTTCGACTGAATGTGCTTGACATATGCGCCGCCCTGGCCAACGACCTGAGCGCGGAGGTTGAAACCCGGGATGGGCTCGAGGTCAACCGGAATGCGTTCCTCGGGCCATTTCCGCTGTACACCATTAGCTTCGAAGCAGATGTGGACCTGGGGATATATCTCATACACGACCAAACTCATCACGCTCTACCTGTTCCGGCTCTCGTCGGCGGAATCGTCGCTCATCGACCAAATTGGGAAGCTCCTTCTGCATGAGCTCATCGATCAGGGCGACAGCCTTCTCGAGGCCTTCCTTATTCGTGCTCGTGACGTGAAGATAAAGCGGAGGATTCTATGAGACGCATCGAGAATGTCAGATTTCATGATTCCCTGGAGACGGAAAAAAAGGCGAAACATACCGCGGCCGTGGCCATGCTCTTATCGGGATAGTAGTTTCCTCGGGTAGTGACATCTTGAGAAAAGAATCAATCATGAGCTTCCTTCTTGAGCAGTCAACAGTTGATAAAAGTATGAGATGGAGGCGTACCGGCGCCAGTTTCTTCCTTGATCTAGATGTCACGCAGTGGAGGTCAGCAGATGCAAAAGAGGGGAAGTGAGATGCTGTGTATAAGTTCGTTTGACTTGGGTAAGTTTTTAGTCACAATCATAAAACACGAAGAAACAGAGGGTCAAAGGGAGGAAAACACATGACCGCCGGCTGACCAGTCGGCCGGCCAGCCAGCGAACAAGATGCCTGGAAGATCAGCAGGTGCAACAGGAGTAATTACCATCTTCTGAGTAGAGCCTTTGGTCAGCGTGTAGCGGTTGCGCAAATCATTAATTTCGATATCCTTGATATAGTCTCCATCGGCAACGTAGATTTCGGCGTTCAGCTTCCCTGAAGCATCGACGTCCCCAGGCGAACCGGACTTGGGCATAGGACTTCCGGACTAATCAAGCGGGGGCAGGTCAGTGTGATTATTCCTTCGCTGAGGGTATGCGACCGACGGAGTCTGATGATATGCTTACCGAGCGAATTGGGGGAACGTCGACATGCTGGATTCCTTTCTTCGCTTGCAACTGGGCGTTGATCTTTGCCGCAGCGGCGGCTGTATCGAACCATGTCAGCACTGTGCGATCCCACCGCCAGAGAACATGAGCACATACCAGCGGCGGCAGCAGGATCGGATTTCTTCGCAGGGTCTGCGCTGGGACTGCGAGGCTCTCGACTAAGGGGGCTGCGGGCTCGAGCAGATTCGGTTTGTCGCGACGACGGAGACCGAGAGCGACGGTCGAAGCGAGACGGGCGCCGCGAATCAGGCTCGGTCTGATCGAAGCGAGAACGTTTGGGGCGGTGTTCTTCCATGAGTGTGACGGATGGTTCACAGGCGAGAGAAAAAAGATATAGAAGGGATTTAAGGAGGGAGCGCAGCGAATGGAATGAGGAGAGCCGTCAAAGAAGTAATAAGAAGGCAGCGAGAAGAAGGCTAAAATAGGGCCCAAAAGCAAGGTTACTGGGAAGTCTTGGTTTGCGAAGGACTTTCCCGGGAGGCGGTGGAGTTGCTGAAGAACAGAAGAGCGTCCAGTTGGTGGACGCTAAGCTGAGTGGGTGTGCCTTAGAGTAAGTTAAGACTAGTTCCGCAGTTTAGGGTCAGTCTGCAGTCACAGTACAGTTGAATACTAGTACTCATGTAACTCACGTAGGTGTGATGCCTAAGATCTTCTCAGCACCACATGTGAACAGTACACAAACTGTAGATCACACAAAAGAGAACAAGAGGAGAAGTCAGTTATGTGATATCGATGAGAGCCATCATCAGCCGCCAATTCCAGAGATGTGCAGAGTTACGGAGTACAAGTAGAGCGAGACTCCCAATGGGGAAAGATGCACTGGAATCGAAGCAGATCATGTGACGAGAGTCTGGGCCGGGGGGAACAGACTAAGCCCCGAAGCGGTAAGACCGTTGAGAGCGCCGCGCAGCGACCGGCGAACGGAGGACTGAGTCAGCAACCCCGAGGTCGGAAGGCGGCCCCGACATAAAATGCCCATCGATGACTGCGAAACTTAATTCACGTACCCGGTTTGCATCCTCGCCCATCAACCCGCCCCTTGAAGCCTGTCCTTTCCCCCAGGCCTCTTTCATTGCGGCGATCATGGCATTCCGGCGCCCCATGATGCTGTCTGCGACAGCGTCATCGACGCCCTTCCTGGCTGTGGCCAGCCGCACCTCGCGCCTGGCCGCTACGCTTCCGCGATTCTTAACGACCTCCTCCTCCCGGGCCTCGTCCAGCTCCACCTCCGCGCTCGCCTACAAGGCGCTGCACCGCCGCTCTCCGCTGCCGCTGCCCGTCAACGATGCCTCGCCGCAATGGGACGCGCCGACGGCGGTCTCGTCGATCCTGTACGAGACGCCCTCGGTGCCGACGAACCCGCCGAAGCGGCACATCCTGAACTGTCTGGTGCAGAACGAGCCGGGCGTGCTGTCCCGGGTGTCCGGGATCCTGGCGGCGCGGGGCTTCAACATCGACAGTCTGGTGGTGTGCAACACCGAGGTCGAGGATCTGTCCCGTATGACCATCGTGCTGCAGGGCCAGGACGGGGTCGTCGAGCAGGCCCGCCGCCAGCTGGACGACCTGGTCCCCGTCTGGGCGGTGCTGGACTACACCGACTCCGCGCTGGTGCAGCGCGAGCTCCTCCTCGCCAAGGTCAGCATCCTCGGCCCGGAGTTCTTCGAGGAGCTGCTCCAGCACCACCGCGAAATCACCACCCCCGGTGAGCAGGGCCAGAGCGACGCCAAGCAGCAGATCGCGAAGACCGAGTACCACCCCCGCAACCTGCCGCACAGTCAGGCCCTCCGCCACAAGCACGAGCATCTCGATGCCATCACCCGCCTGACTCATCAGTTTGGTGGTAAGGTGCTGGATATCAGTACCAACAACTGCATTGTCGAAGTGTGAGTCATTTCATTCCCTCTTTGTTTTGTTTGGGAGGAGGGGGGGGGGAGGGTTATTTTCATTTTGACAAAAAAGACGAATGGGAAACTAATATCCAAATTCAACAGTTCTGCTAAGCCTTCCCGTATCGACTCCTTCATGAAGCTCATCGCTCCCTTCGGTGTCCTCGAATCCACTCGCACCGGTCTCATGGCCCTGCCCCGTTCTCCTCTCTTTGAGCCTACCGAGGAGCTCGAGAAGGATGCTGCCGACGTTGTCGATGCTAGCACCCTTCCCCCTGGTTAAATTGTCCTTCCTCTGATATCCACCGTCCAATATCCTGCAATGAAAAAACAATCCGTATCCTTTTCTCTATATTTCGAAGCAGACTGCTTTCCCTGTAAATTGGTCAATTCGCTTGCGCTAGGTAACTTTTCGAAATGTTACGTCATGAAAGCTCTTCATATGTATCTACCTACTGGTCAGGCTATGACTCATTGAGTAAAGTAGGTGCGATCACACTCAGTAGATAATCACTAGGCAGCTGAGACGCGGCGCCACTTTCTTAGGCATGGCCTACGGTAAGCTATTGGAGCGTTGCTATTGTTGTCATATGAGTGTAAACTAGTGGCAAAGCGCCATTGACTTGTTCTTTTTGCGACCTGAATAGCATCCCAATATCGATGCCAAACCAAAACTTCTATGCCGAAAAGAAACTCCCGAATCCCAAACTCCGACTTAGCCCGATGGACCAAGGAAATTCGTATCACAGCTTTACCTTTGCTTTGATGCCCTTGCCATGGTACACCACCCAGTCTCTATAATGCTGGATCTGCACGCCGACCTTCGCGACGGCGTCTAGCTGGAGAGAGCTGCCAAGGGCTCGTCTCAATGCATCGTAGCCAATTCCGCCCAGCTTCAAATCTACTGGCAATCGCGGAGTCACAGATAGGCCTGGAGGGACCGGAAACGGAATCCGGTAGTCGATAGAGCCGACTTCTGCCTCCTCGCTCTCTGCTTGGTAGAACGCCTGAGCATCAATCGAAGTAATCTCAATTGTTGTGTTGGGGAATGGCGAAGACAGTGTGAACTCGGCCGTCGATGACCACAGGTGCATCTAAGAGCACTCAGATCGCATTAGTCAGTTTCACCAAGCCGATGTGTGCTCGCGCGATGATGACATAGTACATCAAGGGCTACATGGCATCTAATGTCATCATCGTCATAACAAAAGGACAAGGTCCATGAAAGTAGAAATTACCGTAGCTCCTTGTATAAATCCCATGGACCCGTTGCCCGCATCAGGCTCGTGTCCCGGTGCCTGAGGGACAGGGATACGAGGAATCTGCACGTCCAGACTCAATCTTGAAAGCGCCCGTCCTAGTCCTGGTAGTGCGGGAATACTCTTCGCGTGTGTCCGTATGGTAACCGTAGTATTTGACCCTACAGCAGTACAAATCAGGTACCGAGACAGCTGCAATGTTGTCGGTTCAGCTTACCTGAGATATATTGGGACAACAGGTCCCGTCCAGCGCTGGCACCAGATGGGCCATCAAAGCTGAGGGGACTCCATAAGAGGTCCACGTGAAGACCGCTGTTTGATCCGGGGGTTATTTGGGCGTTTTTTGCCGTCAAGTGGGCTACTGTTGAGCCATTGAAGAGCATTACGAAATCTATCAGGGGTATCGCAGCAGCATACGGCGTAGGGTTCGTAACATTGACTTTCGTTTCCACGAGTAGTGAAGACGCACTCGTGTCGCTTAATTTGAGCGACTCAATCTGTGGCTTGAATTCATCGAGTGAGCCACCGTACGGGGCTAAGTAATAGTCAGTTTGGATAGTAGCCTCATGGTGCAGAGCAGCTAAGCGACTAACGCTTGACGATAACCTCTCCTTCGGCTGGTATCTCGCGGACCGTCAGGATGCCGAGTCCCGTGGATACTTCCGCGTCTACATTGGCTGTCACGTTCAGCTTAATGATTTTACCAGAAAAGATGAGATCTTGGAGAAGGTCCGTGAGAACATCATCGTCAGTGACCCTCAGCGGGGCGTCTTTGATGGCAAAGTCAACCAGCACTGCCGGGGTACCGTCGACATCTTCAAGCAAGGTTGAGTTGACCGGCTGCCACTTGTTGAGATCCAAGACTCCAACCTTGCGGTTGAGATAGAGCACATCGGCATTGGCCCGGATCCGGGGCACATCGAATTCGAGTCCAACCTCCTTCGGTAGCCCTATCAAGACCTTCACCAGAGCAGAGACTGTTGGACGGGATTCAGGCGAGTCCGGCTCTGCCAGAGGGTCAGGCAAGCTGAAGTGCACATCCGACATGGTGAAATTTCGGACAAGGTTATCAAAGGTATGGCCAGTAAACTGGAACGATACCGTCACACTTTTTAGTATGTCCACAATCCAGCCTGGAGTATCCAATGAGGGCGCATCAGCTCCGCGGACGTAGACAGTTGTTCCACGACCATGAACGTAGCTTTTGACAAGCAAGTCAAGCGGCGAGCTCTTTTCTCCTGGGCAACTTTTCGTCAAGTCGTCCGAAAGACCTCGAATCAGGGCGCTGACATTGATCAGGGTTGGTTTGCTGGGGGTAACCGGGAATCCCTCGGTCATGGCACCGGCCACTGTGATGTATGGGTCCCCTGGAGAGCAGTTGGGCACCAGGACTGTGAAGCCAAGGGGAGGGATGCTAAGGGAGAAAGGGGATTGGATCATAGCAGTAACGGACGCGTCCACGACCATTGCTCCTTCATCTCCGGGGGTGTCCGCATCATGAACGATAAAATCGGTCACGTTGACCGTGGGCACCGGGGGCAAGTCGCCCTCTGTCGATTGGGTCAGCCTGCTGCGGAACATAAGAGAAATTCACGCCGCAATACATACCTTGCAAGACAATCGAGTCAGTGATCGTCTGTGTGCCCAGATCCAACAAGCCGGATTGGAGATGCATTGTTGCTCTGCCAGCTACACGAACGTGGCCGAGTCTGCCGTCTAGCCAGTCCAGGGCTAGTGAGCGAACGCCTTCAACATCGCCTGCCACCAGATCTGCAATGAAGTCGACATGATTGACATGGCCGTTCTGGATATTGATGTTGAGTGGGGGCAGAGAGACGGTACCGACGAGGACATTGCCGTACTCGGGTAGATTTACTTCCACCTCGGCCTCTCCGGTCTCGACCTCTCTTCCAATCCAGGTGACGAAACGACCTAGGTCCCGTACCGGCCTCTTTTTGATGCGCTGTGCATCAAGGATCAGGTTCCCTTGTACACGAGCACGGACTCCCGTAGCGGTCGTCGATTCAATTGACACACTGGTGGGGTTGAAGACCGTTGCATCTTTCACGTACTCCCTTACAGCTGCTGGGGCAATAAAAGCAAAGACCAGTATTGCAGTGACCGCAAGGATTGAGATCACGGCGCAGAAAATGGGCCATCGAATTTTGCCCCGTCGTTTCTTCAAGGAGGGGTCCGAGGAGAGGGAGCGGCGCGAGAGATCGGAAGTACGTCGTTGTCTGGGGTCGGTCCCGCCGTACCCCAGAAACTCATCGTCATCCCGACGGACTAGAAGCGGAGCGGATTCATCGGACAATTCATACGGTCGAGGCTCCTGATAAGTGAGAGAAGGTGTCTTTCCATCCTTGGGCGATGGAAATGGATGAAGTGAGCCCGGCCTAGAATCACCGTCCAACAGAGGCCTGGCTGCCTCGTCCGTCATGACGGAGCTGGTGGTGGAGGTGGTGGTTGATGAAGGAAGACTAGCTCGGTGTCACGATAAGAGACGGGGGTCAGATAGGCGCCTGGGCAGAGAAGATAGGAGATAGGTAATGGCTACAGGTTTCAAGGAGGCTGAAGGGGGTTAAGGACACCAGCAAATGAGGAAACTAAAGGGAAACAGGTATACGGAAGCTTGAGCTCCAAGGAAAGACGTAAGGTTAACTCAGCTCCAAGAAAGTCAATGATGAATGATGAAGGATGAAGGATGTTGGAGTTGGACAAGCAAGCCGACGGAGAGCGGATCGTCCCTCGCCAGGGCGGTGTGGCGTTCCACTGCAAGTATCGGAGTACATAAGTTAGTACTCGTCACCATGAACAATACCTAATCTCAAGTAAGGTAACACTAAACTCAGCAGTATCCATGTTATTTGTACGAGGTATACGGTTGACCACAGCACACAACAGTCCAAGTGACTTGGTCAGGAAGCTGATGGTGAAGCAAGCACATGAGGTAATTGAAGTGGTACTGCCTATGAATTAAATCCTCTGTAGAACCAATATGTCCTAACAACGCTATGACTACTACTACTACTACTACTACTATTATTCCTACAGTACATAGAGTACTCCCAGCTGTTGCGATCTAATCTGTAGATTAGCAGCTTGCCTACATAAAAATAGAAAGAGTTACAACTGTAAGTTAGTGTAGGTTAGTAATTGGGCCATGGATTGACTCGCCTCACCACCGAGCACCAATTCCCAGCCAACGCGGTTTTACCATTCCGATCCAACCACCACCTCGTAAGGACTGCCTTAAGGTTTTTATATTGAGGCACACAGTCAACAATTCCATGATTTGAATCCTGAGTGCTGACCTCGGTCCATCTGAAGTAGGAACAATTGATTGAAGGGTGGAGTGATAGATGCATGATGATTAACTTATTGTTGGTGGTGCCATTGTCCTCCAGGCTGTCTTGTCCTGCCCGCATTTTCACATGCGCGGGCCAAGGCTAACCCCAGTCTCAGAGAGCCGACAATTTCCTTTTAAGGACTCCATTTGCTCCCTTCCAACTTCGATTCCTTCGTTTCTCTCTCCCCCTCGCTCTCTTTCTCGCTCTCTCCACATTTGTCATTTTAGTCACTTTCTCGCCCCAGTCTCTCAAGTTATCTCCGATCCAATCGATCGGATCCTGCCTGCCAGATCCATGGAGGTAAGCACTCTATCTATATACTTCAAGATGCAATCTACTCCGTCCCTTTCTCCTTTCCTACACCATGCTCATCAAACACCATCACCTTTTATAGCAAACCCAGGTTCCCGCGCAGCCACCAGTCCAGAGCGCCTTTCGATCGCGACGATCATATCCTTCTCTGCACCATGTCTCTCTCGCTCCATTAAATCCTCGATTTCTCGCCGACGAGGAGGGGGAGGAGGCAGAGGTTCCAGACTACTTCAACCATCCCCACCACAATCACCACGACAGCCCGGACCCGCCCACCGCAAGGTCTTATTTGGCTAGCTTCTCCGTGCCCGGCACTCCGGGGGTGCTTTCGCACTCCCACTCCCGCAGCGGGTCCCGCACGCGACACCATCCTCGGAGCAAGAGCTCCAGCCGCATCCACCATGCCAGCGACCCCAACCTGCAGGCTCGGAGTGCGAGCAGCCCCCTCCATCATCATCATCAGCAGCAGCAGCATCAACCTCACCAAACCCACCACGCGAACCGTAGCGCCCGTACCCGTCACCCTGCAAACCACCATCAAGACACAGAATGGATGCTCCGCGCAGGCATCGCACTCGCTTCCTCGACCCGCGAAGAAAAAGGCCAGAGCTGGCTCGTGAAACGACAGAGCTCGACGAGTCTCGTCTCTGACAACCATCAACTCAGCCTGGACTTCCTCAACCACAACCACAACCACCACCACCATCATAGCTGGTGTCACGGAGGTAGTCCTCGACATGGCCGGTCCGGACGTTCCACACCAGCCGCGGCCAATTCCCGATCCAGACGGGCTTCCCGGTCCCGCCCAAGCAGCCGGGTGGCCAGTAGAGCCGACCTTGCCATGACCAGTCTAGGCATGGCCACTACTGCAACATCCACCGCAGCCTCCTCCCGCCGCGGAAGCAGAACGGCCGACCTTCTGACCAGCACCAGCACCAGCACCAACACTAGCACCAACACCAGCACGCAGAAGATTGAGGAACAACAGCAACAACAACAAACCCGCCCCCTCATCCCCGATTTCGTCGACGAGCGCATCCGCGCCGAGATGGCCTCCATCCAACGCGACGAGAACGCCGAATTCGACGACGAGGAAGAGGAGGTCGACGACGACCTCTCCTCCTTCACCTCCGACTACCCGTACCTCGACTCGGGCGACGAGTCAGACGAGATCGACGAGCAAGAGCTGCAACGCCTCACGCGGGAGCGAGGCTTCGGACTCGGCAGCTGGATCGACCGCATGGTCGAATGGACCCTATTCGGCGTCGAGGACTGGCCGCTTTCCTTTGGTGGTGGTGGTGGTGGCACCGACAATGACGGCACTGTAGTCGAATCCCGAACCATCACCGTCGCAGACCATCCCCCTCACCCATCAGCCGATAACGTTGAAGATGACCCCTCATCTACCCATGTAGCAGTAGCAGCAACACCATCAATCGGAGCAGACGACACCGACGCAATCTCCCTCGCCGAATCGGAAGCCCTTTCTGTCTGCGAGAAGCCAGGAGACCAAGGCGGCTGGGGAGATGCAGGCTGGCTGTTCCGGGCTGTGAAACGTGCGCTGTATTGAGTTCTATTTCCTTTCCCTCCCTTTGGTCTGGACTGGGCTTGAGGGGCAAAACCTCCCTCCCTTCATACTTACAAAAAGAACTGGCCCGTATGCTGTGTGCACTCTGTTCGTGTATGTACCCGTCTACTGTACCCTGCGGGATCGACATAGTATTGTCCCCCCTCCCCCGGCCCCCGGGCCTCTCCTTCCTGCTCTGTACGGCGCAGCCACGGGACACATAAATGCACAGGCAGATGTCTTTGTCCACGGGGATTTCATTGCTTTGTTATTGGAACGTAGATGACGCTGGTGTGAGCTGTACAGTATGTCCCCGCATATGCCATTGCATTGAGGAGGAGCGAGGCTCACTCACCTGGGAGTCACTAGCGGAGGGACCATTGACCTACATACTACAGGGAGCTACAGCTGCGTGTTTCGGTGGAAGGGTTTTTATTTTCGACCCTGGATAATCTTTCTCTGATCACCCAGCTAAGACAGAAATACCATACATCTCAACTGCTAAAACCATCGAGCTTCAATTGAGCTTCAAACTGGTGTGTGCTATTTTGGCACTGCATGCAGCTTAAGATTTGTGGTTTTGCTCCAAGGGGGCATCGACTAACCAAGTAGGACAGATGTATAGAGCCCAACCCCTGCATTTGCATTGAAATTCTCCCAATTCGCTCCTAGTGAACTTCCTAGTGAACTGTACAAGCCTCCACCACTGCTAAAACGAATGCTCTTTGTTGCTTCTTAGTTAGATTGACACGTAGAACTTGGCCCGCGGAGGTCGGCAGAAAATGTAGAGAAAGCCTCCTTGCAAAACCCCAATGAATAAGCCAGACACCGGTAGGATGATATTAGTTGAGGGAACATGATGGAATAAAAGGGTATACAGGATTGTGGGACGACAACAAGATATGTTGGTTAGTCAACGAGAATGTTTGAAGCTTCGTCGTGATATGATAAGATGAATGCAATGAAGTCGCATGGATGCAGGAAAGGAATGAAGAAGTCAATGTTCGAAAGAAAGATGGAAAACCATGCCGGACTGTGTCAATGCAAGGAGGATCTGGATGCATGGAACGTGTTGAACACAAAGAAAAAGGATTGAACCCGGGGCCTGGAATCTGGCAATCTAAATCGAAAAGTAGGCGATGAAGGCGGCGGCTTCCAAAGGTATGACACATTAAAGCAAAAGACAGAAAAAATATGTTTGCATGAACACTGCAAAACGCCAAGCTGACCCTCAACTCTAGTTTCATGCGATAAAGTATCGTGATCGTATCATACGTGGACATTGCACGGTCGAGGTTTCGGACACTAGCTCTGAATGGGGAGGGCGGTAAAAGAAGTGTCGTGAAGAATGTTTTTTTGGGAGTAGGTCGGAGGGAGGAAGAAGATGGGAGAAGATGAAGCTGGCAGTCAATTGTTGGCGGCATTACCATGGCCCAACCTTGACTGGGGTGCCGAGCCCGTATGTGCCCGACAAGAGTTGCTCGCGAATGGATCCAAGGTCATTACCTCCAGGGCTTCCATAGCCTTGGGCATCCGGTCTGTGCATCCACCCTAAGCTGGAACCGAGCTCGTTGACGGCTGCCTGCAGTTTACCGCCGGAGTTTTGGTTGTGTTTTGCCAGTTTCTGATCCCAACCACCGTACTGTAACTGAATACCACCGCCACGTTTGGCAGCCTCCCGAATCACCAAGATCCAGGCCTTGCAAATCTCGTCGTACGCAGAGTCCCGCTCTAGATTGTTTTGAGGTGTGTGCCACCGGGGCAAAGCGTGGATTATGTCGGTTGCCCCATCTAAATAGCTCAAAGATACGGAGGCTTGTGTTTCGTTTGGCGGAAGGAAATGTGGTGTAAAGTCACTGAGAGCGTCCAACAAACTCCCCAAAGGCTGCCGGACTCGGTTGTAGGCGTAATCTGATTCAGAGCTGCCGCCCAGCGGGAATGATGACTGAAGGTTGGACTGATAATTCCGAAGCACCTGGAGTGCGGATGCTACGCTGGGTCGCGGGGCGGTATGAATGACCTCATCCATCAAGGCCGGATGACGCTCACACATGGAGCGGAGAACGCCCCGGAGAGCATTGGTATCCAAGGTCTCTAGCAAGCGGGGCAGGGAGAGAGGCCGCCCGCTGACATTTGGACGAGCACGCTTGATATGGTGTCGGTTGGATGGAAGGGTTCGAGGAGTGAAAGCAGGCGAGTTAGTGGGAGATGCGGACATTCGGCCATCGTGATCGTTGCCATCATCATCGGCTTTCCGTTTGCGGTTGGGCGTGTGGGTTGGGGTAGACACTAAAGGGACGGGACAATCAGTATACGGGAAAACAATTTCAAAGGATTGATAAGGAATGTTATTCTTACTTGGACGAGAAGGAGAGAGACGAGAAGGTTCGTAGAAGTGGTGAGGAGGCACAGGTGGTGTAGCCACCAAACTGTTCATGATGATGGCCACCGACCGCTTAAGGTTGGGCAAGAGAGAAAAAGGAGAGGAAGGGTCGTAGCGTAGCCAACGGAGGAAAAACGAGGACGAGGGACGGAAAGGTCGTCAGCTAGGAGCACGAGGAGATGTCTAGGAGAGAGAGAGAGAGAGAGAAAGAGAGGGGAGTGTTTTAAAAAAGTAGGAGAAAGAGAAAAGAAATGCAAGAAGAAGCAAGGGAAAGGAAAAGATGGTGGTAGTGGTGTGGTGGTGGTGAAGGTGGTAGTTGGTGGTGGTGGAGTTGCAGGAATGGGAATGAAGTGGAGGAGGAGAAGAAAGACTAAGAAAGGTTCAGTTAATGACTGTTTGCCTTCTTGGTGGGGAAAGAGAGAGACACAGCAAAGAAAGAAGAGCGAGAGGCGGTGGAGCCTCGGGACGGGTTGCGGGAGGCAACGCAAGCCTTCAATGCACTTTCTTTAACCAGAGATTATATTCTATCACCAACTAACCACCATCTCCCTCCCTTCTTCCCTTTAACACAACAACTACTCTGTAACTCATCATCGTCTGCAAGAATCCGCATCGCAGCCCCGTGGCAAGGAAATCTTACATTGTTTTAATTTCCGGGGTCTTGCAGCAGAGCAGCAATCTCTCAATCCATCCGCATAGTTCTCGTCGCCCGCATGACCACAACTTAACCAAGCGTCAACTCTAAACAATAGAGAGAGAAAAAAAAAACTGTCCGACATGATTCAGTTCTCTTTTCGTTCTTTGGGACCCCTTCCTTCTCCTCAGAAGCACTTGAATCCTACATGAACCATACGGAGCTGCTCTCTGCATGATTGCAATAGTCTGAAAGCAGTCTCACATCTAGATCATTTCGGAAATTAACCACGCTGGTTGACTCACATCAAACCGCATCTGAGCGAAATATGACCATGACAGCATTGCCACCATGCTCTAGGGATACCAAGCCAGTCAAGTACTGTACTCGAAGGGTCCTCAGCCGTCATGAACACATTGGCGTCTCTCGCAAGCGAACCGATCGTTTTAGGCGAAGTAGATTGATTCATGGTCACTCACGCCAACAGAAATCCTCCCCCCCCCCCACAATCCAGCAATACCAAGGCCACCCGGCAGCGCCAATAGATCAACTAAACTCTCCGCCAATGTTGTATTTCCAGTCGTGATCCTGAAACTCGGATAGATACATGCCCCAGTATGGACTTAAGTCAGCCTCACACAGGCAATGCACTGTCGACGTGGATGAGTTTAGATCAGTTACTAGTAAATAGAGCACAACGCAGAAAGCGACCTTGCGCCGAAACTTCAACGTCTACCACCATCCTAGCGGGGTTGCGCCCCTTCCCCCCTCCCCTTATCCCATCTTTTATCTTTCTTCGAACAGTAGTAGTAAGACCTCAATTTCAGGATTAGCCCACCCGATACCGGAGGAGTCAAGGAACGCTAAAGAACTCATGGCACAACGCTAGACATTGTCATCGGTCAGCCACTGTAACAATAAAAGTAAGGTTGTATTCCCGCCCATAGATCGATATCTACAGTACGGTACATCTACCCATCAGCTCCGTCAAGCAGCCCTGTCTGCTCCCATATCGACCTTCTCTCTCAAGATTATCCCACAAATAGACCAATTCCTACGACAGTAGTTCCGTATCAGAGAGAGAGAGAGAGAGAGAGAGAGAGAGTATGAAACAGTCATGCGACCTCTTAGCCTACACGTACAGTACGCACAATATCAATCATCTCATCGCCTGGACAATCCCCTATCCCCGCGTTCGATTCGATACGCGGAAAGTCCTAGGATTTCTTTTTCGATCTTCGAATCTCGACTGCATTTGAAACATATTGCGCACTATACGCCCCCAATGGAAGAAGATACGGGAAATGGTACGCCAGCAAGGACAAGGTTCCAAGTGGCTCTCTCAAAGGATGCCTGCCGTCTCAGTTCACTACTTAGAACTGAGGTAGAAGAAAAAGGAACGTAGCTTCCGATCCAGATCCCACGTACAGTCCTCATTCCTTTGTTGCGGATTTTGCTGCTATTGCTGGGGGATTCGGGTTTGGTTGGCAGCGGCTGTTCCTCATTCAAAGAAGTGTAGACGCCCTCGGTGGGGCAAGAACTATTGATAGACACTGCTGATTTATCTGTATCCTTTGTCTAGACGACTGCCAAAGAGGTTTTTTTTGGTGCCATTTAATCCATGATTAGTTGGGGAACTTCGTCGGCTCCCCTCAAGTACCCCACACATTTCATAAAGAGCCCAATTTATCTACTCAATTTGATCGTGGCTACAGTTCCGATTGATAGAAGGGACGAGAAAAAAAAATGGAATCGATCGTAGATCAACTGGGAAACGGCCAGCTGGGATTGTAAAGAGGACTGCGCCCATCTATAATCGAGTGTCGCACAATATTGACACCCTCATTTACAGAGAAGAAATATGTAGACATAAAATAATGTGAGAAACGGAAGAAGAACGGCAAGAAAAAGCCATACATGAACCTTTTTGTGAAGCCTGACGCCGGATATGCGACCACCAAGGTAATAAAAAAACAGCCCAACCTCCAAAGTCGAAGCGAGAGAGGACACAATCGAGGGGGCGAAGTGAAACAACGATAGTATGGTGCTTTATAGGTACAGGGACTGGGCGGCGACGATATCCCTACGCACCTTGGTCAGGGCGGTTTCGAAAGTGCTCTCGAGTTCTTCGCTGCCCATGACCTTGGCTGCCTGAGCCATCTGGCGCATACACTCCTCGAGTCGGCGGAAAACTCGGATCAAGCTGCCCTCGTAGACATCGGTCATTTGACTGTACAGACGGTAGGTTAGTATTGCGGGAGAACAATTCACGAGCAAGAGCAAGGAACCTACCAGATATCAGAGAAGGACTTTCCGTTCGCCCACTCATACATGACCTCCATCAGTTCCCAGTGGAAACTATTGACGTATTCTTCCTCGTTGACGGCCAGCTTGGATTCCTGCGAGACCTTGGCGACGATCCGAGCCTGCGCTTGGATCTCTTTGAGGGGCTTGGCCAACTCATCCCGTGTTAGAGCAGGGGTCTCCTTGGTCTTCTCCTCAAACACGAAGACACTCAAAACGGCAGCGACTTGCTCCGGCGTAAGCTTGTTGAAGAAACCGTTGAAAAGAAGTTCACTGAGCATCAGTTCGTCACCCGTGCTGATTTCGCACGCAACTCTAGCCTTCAGTTGTACGACCTCGGCTTCATTGATGAAACCGAACCGACGAAGGACCCGCTTGCGGCATTTCAGTTCATCGAGCTGCATGATAGACATGGCGTCGGAAATCTTCTTCTTCGTCTCCTTAATCTTGTTTCCAAGCTCCACTTTCTCCGAATATTGATCGTACAGTTCCGCTAGACGGGGAGAGTTGTGCAATGGGTTGGTGAACAGGCGAGACTCCAGGACTTCGACTTTCTGTTGATTGATTAGTGATCTACAGACATGTTTTCAAGGACGAGTCTACTCACACGAAGAGTCTTCTTGAAATTATCATCTTTGATTTGCATGTCTTCAAGCGGGTCCATAGTAGCGATGCCGTCGGGGAAACGCTTGTGTATTTCAGCAAGGGTTTTCTTCATCGAATTTCGCGCGTCTTTGGACTTCAAGTCTTTTTGAAGGAAAACGCGCGGTTTGCCGATGGCCTGAATGCAGCTAAGCACAATTGGGACGACCTCCATAGATGTCTTCTCGCCCTCCTTAGGCGGCCGCACCCCAGATGGCATGTCTTCAAAGGACTTGGTACCCACAGAGTTGCCATCGGGGAGTTGGAGCAAAACGTCGACAACGTGTTGCTGGTGAGGAGTGTACTCTTCACTCGAGCCCTTCGGCGCCTTGCGCTGCTTGCTGTTGACAACGACACCCCAGCCGAAGTCGTGATCCTTATGCTTCACCTGAAGCAAGCGACCAGGTTGGATGAACGGCAGGCAGTAGTCCGGGTAAGTGAAGACGGTCCTGATTTCATCGTTGAACTTCTGAAGCTGTTTCCGCAAATCATAATATTCACGGATGGTGCCTTCGTCTTCAATCTTCATGCTCGCACGCTTCTGTTCATATTCCGCAAGCTCTGTGACATCAATTAGCATGATAGTAAATAGCTCGGGGTAGATTGACCATACGTTTCTCAAGCTCGGCGACACCAGCCGTGTTCTGGAACTGGTAGAAACATCTCTCGAGCATGAACTCAGGCGAAATACCCTCCACACGCATGAGGTTGAGAATCATGTTGTAGCCCAGGTGGAAAGCCGAGTTCAGCCGATCCTGCTCGCCGCGTACGATCTCCTTTGCAACCGCAGGATCCATCTCTTCTCCAACCATCATAATCACAATACCACGGTCATCCAAACCTCTTCGGCCAGCGCGACCAGACATCTGGATGAATTCCGAGGGAGTAACCCAACGTTGACTGAAGCCGTCAAATTTCCTCACACTGGTGAACACAACAGTCTTTGCCGGCATGTTCAGGCCAATGGAGAAGGTCTCAGTAGCAAACAGAGCCTTGATAAGACCTTCCTGGAACAGAATCTCAATGGTTTCTTTGAGAATAGGAAGCAGTCCAGAGTGGTGAACACCGATACCACGGCGCAGAAGCGGTAGGAGATTTTGAATCTGAGGTAAATTCCGATCTTCTTCCGAGAGCATCTTAAGAGCATTGTCGAAAACTGTTTGGACCATCTCCTTTTCCGAAGGATCGTTGAAAGACAGATTCTTCATCTGAAGAGCACCGTTCTCGCACTCGCGCTTGCTGAAACTGAAGACGATAACAGGGTTGAGGTTCCGAAGCATGATCATCTTGACGATCTTGTACATATCACTCTTCTCGTCATTCTGGCCGCCCTTGTTCAAGCGCTTGTCTTTGCCCCTTCCTTTCCTCTTAGCCATGGCATCCGAAGGGTCATCGCCCTTCTTATCGGCAATGCTGCTCATCGCTTTCTGGAAGTTATCTTCGCGGAAGGCACCCTTTTCATCAACGATCAAATGCAATCCTTCAGAGCCGACCGGGTAGAAATAGTGTTGCAACGGGGTTGGTCGGAAGTCGGTGTACACAACGTGACAGGGCTGGTTGTGCATCTTCACGATCCACTCCGCAAACTGCATGGCATTGGGAATTGTCGCCGACAAGAAGACATACCGAACCTTGTCGGGCAGGAGAATGATAGTTTCCTCCCAGACGACACCTCGGGCTGCGGAGTTGTCAGTCATATGCAAGAAAAAAGGCAAACGTCAGGTCCGTAGGACTTACTGGCATCGCGCATGTAGTGAACCTCGTCGAAGATGACCCAAGCCACTTCACGCATGATCTCAGAGCCACGGTAGAGCATCGAACGTAGAATCTGGAAATTGTGCTGCGTTAGCGCGAACTGCATCGGAATGCCTTCCCAGCCAAAGAGCGCCTACCTCGGTGGTCATGACCAAGCATGTAGCCGTAGGGTTAATAGTAACATCTCCAGTCATCAAACCACAATCCCCAAACTCTTGTTGGAATTCACGGAACTTCTGGTTGCTCAGCGCCTTAATCGGACTGGTATAGATGACTCTCTGGTTGTTCTTCAAGCTCTGCGCGATAGCGTACTCGGCGACCACGGTCTTTCCGGCACTAGTATGGGCGGAGACAAGCACACTCTCCTCTCTTTGAATGGATGCGACAGCTACTTGCTGGAAAGGATCGAGGGTAAAAGGCCATACTCGGGCAGGGTTCTCCGGCGGCTTGTGTTGGGAAATAGGCACGTAGGGATAGTTTGGCGGAATGGCGACCTGGTGTCGAACTTGGTGGGATAACTTCAAAGACGCAGAATCGGCCGAAGCTTGCAGTCCGGTGGCTCCTGCGACTTCGCGCTCCTGCTCCGTCTCGAATGAATCGACCAAGACAGGCTCAGCCTCCTTTGTCGCGAGGCGCGGACGTTTCGCATCGGGTTGTTCATTGGAGTCGGCTACAGGGCTGGCTTCCTTCTCTTCTTCTGATTCGGGTTCCTTCTCGTCCACGGGGGGAGGGACCTGGGCGTCGGGGGCGTCGGGGATGTCGATATCCTCCGTAGCGGCGGTTGCGGCGGCGGTTGCTTTGACATCGCCATTGACCTGCCGTTTCTTGCTCTTGTCTTTCTTTGATCTCTTAGGTGCTCCTTCAGCCGGCTTGACAGCCTGAGGCTGGTCGTCAAAGACGTCGAAAAGCTCATCCATGGTGGCCGATCAACGAAAGCAAGACCGGAGACTGACCTGGACACTTGCGACGCTTCTCTCTCTTCCAAGACGAAGAAGAGTTGGGTTAAAGGCGATCGGCCCCAAAATTTTTGGTTAACACAATGAAAGCCGCGGGCGGGCAGCAGCAGCTCTCCGCCGGTGAAACTTACCCGATTAGAGGGAAAATCACGTGACTGCACTTCCGGAGGGCAGCCGCGAGTATCGTTCCACTCCTCCAGCTCTTCCTCCGCCCGTTGATTAATTCCAGTAAGATTGTCCTGACACTCGTGCTCTACCATCTCTCTCAAAGTGCGTAACTGCCTGCAAGTTCGTGGTCATTGAACAACCGACTCTAACACTGCTTAAGATGTACGCCGCCTCCGCTCTCCGCGCCAGAATGGCCACCTCTTTCGTCGCCCGTCGTGGCTTTTCCACCACCCGTGCCCAGCTCAGCAGCCCCTACCACTACGCTGAGGGTCCCCGTTCCAACCTTCCCTTCAACCCCCTCACCAAGTACTTCTTCTGGAGATACTGGGCTTTCATGAGTTAGTCCCCTCGCGCCGTATGAGACCGGCTTTCATGGGTCAATGTCACTAACTCCATTCACTAGTCACCGGCTTCGGTGCTCCCTTCGGTATCGCTGGTATGTCACCCATTGCTCCACAAGCACGTCCTTTCAGCAAACATCTAACTCTCACTACAGTCTGGCAGACCTACAAGACCCGCTAAGCGCCCTATTGTGCTGTGTAATATTCACGCGCAACGGAAACTGGTGGGATTCGGGGGACCAGCGGTCGAGTGTGTATCCTAGATCGGATGTTTTCGGAAATTTGTATAAAGCTGAGGAATTGAGCACGGTTTTAATTCAGAATAACATTTCTGGCATTAATTACATAAGTTCACGTAGAGAAATGCTTAGATTATAGGTCTCCAGTGTTGCGAGAAGCATCATGGTTGTTGGTGCAGTGCCGCGGATTGTCTGATACCTTATTAGAATATGGATGAAGTCATTGGTCGAAATCCGTCTAGGAAAGGAAAATTAAATTCCAGTCGAGAATCATTGGTGTGCCCGCGACCGCTCCGCCGCCCAAACGCAAGAACCAGAAACAGAACACCATTCTTTCTCGAGTCTAGTCTAGATCTAGATTCTATGACGGCCGTCTGAGACCCTTTCACTTCCAGTCGGTTGTTCCTTTCTATCTTTCTTTTTCTCGCCCAAACAAAAAAAGAATTATCAATATCTTCAAGCGGCCGTCGATTAATGGCGGCGGGGTAGAAGATTTGCTATTCCGAAGATGCGCAACCTTAAAACCGTGCGCCTCGCTGAGGTGCAACTGCAGAACGAACTCCCCCTAACAGCGACAGCTTGGGACACTGCCTCGGACGCAGTCATTTGTACCTTTGGTCCTACAGCAAATAACGCAGTTATCGAGCTGCGGAGGAAGCGTCATGACGCCCATTTCTCAGAGCCTGTCGGAGCCGATGTATTCGAGTGCATCGCATCCTGGGATGCGCCATGCCCGCTTCCCGAGCTGGAATGCGATCGCGTACTGTCCCTCCACTACTTTGCAGACAACCTAACTGCCTGCCTGGTTCTGGAAGGTGGTGATATTGTCATCGTACGCGAAGAGCCTCTTCCCGGCGAGGACAAGATTGAGATTGTCGGCTCGGTTGATGTTGGTATCACAGCCGCCGCTTGGTCGCCAGACGAGGAGCTTCTGGCCTTGACTACTCGAGCCAACACTTTTCTGTACATGACTAGAGAGTTTGAGAATGTGGCCGAGATCACCTTCGCACAAGAAGACCTCAACGCTTCCCAGCATGTCTCCGTGGGCTGGGGCAAGCGCGAGACTCAATTCCAAGGCAAACGGGCCAAGGCCCTCCGTGATCCTACCGTCCCAGAGAAAGTGGACGAGGGCAAGCTGAGCGCCAATGATGACGGAAGAACGACCATCACTTGGCGCGGAGACGGTGCTTATGTCGCTGTGAACAGTGTTGAGGCTGGCGTGCGCCGCGCGATTCGAGTCTACTCGCGTGAGGGTGCTTTAGACAGTATCAGTGAACCAGTCGATGGCCTGGAAGGTGCCCTTAGCTGGAGGCCATATGGTAACCTTATTGCCGGCATTCAGAGACGCGATGATAGAATCGATGTGGTATTCTTTGAGAGAAACGGCTTGCGCCACGGCGAGTTCACTCTTCGTCTTACAGAGGAAGAGCGCTCGACATGGGCTTCGGATATTTCTCTGAGCTGGAACGTCGATTCGACTGTTCTCGCTGTTCGGCTCAGAGATCGTGTTCAATTCTGGACAATGGGCAATTACCACTACTACTTGAAACAAGAGATCCCTATCGTCAGTAACTCCGATTACGCCACACCTTTCACCTTCACGTGGCATCAAGAAAAGGCCTTGCGGTTCTTTGCTGGCGCTCATGGTATGGTACGCCCTCAATTTGTGGATTATCATATGCTAATCACCAAGTAGAATCAATGTTGGACGTGGAATTTGTGTTTGACGTCGCTCATGGCTCCACTACAAGCCCAGCTGATGTTGGTGCCGTCGGTGTTGTAGACGGGAGTATGTGTTTGCCCTGCATTTATGATTTCAAGCTGCTGACGTACGACAGAAATCTTGAAGCTGACTCCCTTGAGGCTGGCCGGTGTTCCGCCCCCTATGGCCCATAATGAATTGACACTTGATTCAAACATCATTGACGTGGCATTCAGCAAGTCAGGAACGCGCATTGCTATCCTTGAGAACGATCGGTTCTCCGTCTTTATCTGGGCCCTCAAAACTAGACCAGTCCCTGTCCCAATACTTGAGTCCAGCTATCCACTTTCGGATACACCGAATAGTCGACCCCGCCAGATCGCTTTCATTAATGAGACTGAAGTCTACGTGCTGAAGAGCAGTGGGCCTAACAACACCTGCATAGAGCGGACTACGCTCAAAACTCGGGAGACCAAGGTTGCCTACCAAGCAGCCGACTCGGAACAAATCATGTCAATGTTCGCATCTCTCGGGCATGAATTGCTCTGGTTCTCTCACAATCTAGGACCAAACCACCCGATCACCTACTCCTACATCTCAATACCTTCCCCAAACCAGTTCGAAGTTATGCCATGGAGCCAAAGTCCATCTGCCGAGACGTACTGGGCGCAAGCTGTGCAGATCTCTGAAGATGAGGTATACCCACCGTTTAGATCCTATGTATCACTGATCACTGATATTCTACAAGACTCTTCTCATCTCTATGACCAAGTCCGGGGCTATGTATGCCAACAAAACACTTCTTGCCAAGAACTGCACTTCCTTCCTTCTCACACAAGCTCATATCGTCTTCACCACCTCCCTACACCTGATCAAATTCGTCCACCTGACGAGAGCAGAAGGTTTGGAAGTCCACTTTCATTCCCACCATACAATAACTAACGCCCATGTTTCAGAAATGGATGTACCTCCTGATACCCCGGAAACGGACGAACGCTGCAGAAGCATCGAGCGCGGAGGACGGTTGGTCACGGTTATGCCTTCGACATTCGCTGTCATTTTACAGATGCCCCGCGGCAACATCGAAACCATATACCCTCGGGCCCTCGTACTCGCCGGTATCCGGTCATTCATTGATCGCAAGAATTATCGGGCAGCGTTCCTGACCTGTCGTAGTCAGATGGTGGACATGAACATCATTCATGACTATGCCCCCGAGCAGTTCATGGAGAGCATCCAACTTTTCGTTGATCAGGTCAAGAGGATCGACTTTATCGACGAGTTTATCTCTCGTCTGAGGTATGGAAATTCTACTTCACTTAGCGAAGCATACGATTGACAATTGCGTCTAGTGAGGAGGATGTGTCGCAGACACTGTACAAAGACACGCTAAAGAAGAAGACCGAAGATCCTGCCCTCGCTGCTCTATCCACTCCCTCGAGCAAGAGCAGTAAGGTTAACCGGATCTGCGATGCTTTCCTGTCCACTCTTGAGAAGCGATTGGATACCAACCTGCACAACTTGATCACTGCTTATGTCTGCAAGTCTCCGCCTGACCTTGAGGCCGGTCTTCAGCTGGTTGCACGGTTGAGAGGTATGGGCACTGTTCTTCTCATGTTTGGGAGCAAATACTGACTACATAGCAGAGGAAAGCTCCGAACAAGCCGACGACGCAGTAGAGCATATGTGCTTCTTGACAGATGCCAACCGTCTGTACGACAATGCACTGGGTCTCTATGACCTCGAACTCACGCTACTTGTTGCGCAACAAGCTCAGAGAGTCGGTGCCTCAGATTCCGTTCACGACGATATGAGCTAACAGCACGCAGGACCCCCGCGAGTATCTTCCATTCCTGAGAAAGCTGCAACAAATGCCGGAACTCCGACGACAGTTCGAGATCGATAACTACCTAGGACGCACTTCTAAAGCCTTGCAACACCTCCATGCACTGAACGCTCATGATGAGCTCCGTGCCTACGCCATCAAGCACACGCTCTATAAGGATGCCATCGATCTGTACAGATACCAAGCCGAGCAACTACGTGAGATGAGTCACCTCTACGCTGACCACCTGTTCGATCAATCCAAGTACAAGGAAGCAGGAATTGGTACGTGAAACAAACCCCGCACAATCTCGGGCCCTTTCCCTGAACTAACCGAACGCCCCTCACCAGCCTACGAATCCCTCTCCCTCTATACCGACGCATACAAATGCTACCACCTGGCCCACCTCTGGCGCGAGTCCATCTACTGCGCCACGATGGTCCCCCTCCCCGCTGAGGAACTCGCCACGCATGCCAGCACCTTGGCCGCCACCCTCACCGAAGAGACGAAGGACTACGTAGCCGCGGCGCAGATCCACGCCGACCACCTCCGCGACATCCCCACGGCGGCGCGCCTCCTCTGCCGCGCGTCCAAATTCTCCGAGGCGACGCGCCTTCTGGCCTTGCACGGCCAGCAGGCGCTGATCCCGGAGATCGTCGACGGCGGACTCTCGGACGCCATGGGCGCCATGACCGACCTGCTGGCCGACTTCCGCTCCCAGCTCAACGCGCAGGTGCCCCGGATCCGCGAACTGCGCGTCCGCCGCGCCACGGACCCGCTGGCCTACTTCGGCGGCGACCCCACCCTGGGCGGCGCCGGCGGGGATGGGAATGTCGACATCCCCGACAACGTCTCCCTGGCGCCGACGGACGCATCCACGCTGGCCGGCCGCTCCATGTTCACCCGCTACACGGGCAACACGGGCAAGACCGGCAAGACGACCTCGTCGCGCCACACGTCCAAGACCCGGCGCAAGGAGGAGCGCAAGCGCGCCCGCGGCAAGAAGGGCACCGTCTACGAGGAGGAGTACCTCGTCAACAGTGTGCGGCGGCTCCTGGAGCGCGCCAACGCGACCGTCGGCGAGGTCGAGGCGCTCGTCGATGCGCTGCTGCGCCGCGCCATGCGCGAGCGCGCCGCGGCCATCGAGAAGGCCATGCAGGAGGTGCTGAAGCTGTGCACGGAGAGCCGCGAGGAGGTGTTTGGCGCTCTGGTGGCCGCGAATGACGGGGCCAAGGGGGTGGCGGCAAATGAGGGGGAGCTCGAGAACGCGGATGTCGGCGGGTTTGGTACCGGCGAGGAACACTTGGGGATGGGCGGCGGCGGACAGAGCGTCTTCTGGGACAGCGTGACGGCCACTGCCAATGTGGGCAAGGGTAAGGAGGTGCCTGCTGTCAAGGAGCTGAAGTTGTCGGCTTTGCTGAACTAGGACGAACGGACCCCTTGGTAAGGGCATGCTAGTCGGAAACCTGTTTTGGGCCGGCTGGCTGTTTTTATTTATTTTTTTCCTGTCTATGGTTTTGGAAAAGGTTACAAAAAAGCATAGATTCTTTGGGCCGATGGTGAGCCATTCAATTTCAAATATTAAATGATCATTAATGCTGTAATATGCTTCGTACGATAAACGAAAATATATGCTCTCTGGATATAGAATGCGCTCCCTCCACTAGAAACAAACGAAGGAGGGACCGGTTTGGGTATCTTTTCATCTCAAGGCAATCCGCGGTGTTAAAAAGTTGATGCCCGCGAGGCTTTGAGTTTGGCTTGAGAGCGCCCTAGTGAGAGAGGACATCGCCCTTCTCGCTAACCAGGTGATCGGTCACGCTGACGGGCCCCTCGCCGACGCCGGTAAGGATGACGCGGCTGACGCCATCCTTGAGCACTTCCACGGCCCTGGAGTCCACCTTGTCCAGGGCAACACCGGGGGCGCTGAGATCTTTCATGGGCTCGTAGAAGGGGCCTTCCCAGCCATCGGCCTTGGTACCGAGAATGGCCTTGATCGTACCAGCCACGAGCTCGGTCTCCTTCTCGAGGTAGTAGATAACAGCGTTCGGGCCCGCATCGAAGGTGTAGGCACAGACCGTGCGGCCGACGGCCCGGTTGATGTCGTGGACGAGACGCACAGCGGCCCGCGAGACGTCGTTCATGTAGAAGATCGGAGGCCAGGAGTCCAGGCAGGTGGCGTGGAACCCGTTGGAGTCCCGCATGGTGATCTCGGCAAAGGCGGGGAAGTCCCGGCTCTGGATGGCGGTCTCAATCGCCGCCATGCGCTCGGGGACGACGGTGTTCGCCCGCGTAGCGAACAGGTTCGACGTCGCGACGGTCGTCTGCATCCCCTCCGTGCTGGGGACATCCTTCTTCTCGGCGCTGACGACAAGCACGATGGCGCGCATCTCGGGCCAGTGAGAGGCGGGCGCGACTTCCTCCGCCAGACTGTCGCTGCCATCCTCAAGGGTGCCGGCGCGCCAGGCGACGTAGCCGCCCATCAGCGATCGACAGGCGGAGCCGGAGCCCTGGCGGGCAATGCGACTGAGGTCCCGTGGAGATTGTGGGAGCTGGTAGAGGTCGGCCACGGCGCGGACAAGGGCGGCGAACCCAGCAGCCGAGCTGGCGAGTCCGGCAGCGGTGGGGAAGTTGTTCTCGGAGACGATGCGGAGAGGGAGGGCAGAGAGCTTCGGAAGAGAGGAGTCGGCGGCTTCGACCTCCTTGCGGTGAGCGCGCAGGCTGGAGAGACAGGCAAGGGTACGCTTGGATGACTGGATATCCTGGGGCTTGCCGTTGAGGATCAGCTCGTCTTGGGCGGGGTAGATGGCCGAGCAGGAGGCGGTGGTAAGGGTGCGCAAAGAGCGTTGGGAGAGGGTGACGGAGAGAGAGGAGTTGGTAGGCAAGTTGAGAACGGCATCACGCTTGCCCCAGTATCTTGCAGAGTTCTTGTCAGTTTTCTTGGGCTACTCAATGTGGTTCGTGATGGACCGCGCAATAAGGGGTGGGACGCATAGTAGCAACATACTTGATGACAGCGATGTTGACGGGGGCCGTCGTGGTGGCCCGGTAGACGGGACTATCAGCGGAAGCAGTCATGATTGATCTTCAGCAAGTTGCTTGAATGGAGGCTTGGTTGGCAACGAAGAAGCAGCAGACGAATGTTGTTGAAGGTTGAAGAGAGAGATGGCCAGACCAACAAGGGAGGGGAATAAATGGACTTCCCAGTTGGGCAAACAGAGGGGCTGTTTTGATGCCCAGGACCCAAGGCGGTGAGCGGCCATTTTTTCTCCGCCTGTTCGGAGTTGTCCGCTTCCCTTCCAGTCCTTGATTTCTATCTTCATACTTCTCATTCGCCAGACGCTTTCAGCGCGGTGTAACCCCATCACCGACCCTTTCAGATCTTGATCTCCATTTATCCCATCTTACTATATAGATACCTTATACTCATGGGTGCTGGTGCCAGTACACCCTCCCCCGAGCCTGCCACGGCAGCCGGAGTATGCCCTGTTGATCACAAAACTCGCGAGGCATGGCTACAACAACACAAAGCATCCGGGGGAGCTGCCCCTCCTCCTCACCCAATGCCTTCAGAAGACAGTCAATCAAAGGCGAAGATGCAACGTCCACTCTCCACCGATCGTGAAGTAAGCAGCATCCCACGCGCCATCGAACCCCAATCCCAGCCGTCATCTCCCGCATCACCCAACGCTCCGCCATCACCATACTCTTCCCCGAGCGCATCGCACGGCGCGCCATCGAACGATGAGGCTGAGACAGGCCACGACCCCAACACTGGCAATTGGATCTATCCGTCCGAGCGACAGTTCTTCGAGGCGCTGATGCGCAAGGGCAACACACCTTCTTCCACAGAATCGGCTTCTGAACTGGCCACCACTGTCGCGTCCATTATCCCCATTCATAACGCCGTCAACGAGCGCGCATGGCAACAGATTCTGGAATGGGAGAGTCGAGCTCCCAGCAGTGACCCCGGCAGCAAGAAATGTGGAGGCCCCAAGCTCTACTCATTCCGCGGTCTGGGCGTCGACCCTCAATTCCTGAGCCCTCGGGCGCGAATCAACAACCTCATGGGCTACCAGCTACCATTTGATCGACACGATTGGGTTGTGGAAAGGTGTGGTGGAGAAAGAGTTGAGTACGTTATCGATTTCTACCAAGGCAAGACATCGGGAGGGGCCACCGGCGCTGGTTTGGCCGCCAATGCTGGTCCGGGTAAATTGAGCTTCTACTTGGACGTCCGGCCTAAGATGAACACCTGGGAGGGTTGCCGTATGCGGTTCAGCAAGTTCGCGGGACTGTAGGCAGTCCAACGCAGTTTCCCTAATTGATTTACGGTGCACGTGTACAGGCGAACACAAGGAGTTTCGGGTCTATTGGGTAAATTCATCTCAGTGTACAATCCATGTATAACAGAAGCTATGTATGATATCAAGCATAGAAAGACAGTACGAACGTTGTAGATAGATAAACATCCTCTGCTCCATATGCGCCGGTCATTCATTAAGAGAGTCATGATTGGAGACGACAAAGCGCCTGCAAAACGAGTGCAAACATACGCATACAAACGAAAAGTACATGGGAAGGATATCATCAAAAGAGAGGGAACGCCGCAACCCACCCTGGATCAACCAGCGATGTTGCAGACTATAAGTGAGCGGGCGGGAGCCGGCGAAACTCAACCCAGCACCACGGCAAGGACAATGATCAGCAAGATCACGGCCAGGATGACCAGAAGACAGCAGGCCTTGTTCCGCGCATTCTTCTGGTACCTGCTTGCGCTTCGCAGCTCAACGTTGGCACCGCGAGTGTCGTCTCCGACTCTTTCGACATTCTCACTGATAATATCGAGCTGACCTCCTTGCTCATGGACGATGTGAGCCACATCGCGGAAGAGCTCGTTAAGTTCGCCGACGCTCTGCTCGATATTGCGGATCTCCGCCTCCCGCTCGATGATCAGAGACTCCTGGAAATCCACTTCGTCTTGGTTCGCCAGTCGAGGTTGTTCTTCAAGAAGCTGCTCTTGCTGCTGCTGGAAGCCATCTTCGGCCGCATGCTCACCATCTTCCACGGCTGTGCGAGCAGCCACTGCAGACGCTCGCTGTTTCTCCAGAGCACGACGCTGGACGGTTTGGAATTCCTCTAATGTAGCTCGAAATTCGGAAGAGAGCTTCTGCTGGGTCCATTTTTGAGACGGCTAGTGGATACACGTCAGCGACGCTCACGTTGGCGGAGACCGAGCCCAGCGATAGTGCGGACCGCGAGATGGAACACAACATACATTGACGTCTTCCCACGTAGTTACTTTCTTGATCCCCTCCCCTACATCCTTGAAACCCAAGCGAGTCTGCTCCAAAAGGTTGTGAACCCGTTCACGCACACGCTCGGTGTCTCGACGCGTTCCCAAGAGAGCGATTTGGTCTGATAAGCGAGTGATATTCGAAGTGAGGGTAAAGAGGCGGTTGGAGAGACTCTCAGTCAAGCGGTCAAACTCAGGGTCATCACGATAGTGTGGATCATCTGCGCGGCGCAGATTCGTAGGCTGCGACTCTAGTGAATCTAAGCGATCGAAAGACATGACTGGGCGAGAAAGTGTCCCTGGGTGGATAGACAGTTAGAAGCTGGAAGGACTGAGAAGTTACTGAGTAGTAGAAGTTGAGATCAACCTGACTCCGGGCTGATGCAAGCGGGCACATGTACGGTAGTACACTAGTCTAGGCTCCGTACAGCGCAGGGCATACGTCGGTAGCAGGGGGGAAGCGGGCCCGATGGCGTTGTTGCCTGGTTTTGCAATGGACACCCGGCTTTGCAGGCCGCCATCACCTGACGCACGGACTCGATGTGTTGCCCGGTCACCTGATACGACAGATGTGGCTGGTGTGTTTTGGTGCTTTGTTCGAAAAGCTTCATTTTGTCGTCGCATCCCGCTGCCCGCTTTGCCTCGACTGAGCTCCAATTCAATACGCTTGGGGCTTCAATTATTGCAAGGCATACCTGCTACCCATTCTGCAGCTACTCTGATCATGCGGTGAACTTGATTCATCCTTCTCTACCTAGAGATCATCCCATCACACTTTAGATCCCAACCCTCATCATGGCTGCTGCACGGCCTCGCCCTTATCGGCGCATATTGACCTCGGCCCTGCACAGAAGATTTGTGCATGCGTCTGCACTGGCGCTGTTAGTCTGCTACATTGTTGCATTTGCCCTTGGTGAGAAATCATCATGTAAGTACAACCACGCTGGATGGAGCAGCTCGCAAGACGTACTCACGGCGATCGCTAATCACTTGCGACATCCTACTAGTCTTCTGGTCATGGTTTCCAATAGGAGCATGTGGTATTCGAACAGTTCTACTCTCTCTCTGCAGCCTTGTCATCTTTGTCCTGCGTGTTGGTCAGATGCACCTTGGCGCAAGGACGACCGCCTCGTCAATCAGTACACTCAAGCAACTTCTTCCGTTCGATGCTTTCCAGACCTTCGGATGGTACATGTTCTCAGCCTGGTGGTTCAACGAGATCTACAGATGGTCTTCGCCGCTTAGTGCGCACTTGGAATGGGTGAACCGAGCCAGGTATGTGCTCACCCAAGGCTGAATTACTTTGAGCGTGCTGGAACCTCAGCTAAGAAAAAATATGGTGCTAGACCTCACGAACGCGCAAGTCTCAACGAACGGGCTATATACCTTTACACCTATCACCTCGTGCTAGCAGTCATACAATCGCTTTTTCACCTATACGATGATTATGACCGAGTTCCTGTCCCAGTCGCCAAACGGTCTGAGAAGGACAAAGGTGCAGTTCAGTCCACTGCCAAACGCATCCAGGCTGAATTCCTGCCGACCATTGTTGGCGGAATCAAGAGGAGTTTGTTCGTTGCTTTGGCTTGCCCTCTGGCGTACTCCATTCTTCTCCGTCGTTATGCGTGGAGTACCGCTTTGTATTTTGCCAAACTCTTCTGGGATATCCCCAGGTCCGCCGCTCATCCGCCAGGCTTTCTTCCACCGATCACACCGGGAATCATCTTCAGGTCAATGGTCTCAGGAGCACTTCTGATGCTTTGTTGGCAGAGCGCCAATCTTTTCTTTTCCATATTTTTGAGCAAAGAGCCCCTCAAGCGCGGCCAGCCTTTGACAGCCGATGCTAAAGACCCCAACGGCAGCTTGCTTACCGGCCTCAAAGCGAAGAAGGAGACGGTTCGAGCCTTTGCATTCTGGGAACTACTTTTGATCAGCCAGCAGTTTCCTGATCGTCGCAAAGCGATCTTTAATGATATCGACCGCGAAGAAGGGGCAGCCTGGTCTCAGATTTTCGCCGCGACCACAGAAGTGGTCAAGGGTGTCGCGACCCGAGTCAAACCAAATGTCGATGAGAAGGAATATCGAGAGACAAGGGAAAAGAAAAGTGCACTTTCCGGTACCGACACTGGCCTACCTCCAAAGGATGAACTCGTCCTTCGCACTCTCCCTCGACTCACAGACCCGCTAAAGGCGCCAAATGAGGTTGACATCTTCGCCCCCGTCCCCAAGACCGCTTCTCACCAGGAGGCTTGGAATGAGACCATCAAATCATTCGGAAACAACCCCGACTGGACTCCTACCGCCCGCGCCAAAGCTGTTGATGTCCTGGACCGGGCATTATCTGCCGTGCTCAGTCCCGAACAGAAGCAGAAGCTCCTTGCTACTTACAAGGAACTCCTCGAGCGCCTCACTGGTCCCTTGATGACGTGCAAGCCCGAAGACCTGCACCCTCTCATGGCACAAGCCCTTCGCACTCCAATCGGCCGCCATTTCCAACATACTTACGCCCGTCGCTTGTCCGGTATCGTCCTTGGCACACCCCACGCCAATATATGCTCCATTGTCCACTCCATCGATTCTATTACTGGTCTCTCCATCAAGAGTCTCGAAGAGGATTCCTACGGTAAAGTCCAAGCCGATGTTCCTGCCCTCATCCGTCTGTTCACCGAAACCATCCAAACCCTAGAGCCGTTCATCAACGGCGGTCTGGACGCGCACTGGACGGACGTCGATTTCCCACCTTCCAGCAATCCGGAGGCGCAGGCTCAGGCTCGTCGGGTTCCTGATGTGGATCTAGTCCTGACGACGCTCAAACACTCTCTGAAAGATATCCTGTCCGCATTCAACAAATATTTCACCGTGATGGACTTAGATGCTAGGGACCTCCGGCTAGCCGAGGAGGCCGCTGGCGTGGTTGATGCGGGTCTGTAAAACACCATTTCCTCCGCAAACAGTTTTCCACCTGCGGGTCTTCAATGATGGAAGATACTGTGCTGTGATGAGTTTCCAAGGTAAACTTGGTTCTCCTGTTTTTGACTCATCTGATTTCAGAAGATGAGCTTCTGGGCCGTTTCCTTTTTCTACCCTTTGTCGAATATTCCAAAAAAGGGCTATTGTTTTGTTTGAAAAGTTGAGGCTTAGACCTAGAGTCAGTCCTGACTGTTATGTATGCATTTCTCTGGCGTTAGTTGGGCAGGTAGTTATCAGTGGATTACTGTATTCCAGAATTTGAGAGGGCAACATGTACTGTATACTTGTCACATGACATCACCAAGAGTGGACTATTTTCTCCGCACCCAAACTATCTCACTTGTCCCTTCCCCGCGCAAAGCTCCAACTTTTGTATTTCCATCTACCCCCAGCGTGTCCAGGACGCAGTCAACAGCAGAACTCCTTAGACCTTCCGCTTTTTACTCTGATTCTTTCCCAATTACCACGAAGACAATGGCCTCGCCATTTCAAAATACCTATCACCTCCGTCGCGTAGCCGACACCTCTGCTAAATCATGCTACATTTGCTACAAACCCTCGACCTCGGTCCTCATCACTCCCGACAACAAGGTAAGCCATTCCCGGATGTCTACAATGATAAACTGATGAATTCACGCATTGGTGTCTCGCCGCTGTGCTAACGACTGAACGACTCCCCTCGCAGGATTTCTTCTACATCTGCCCCTCCCACCTCACCGACCGAAACTTCTGCTCCCCTATCATCGATGCGGCGGAGGTTGAAGCGAAAGCGAAGCGCGATGCTATGGCCAAAGAGATCGAGAAGGTAAAAAGGGAGTACGAGGAGCGGCAGGCGAGGAAAGCGAAGAAGAGTGGGGACAAGGAGAAAGAAAAGGAAAAAGAGAAGGACAAGGACAAGAACTCGAAAGAAAAGGATGGAGAGGACAAGGACGACAAGGCCGCAGAGAAGGAGCGCGATGACAAAGTAGGTTTTTGGGTCTTTAAGTGTGAGGTGGAGGTTTAAGGACGATGGGCAACTGGGAGGCTGGACGGTCTGGCTGATTGGAACTGCGCTGCAGATTGATGCGATCAAGAAATCCGGGGATACCACAACGCCGAGCACGGATGATTCGCCGCGGATCTTCGCGCTGCACAAGTACGGATCTTCGTTCTCTGTTCCCTGTTCAGGTGTCTTGAATACTGATCAAAGGGTGGGATAGGAACTTCTACCAGATGCGGATTGACAGAATGCGCAACGCTGAAGTCGCAAGGCGCAACCGGCAACGGCTGCAGGATCCCTCGTTCTTTCCATCCGTCCCGTCCGATGGTATTTGATTGTGTTGGGTAAACGTGCACCTGCCCTTGGGACTGTGTTGATGTTCCTTGAGAAGGTTCATGACAAACAAAATGTGTGCACGACTCATTCTAGTGAGCCTGGCCGTGCGGTGCTTACTGTTGCGTGTCTTACCATGATGCGTGACCAGCATAGCCTGGGCTCTTGCGCATTGCCTAAGACAGCTTTGTATTCATACGAACATGTCTTCTGGAGTGACACCTCTCTAGGGCCTCAACACCAGAGGCCAGGAGTTCATTGCCCTGTTCAAGAAGGGAGGCTTTTATGCAGGTTTCGGTCATCATTCAAGACGTTCGATAGGAAGCAAGACAGAATACTGCGGATAGCACAGCCCTGGACTCTTTGTCCTCCATCGGTTCATCCAGTCAGATTTCCAACGAGTCCACCAGGATCACTCTTTGTCAGGAGTGCAAAGGATGGGAAGCGGGTCCTTGCTCTTGATCTGCCTCATGAACAAGTTAAGACAGATGCGGTAACTAACCTCATATGCGGTGCATCTGGCCTGCATATACCACGCAACCTGTCGCAAGAAGCTTGGACTGAGCTACGAAGTAGCTACAAGGCAACTTGGCCACATCTCAGCCTTAGGCGGCTTCTAGAAATAGAAAGCCCATCCTTCCATAAGGCATTAGGCATAAGGCATAAGGCAGAGAACGGCCGCCGTGCCCCCGTCGGCATTTCCTACCCAACACACCATCAGCCAGCCTTACACACAGCGTGACACACATCCCTTCGTACCCTACTCGCTAGTACCGAATCACCGATAGCAAAGTACAGTACAATGGAGTGCAACCTCTTCTGATCCAATGAATGCCACAGAACTTCCAGTAGCAGAAACTGAAAGAGCGGGGAACTGACCCCATCCAGTGGCAATTAATATACGGAGTTCAAAAAAAATGCCCTCATGTTAATTTCACAGTCCTCTCCCGCGTGTACAGACTTCCCAATCATCGGGTTCTTTTCCACCAAGCGTCGTCAATCATCCCCTATCCAGGGTTAATAGGTGATGATATTTGCATAGAGTACGAATTCAACCCGCCCGGAATCCCCCTCTCCCCTCACTCTCATCGTCTCTACGGCCAACGGCCTAGCCCACACACGCTGCGGAGACTAATGTAAGAGAGGAAATGATTAGACTCCATCACACCGTTCATAGCGTCCCAAGAAGTCGTAAGACGAAATTGTTTGCTCCAACTCCCAAAGGAAGAAAAGACCACTTAACCCGGAGATAAAAGTCATATCCGTCTGTCTGTCTGTCAGGATGACAGTGGGCAGGCAAAGAAAAAAAGCCAAGAGGTTTTGTCAAGCAAAGCAGTGGGTCTCCTTGTGAGGCAGTGCTGCTTAGTTTCCTCGCTCTAGTCGCTGGTTGGGTTTAGTGCTGCGGAGTCCACTCGCTTTCTCCTGCATTTTTCTTCACTTTCCAACCTATGCTGGATGCGACACAGTCAAAGAGGAGGGGGGCGGGTTTGATGGAGATTCAGCAACGATAACTGTGGTTGCCTGTGTTCGGCGATGACATCATTCTACACCTATCTATCAACATTGTCATGTACATATACAGTAGAAGCGAAGAACAGATTAGAGTACGGCTACTTCACATAGTGCAGGATAGTAGATAGGGTTAAAGTGGACGGACGGACAATGACTCGCGAGTCCGGGCCCGTTGCGGCCAAGTCTGAATGGGGCATAGATCCTTAATTCGGAGTACAGTACATCCATCCCCAAAGGACCTTGAGGGAATCAAAGGGTCAGTGGCTATACTACTGTCCAAAATCAATGCTTATGCAACCATAGTTGGTTCTACTCATAGAACTACAGTGAGGAAATCATGTTTGACTATTGTCACTCTACACTACCTCAAATCTACAGTACACACCCTAAACTATCAAATGGGAACAGCAGGAAACGGGGCGCTGACGTCATCCTCCACCTCCTCTAACCATCGAACTTTCTTGCGAAAACCGCTTGGATCGGTGGTGTCCATGGGGTATGCCATGGACTGTCAGATGCTATTGCGTATAATGATAAACTATAGCAAAAAGGAGACGAGAATTTTCGATGCGATATTAAAGAAGGTGCCTATTCTAGGCTGGAAATATCGAAGGTAAAGAGGGGAGGGCTCAGGGCCGCAACCGTTGGTTCCTGAATGACTAAACTAACTCGATCATCGAGTCTTGATCATGCATTGCATATCCAAGCATCAAATGATTTGGGTGGTACGACTAGCTTAGGTGACCATGGTGTACTGTATGTATGTACACAGGCTGGATAAAGTATCTGCCTGGTTCCTATACGGAGGAGGGAGTAGTACTCTGGAGATCCAGCCAGGCGGGTACTGATGCACAGACACACTTACATACTTGGCGGAGTACTGTAGACCCTACGTACACAGTACACAGTAGAAGAGCTTTAATGTGATGGGATTGAATCTACTTGGATCAAAAACGAAATGTTCTGGACCTTCTATGACATTCTGTCTCCCACGTTTTTTTCCCTTGCCACCCACACGTCGACCAGATAGGGCGGCGGTCTGCCCTACGCCGTCAGAAAAGGGAAGAGCTGTGGGATGTCGTGGTAGGGGTGATGTTGAGCAAAGTGAAAAATACACATGTATTGTAACATACATTATATACCAGCTCGTACGTTACCGCGTAGTAAGCCTGGCAAGTCTCGAAGAAGCCAAAAAAAAAAAAAAAAAAGAAAAAGAAAAAGAAAAAAGAAAAAAAGGCACCCGCAACCATGGCTAGCGTGCCCCAGTTGCGTAAGAGAGCTTTTGCACAGCCCCCGTGCCGGAGCTAGTGATCTAGCCTAGACCTTACCAGGCCTCACCCCTCTCAAATCTCAACCTGATGGTTCCGACCAACCCCCTTCCCCTTCCCCTTGCCCTTCCCCTCCCCAAATGTAATAAACTTTTGTCTTCTTGGTACAGTATGGTCGCTTCTTTCTGGCATGGTGGAAGCATAGCGAGTAAATACCCATCACTCCATAGTGCATGTAGCAACTTCATCGACTAGGGCTCCCTGCGGCCGATTAGTCAGCCCATAGGCGCCAGGAACCTGTGCAACGCTACTCCGTATTACAACTCTTGCCTGGTGCTTTGTTTCTCCCCGATCGACCACTGGCTGCAGATCATTGGTGGCTGTCCGCTGGGAAGTGGAGGGCCCTTAGCTTTGTGGGGCCCGCCTTGAAGAGGTTTAGAAGAGTGGGAGAACAGCCTCGTGGGGTTTTTCGTCGCAGGATGTGGGGTTCGAGCCCTGACTCGGTCACCATATGCCTCTCCTTGGTTACATGGAGGATTTGAGGTCAACGCGTTGCGCGGGTTTTCACGCTCGGTGCCGGGTTGATTGATTGATTGATCGATTGATTGATTGCTCGGTGATCGGACGTTATCAGATTAACACGGTTGAAGGGCTTAGGCGCCGCATCGATTGAATACATGACTGTGGTTGGCTGGTAGATAAGAGCTAGAGAAGGTGAGGTCATCTCGGCGCTAGGACAACTGTCTCAAAGCTTCCCCTCTCCCCGCTAAAGGATCGACATCCAGGGTCCTTTCGTTCTTTAAACTCGCGACCTTTCGGCACCAGTATCAATCGAGCCTAGACTTAGGTCTACCATATCGTATGCGTGTGCGTAACCTGCGCATGTCCCTTCCCTTCTTTCTTTCCTGGCCCGCGGTTTTGACCGCGAATAAAGCCTAAATGCCACCTTTTAACCCGCGAATCGCAGCAAGGGACTGTCTGCTTGCCCCGTTTGCTTTGTCTTTTGTTCTGCCTTTCAACTATCCACGCAAGCACCCGCAGGGACTCTCGGACATACTTTGATGAACTAAACTCCATGTGGCGTTGCTGCTTGCGACTCAACTTCGGTCGACCTTACTACCTCCCCATGCGAGGTTGAAAGTGTTCACCAAGTGGCTGCGATGGCCCCTTGGCATCTCATCAATACTCGATTCGGTTCTATTGAAGCCTGATTGCTGCCTTGTAGAATCTTGTTGGAAAGCTTAGAGGTTACCCCGCCCATTGGTCTCGTCAGTGGGACTAGGTCTCATTCCAGGCGGCAAGCGAATGCCAAAAGCTGCCTGGGCTGGGCCCCGGATCGTATTCACTTGCTCGGAGATGTCTACTCGAGCTTTCGCCAGGCCGATGGCGGGCACCACCCATTCACTGCAGCTGCATCGCATACCCTGCCAGGCAAATTTCCCGATGTTGGCGCCGCAAGAGGTGTTGGGACAGGTCAAACGACCAGATAACGGAGCGTCAGTTGACGGCGAACCTAGCGGTGCACCCGAATCACCCGACTCGCTTTCTGGAAAGAGACTTGGACGCATCCAGGTCAATGGATGAAGGAAAACATGTGCACACTCGGTATTCGCGAGCGAAGCGCCCGGTTTCTGGGGTCCATGAGGAACGACAAACGGCGTGGTTGCCAATTTGCGTCTAAATAATTAGTCAGAAAGGTTTCGAACGCAAGAACCATAGCTTAAAGAAAGTCACACAGGCAGGTAAACGGAAGATAAGGATAACCGACCGGCATTTACGACACTTGATCTCCGTCATACGACCTGTAGATTCCTGTGGCCTGTGCGGTTGTTCGTCCTCGAATAGGACATTATTCATTTCAGGTGCCCGCCCGCAGGCGACACTTTCTTCGACTTCTCGGCGGTAAAGCCATCTGCTATACAGAGGATGGCTCGTGACATCCTCGGGACAGCCCATCTGATGGTAAAGCGAAAGCTGTTCCATGAAGCCATCGTTGGGTTCACAGAGAGGCCGGCTCTCTCTGATGATGGCTAGTGCTGATTGCGGAGTCAGCGCACTACGCTGCTGATGAAGCATGTAGGCAATGCACACAGTTGCAGAACGAGACTTGCCCATTGCACTAAAGAGCAGTTTAGTATTCAAAGGTAATGATTAGTTCATCGTGGGGGGTTGCAATCACAATGGCTTACCAATGCACAAGCACCGCGCCGCCGCTGTCCAGT